CAGCATGATTAAGTTCTGCTGGACTAAAGCATGCCCGCTATGCGGAGCGGCTCTTAAGTCGAAACATTGTCATTGCTCAACTTCACACTCACTCTCACCTATTATCCCACCCGCATCCGGCATATTTGCCCGGTGCATACAAACGCAACGCAACCAACAACCTTTTCAGCTACATAACAACATTATGTTTTCTGCAAGCCCCGCGCATTGAAGCCCAAGCTCTTTACACATCACGCTGCAATTCCTTTTTATCGTTGTTTTGTCCACCGACACGTTTCGCTACATCGCCACTGTCACAGCAACGCGCTTCTCAAATCCACAACGCGCTTCTCACGTCAATAACGCGCTTCCCACATCAACAACCTGCGACCGCGCTCAAACTCTCCATAGTCAGTAAGCGCACCCTCCCAAGCGACATCCACATATTAACACGCACTTTCAGCAACAGTCCAACGATTACACACGGTCGCTAACCGTCTTCTACTCCAGGCGCGAAGCTATTATGGCCGGACGTGACAGCGACGATGACAGCGACACAGAATGGGCGCCGCCGAAGCAACCAGAGTGGTACAAGAGCAAGGCCAACACGACAAGCTCCAACAGCATGTCACAAACGAATGTAAGAGAAGGATATGGGATCACGACCTTAGAGGTTGTTGAACTTGTAGAGGACCTTACAAGCTATGTCAAGAAAAAGGACCTACTCGAGAAGATCCAATCAGAAAAGAGCCAATCGCAGCTTCTGAAGAGCTTGCGTTCACCAACGTCAAAGGACTGGCTTGCGGTAGCCAAATGTACACGGCTGCGAAATGCGCAAATACCCAAAGTCTTCCACGAGGCTGCAGCCGGAACTATCTGGACGATGATGCTAGCCAAGGTGCGTCAGTACGGCGCCAAGGTCAAGACAGAGGACCCGAGCAACACGCCAACGCCGACACTGTCTGAGACGGCGCAGCGACGGTCTTCGTCCGTCGTGTCCAACAGGTCTACAGCGTCGATAACCGACAAGTTCGGCGTTGCATCACTCACTGAGCCGGCTATCTTGAATGACGCCAATGTTGCCTTAGTAGACGCTGTGCATCACTCTGTCGTCAAACAATTCCCCATGTTCAGGCTGATGACGAAGGAAAGCCAGCAGAAATTGGAGGAGAACTACTTTGAGGTTAGGGCCCAGCACCTCAAGTACGATGCCCTCATCCAGCATTTGTCATTGCCCAAGTACTCCGATTGGTACCAAGCAGGCACCTCTCAGGTCATGGATGCGTTGACGATGACGCTCATTGAGGACGACGACGACTTGCTAGGCACCGTCAACTCTCATATCAAGTCGAGGAGGCTCGGAGCAGTGATGCTATTATGCCAGACAACGAAACCGCCAGGCGATTCTAATAAAGGTATAGCACGAACCCTCAAAACTGAAATATACACCACTAACATCTATATGCAGTAACATTCCAACCTGACGAACCACCGGAACAGCCCTCACCACCAGAACAGCCCTCACCACCCAAGAAGAGAGGCCGACATTCCAAACTTATACCAGACGGACCTCCCCTCAAGCGCCGTAAGACCGAGGCAGCGGACAGCAGACATGCAAAAGCAAGCGGGGGAAGAACCAAGAAAGACAAAGATTCAGAGGACTCCGACACTGGCAGCGACGTCCCGCGCCCACGCAGGAGGGACAGAGCAGCGGCCCGCGCTCGATCAGCTGAAAGAAAGCGGTTAGGAAAGGAAGCGCAGCTTAAGAAGACCAGGGACGAAGAGGAGCTGGCTAAGGCCAAAAAAGAGAAAGAGGAGAAAGAAGCTCGGGAGCGCGAGACTCAGCCAGATGGCCCGCTAGACAGCGACGACTACCGCTCAGACAGCAGCTCGGACATTGACCCTGAGGATGACTCGGAGGACGAGGAGGCAACGACAGCAAAGGACCTTGCCAGAGAACAAAAGGAAAGGCTCAAAGCCTTATTGAACGCCAAGTAAGTCCACCGTGGAAGACAGTCAACCACTGTTCACCCTGCTAACAAACAAACTAGAACGAGGGACGGTCTCTCTGCAAGAGAGTGGGGACGGCAATGGAACACTGCACTCTGGAAGAGTGGACTTCGGCCGCAGTATTCTTTGGCGTTTCGATTGATGACCTCCAGAACAAGCGCACAATAAAGCTACCGGCATGTTGGGGGGTTAGTTGCGACTTCACCCCATACCAGCTCACAGACGCATACATCCTCTACTTCAAAGAGTTGTCATCTGACAATGGCGGGATCTTTGCCAACGCCATGGGCATGGGCAAAACGCGAGCGATGGTGCTCGCCGTCCTCATGGGACACGTTCACTTCAAGAACTGGACGGAAGTGCAAAATGCGCGAGCAGAAGGCGACGCGACAGAACACAACGCAGTTGACGATGACGACAAGCCATGTCCTACTGAAGGCGAGAGAACGTTCCACTGCGCGTGCGAAAGGAGCCCCTCCTTCAACGCCGAACCTCGACAAGCAGCCACAATGATGACTGGTTGGGGGCGAGCAGCTGATGCCTGGAAGAACGAGGTAGTCGCGATGGATCTTGCAAACTCCACGTGGTGCGACCCAAGCGATCCGCTGGCCCTACGGTTCTGCTTCTTTAGTGACTCTCTCCCCGGAGAACATGGGCAGACCAACGAAAGAGGAAGCAATGGAGATGCGAATCGATACCACTGACGCTATCTCCAAAGCGCTCGCTGCCGCCAATAAGTTAGTCGCCCCACGGAGCTACGTGCTAGGAGGCGTGGATCATCGAGAAACAGTCTACTGGACAATACCGGAAGCGAACACGCCTGCTGTGCACCCTGAGGCTACGAAGCACCGTCCAGCACCGTCAGCAGCACGGTTTGTGATAGTCTGCGGCTTCGGAAAGGTAGACAAGCATGTGTTTAGGGCTTACAACACTATGAGCGTCACGGCACAGCGAACGATCATACGCAAAGGCGGCCCTCATGTGGAAAAGAGGGCGATACTGCTTCCTGGTCATGTCACTGTATGGGGGCGGACTGTATTCGATGAATTCCACAATTGCAAGTCGGAGGGCACAATCATGGCCAAGTTTTACCAGGATATTCGAAGCCACAACCACGGATACCAATGGAAAGCATGGGCCCTGTCCGGAACGCCTATGGAACAAGGACTGAATGAGATCTTGATCTTCGTGTCGCTAGCACTCATTGGCCTTCAAAACAGGAAAGGGGTCTCTAACTGGTTCAACGCTACCGACAAGAGAGACTCCGTGACTGGCGATCGCATCTATAAGATGGAAGATGCAGTCTACCGGTCGATTGCGGAGACACCATCTCACAGGACTCGCCAAAACACAGCCCTCAATGGCCTAGCAAATGGCTAAACAATGGCGCAATATGATTGCCAATGTAAAGCACGACGCAAGCGAACACGAGTCGTCTCATGAGTATAAAGAACTTATATCTCAAGGAGCAGCAGTAGCGCAGAGGTTTATGTTGAAAAGAACATTGAAGACGCGCGACCCGTGGGGCAAACCAATATCCGGCATTAAGGGCGACTTCCTGCCTTACTTCCAAAGCTGCCCATGTCCAGATTTCCTCAGCACGGTACAAAACGCTGAGCAACAATGCAGAGATATCCTGGAAAAAGAAGGCCTTGATGAATCAGAAGCTAGCAGACGTGTGATCTTCAACCGCTTCGAGATGCAGGCGATAGCATCCTACCCTGCGCTTGCTACTCTAAAGGCAGCACAGTTCAAAACATACGGCAGCCGCAAAGTCAAACGCTTCACGTCAAACAGCGTGAAGGACCTCTTTACCAACCCAAGCAAGGACCATTTCCTAGTACGAGAGGCGCGTGCTATAACCAAAAGCAGCCCGAAGTTTCAAAACCTATCGAATTTATGCTCTGAGGTTGAAATTCTAGGAACGCCAAGCCGGACATGGAGCATTGCAGCAGAAGATGCAGCGAAAGCAGCTAATACACCACCACCGCCAAAGGAAGTCCGCGCCAAAATCCTCATAGGGTCGTATAAACCAATCGTGCAGGCAGTGACGTGGCTAGGCTTGAGAGAGAAGTTCGGTGACGAGAGCGTCTTGGGTCATGCAGGGAGGTATGACACAGCACGAAATCAACCTCAAGCTTGCTAAATGGAGGGATCCAGATGGGCCTTGGATCATGGTGGCTTCAATGGCATTTGCAGAGGCAATCACACTGACAGAAGCTACGCACGTCGTCATCATGGAGCCGCAAGACAGGCAGAACACACAGGATCAATTCATGTTCCGAGTGTACCGACTCGGCCAGTTGGCAGAAATGTGTGTCGGCATTGTCTATTTTAACCCAGACAGTGAACTGGAACTCAAAGTACTGGGCAAGCAGGACGTCAAAACAACTTCCCGAGATAAACTACAAGGTGGAGGATCGACGGTTACGGATCAACGCATGGACTGGCATCAAACTGAACCGATTGTCATGAGTTTAGAAGCACTCTGCTAAGGTCCGGCGCACTGCTAGGAAAGGTGCTCAACGGTGCTCAACGGTGCTCAACGGTGCTTAACAGTAGATGACTGTATGGAATGCAGGACTAGCATAGTAATAGAATAATTCTCATGTTACCAACAATCCTAACAAAGCTCTTTCTAGTGATATCTGTGATGTCTGGTTACAATGCAGAAAGAAGTAAATATGTAGTAAGATACTAAGGAAAGTATATTAAAGAAGTAAACTTCAATAGCGCAGGTGGGAAGACAGAGTAGGTAGGGAGAAAGAAAATATAACAGTTGAAGACGGTAAAGTTGCGTGCTAGACCGTCGACGCTCCGACGGTTCCGACAATTCCGACAGTACCGACCATTTCGACGAAGTTTTGTTTCAAAGTATATTTGATAACAAACATAAATTCCTCGAATCGATCAACTCGCTAGCGACACAGTCAATTCTACAGTATCAATAGAAATAAATATTCGACAGATTTTTAGTTTTCCTGACGAAATTGCCAGCAACACTACTAACTAGGACACTTTTTACTTTTTCCTAACGTAGGTCTTTTAGTAAGAAGCCTAATGGCATTACTTTAGAATAGACCTAGTAGTATTATTTCTAGTTACTTAGAGTTAAAAGCCTCTTAGTTACCTAAATCGTAATAGGCTTTTATAGCTCTTAAGAAAACTAGTTTCTCCTCTAGAAGGGCTTAAGCCTTTAGTTATTAGAGTTTCTTAATCTTCTTATATATTTTATTCTTCTCTTAATTAAGTTAGAGAGAAATAGGCTCTTATAGCTTATTATTAGCTAGTTAGATAGTATTAGGCTTAGTTATCTTTATGCCTAACTCCTCTATAAGAGTAATAGGTATAAGATCTTTAATATTATTATTAAGAACCTCTTAAGCTTAAGCTATAGCGCTTTCTTCTTATAGATTATAAAAGAGTAGACTCTAATCCTATATAGCTGCTGCTCTTATAGTAGAAGCTTATAGAGAGTTAGATAATATATTTACTCTTTCTTTATGCTATATAGAGTAAGCAATTTAAATATTAGGATAGTACTAGAGAGTTATAGCTAGGAGTAAGTAATAATAAGAATAACTAATAGAATTATTATAAAGGATAGATAAATTGCTACTAATAAGAAGCAATTCTCTCTCTACTCTATATACTAGCTCTCTAGCAGATATACTAAGCCTGCTTAGAACGCTAAAGGCGTCTTTAGTGCTAGAGTGCTAATAATAATATTCTTATTATTAGCTACTAATTAACTAAGCAATGCTATTTCTTTCTAACTATTACCTATAACTTTATTAAAGCAGTATAGTGCTTTATAGAAGTATTTAAGAATTATAAGCTGCCTCTTAATATTATCTTAGATTGCAGCACTATATTTATATATAAATTTTAGAAACGTATCTATGCTAGGCTTAAGATTAAGTAGAAACTATCTACTAGCTACTACTTAGAAACAGATAGCTAAATAGAGTAATATAATTAGTTCTTAGAAACGTACCTCTAATAATTTATTAACTTTACTTAGAATAATTAGATATTATTCTTATATATTGCTAAATTTTAAGCTAATAATATAGTTAATATCTCTATTAGTATAATACTATTTATAGCAGATTTAGGCTATTACCTCTGCAGCAGAATTTACTTTAGCAAAGAAGCTATAGCTAAGCTTAGTAAGTAGCTTTAGAGTTAATAGATATAAGCTAATAAACTAATAAATGCTAATACTAACTTAGTAGTGCACTTAAAAGAATAGATTTATTAAGCATAATAGAAGCAGTAAGCTTATGCTAATATCTTATACTATAGTAAGCTAGCCTATAAAATTAGAGATTAAGTATAGCTAAGCATAGCTAACTAGTTAATATTATAACCTACTAAGAAATTTAAAGATTAATAGGCAGGCCTATATATAGTAACCTGCATAATCTATAATAGCTAAGTATACTACCTAGACTTACTAGAAGAGATAATCTAATATAGTATCTTTCTAGTATTCTACTTACAGCTCTTATAGCTAGCAGATGCTAAACTACTACCTAACTAAGCACTTCTATAGCCTAAAGAAATTTCTATTATTAACTCTAATAGTAGTAAATACTCTAAATAGTATATTAACGTAGTAGTAGATTATAAATAGCAGAAATCTGCTCTATATAAAGGCTAGTAGTATTACTATATTAAATAGACTAATAATTTACTTTTTACTTAGAAACTAGCTACTAAGTTTAGTAAAAATTATAATGCTTTTCTCTACTACTATAAATACCTTAAGAGGCTAAAGCTGCCTTACTTTCGTTTTTCTTATAACTAGTAGCCTTATCTAGAAAACTAAGAGTTAATAGTAGGCTAGCTAGAGAAACTTAGTAATAAGAATAGATAGAAACTCTATAAAAGGCTTAGATAATAGTAAATAGCGTTATTACTATACTTCTGCTACTTTCTTTAAGAAGCTATCTCTATAGAGCTATATTATCTTAGCTTAATAATATCTATTCTTTAGTCTGCTATATTTTCTAATTATATTCTAAGGCTTAGCTGCTAGCAGTAGCTCTAGAATATTAGTATACTTTACTTTACTTCTTTTTTACTTTCTTTTCTTACTTCTAAAAAAGTAATTTTTATATTACTAGCTACTAAGAGTATCTATAATAGGCTCTAGTAAGAGGCAAAACTTTATGCTTATATTAGCCTTTACTTTGCTATACTACGCTAAATCTAATTTTAATAAGCTTATACTAAAGCGCTTATATCTACTAAATCTTATAAATATACATACTTAAAACTTTTTACTTTAGTTAAGCTAGCGTTATTACTACTAAAACTAGGCTTATACTAAAGCACTTTAAACACCTAGCTAGTAGTAAAGGTTATAGCATAAGTATCTAAAATATTCTTAGAAAAACTTACTCTTTTAAGTATTCTCTAAATAGTTTTAAGCTTAATTTTTATAGCGCAGAGTAGATAAGATAGAAAAAGTTATAGAAGTAAAGCAAATTTAGTATAAAACTTATATAACTTACGTAGCTATACTAAAATTATAAACTTATATTTGCTAAGTTCTACTTATATAGCTAAACTAAAGAAACTTATTAAAGTTTTTCTTTATTCTTTACTAAGCTCTAGCTACCTCTAGCTAAGCTTAGTAATACTTTCTAGGCTCTTTTAGCTTTCTTTATAGCTTAAGAGACCTTACTAAGTTTAGAAGAGGCATATATAAAGAATACTAGAGAGGTTTATATGCAAGTAAAGCATCTCTACTTAAACTTACTACTTACTCTCTAACTTACTACCTATGCTCTAGTATACCTTACTTACTTTAGCTTTCTCTTCTCTTTTCTTTTACTTTAGCTAGTTTACTCTAGGCTAGCGTATACGCTAGCTTAGCACCTATACGCTTTGCAGTATATATAGCTAGCTACTCTCTTCTCTTAGTAGACTCTTTATCTACTATTCTACTTTTAGTTAAATATAAGTACTTCTTATTAACCTAAGCCTTCTATGCCTGCAGTCTGCCTTATACTTATAGAGCTACGTAGATAGCTCTATCTACTACTCTACTAGTAGTATAGCTGCTAGGCTTTAGATAGCTATTAGAAGTAATAGAGCTACCTATAGAGCTGCTAATAAGCTATCTAAGCAGCTAATAGGCGCTCTAAATAGTAGCTTATAAGCACGTCTATAAGTAAGTATTTAAGTAACCTTAATACTATACTTAGCGTTAGTTTCTGCTACTCTAATAGCCTTATCTAAAGTCTTAGTAGCACCTTTAATAAGCTTAAAATAGATAGTAATAGTATAGGTAATTACTTCTCTAAGAGTTCTAGTATACTTCTTTACTAAGAGCATTAAGTTACTATAATAATAGTATATATTTCTATTAAGAATACTAGTAGAACTTAATATATATAATATTAACTATTATAAGAAACTTTCTATTAGCCTTATCTATTACTTAAAAACACGTCTATAATCCTCTACTATATTAGGTAGAAATATGCTAAAATATAAACATCTACTTAGTATCGTTAATACTCTCTAGAGAGCTATTTCCTATAGTAAATTAGCTTCTAAGGGTACCCTAGCTGTAGCTTATCCCTAGGCCAATTCAGGCTATTAAGATGCGCGATAGCCCCTTATTGGGATGCGCGTTAGCCATTCCCCTCAGAACTGTTCTATCAATCTCACCATCCCTATCTCGCGATAATAGGCCACTTCTTACTTCTGCACGCGCGTCTGACGCTGGTATCGATGCCGGACATTGTCCAAGTGCTGATCGTGGCGGATAAGAATTAGTCTCGAAGCTGATTGGATGCTACCCCATCTTCCGTCCATAAGTTTGTCACGACCGTTATCGCGCCCGCTGGACAATGTGGAGTAGCGTCGGGATTCAAGCTCAGCGAAGCTTTTGTCGAGCAATGTCGCTGCGTGGACATGCCCTTTGTGGACAAGCCACTGTCACGGTGGCTTGGCCAACGGGGTGGCCCCTCCACCTAGGTTGAGCTTATAAGGTCGCGTGCCAATGCCCTTCACACTTAACCTACGTGGTTCCTACTCGCAGCCCTCTCTTGGTACTGACAGAAAGACAAATTGAGGATGGAGAACGACCGATGTCTGGATGACGAAGCCCAGCTACAGGCCCTCGGGCACGAAGGAGAGCTCAAGCGCAACTTCAGTCTTCTGTCCATGCTTGGGCTGGCCTTTGCTATTTTGAACTCGTGGACCGCTCTTTCTTCGTCGCTTGGGCTCGCTTTACCTTCCGGAGGATCGACGAGCGTTATCTGGGGACTGCTGACGGCTGGCGTGTGCAATCTGGCGCTTGCTGCGTCACTGGCCGAATTCCTGTCAGCATATCCGACAGCTGGTGGACAGTAAGCTTTACTAGCAAGTGTCAAAGTCGAAACCTCACAAGTTCGCAGATATTATTGGGTTGCAGTCATCACTCCGAAACGTTGGGTGCCTCTGGCTTCCTGGATAACTGGCTGGATCAACGTTTCTGGTTGGCTTGCTTTGACGACTTCTGGAGGACTGCTTGCATCACAGCTCATCTCGGGACTTATCTTGCTATTCCATCCTGACTTCACTTTGAAGCCATATCAGGTCTGGTTGATATATGTAGCATGGACGCTCATCGCCTTCTTCGTCAATGCTTTCCTCAACGACATCCTGGCACACGTGAATCGGGTTGCCTTCATTTGGTCGATTGGCGGCTTCGCCATTGTCTGTATAACAGTGCTAGCATGCGCGTCGCCAAACTACGCTTCCGCTGAGTTTGTCTTTACTGAGTTCATCAACGAAACTGGCTGGCCAGACGGTGTCGCATGGCTCCTTGGTTTACTGCAAGGCGGTTTCGGAATCACTGGATACGACGCGGTGGCGCACATGATCGAGGAGATTCCAAACGCTTCAATTCAAGGACCCAAGATTATGATTTACTGTGTTTGCATCGGAACTGTAACTGGATTCTTCTTCCTCATGATTCTTCTGTTCGTGTCTGGCGGCGACGCGAAGGCAATCATTGAGTCTGCAGCAGGGCCACTCATCACGATCCTCAACAATGCTACTGGCAGTAAAGCAGGAGCGGTATGTTTACTCATGTTTCCGCTTGGCTGCATTCTTTTCGCAGAGATTGCTATCATGACCACCTCATCGCGCATGACGTATGCGTTCGCTAGAGACGGAGGAGTGCCCTGGTCTCCATTCTTCTCAAAGGTCCATCCGCGACTTGGCCAGCCTCTGAACGCTCTCATGTTAGCCGCGGGTTTAACAATTCTCTTTGGGTTGATCTTAATCGGCTCGAGCAGCGCATTCAATGCCCTCATCTCCGCCTCGGTAGTGGCTCTTGGTGTATCATATGCGATTCCCATCGCGATCAACGTCTGTCGCGGACGGAAAATGCTTCCGCCTAGAGCGTTTGCATTGCCGAACTGGCTTGGCTGGATTGCAAACTTGGTCGGTCTCGCATACACGACTGTCACTACCGTCCTCTTCCTCTTTCCACCAGAGCTTCCCGTTACCACTACGAACATGAGTATGTATACGCAGTACCCCATGATCACGCCTGCTAACTACTACAGACTACTGTGTTGTCGCTTTTGGTATTATTCTGTTCATCAGTGTGGTGCAGTGGCTTGTCGACGGCCGGAAGAACTTCACGGGGCCCCGAAGCGATATGGGTCTGGAAATCCTGGAAGCAACGAACAGCCTGGAACCTAACGACAACGAAGAGACGAGGCATGTCAAGGTGGCCGGGGAGGAGACCGGGCCACATACAGTAAAGGACTAAAGTCAGCTCTTGATCTGTTTCATGCAATATTTTCGCAAGTCCATTCGATTCCAATCGACATCTCAACAATCCATTTTCGCACATCATGCAACAATCAGGCATGGGATTTGTTTATTACGACATGTCTCGCTTCGAATAGTACCATGTTCACGTGGAATCGGATGCATGAGGCATTCACTAATTACTTGTCTTACTTTCAGGATACTGTTCATTATGCTGCGGGTCATCCGCCACTCCTATGGTTTGTCGCACATGACAAGCGTCTCGTCATGTCCCAAGCCAGCAAGCAGCCAACAAATAAGAACCAAACAACACAGCCTTGCCATTTCCTGGCTATTTACATGATCATGCAGGATCTTCCATAACCAAGCAAGCCGCCACCGGTGGTCATCATGGCTACACCAGCTAATACCAGAAGTTTCCCCAATCAGGATGGAAAGCTCAAGATCAGGATACCGAAAAAGGCGTGGAATGCTTTTGAGCCAGAGATCCACGAGGCAGCCTCCCGCACCGAGAGATCAGCAACGCGCAGCAGTCCAAGATCGAATTCAGACACCGAACAAGAACCTGATAGCGAGCCACCGCCCAGGTTAGACGCAGCCTTGCCCAGAAACTGCAAAGTCAAGCTCCAGAGCTTCCACTACGGAGGCCCCAAGCGCGTCACTCAAGGGGTTTTCCAGAACGAAGTAAAATACCATGCGCCCTGTCTCCAACCTACCTGTACGAACTGCTGGACTCATCACCAGCATTTGATGAGCCGTCCGACACTGCCCGATGAGCAGAACGTCTTCCAGCCCGCACCGAACCCGCTCAGTCCGCCAATCGACCCAGGAATTCTGGACGGCTCGTGGCGCTTCGACCTACCTCTCCAAGATAGTGCGGAAAGCAACCCTGAGAATGAGCGAGAGGCAGAGGAGCCGCGCTTCCCCGCGTTCATGCAGATGCCTGATGCTCCCGTTCAGGCCAGGCACGACCCTCCGTATCATTTCGCTCCACTAAATCGGACCTATAATATACTTCTCCCTACATCGATAGTTAACCAGACTGTCTCAGGTGCGCCGGCGAGGACGCAGTGGCGCTCTGAGCCGAGGAGGCATACAGTTCGTTTGGCTTTTGTATCGCGGGAGGGGAAGGCGAGGTTTGCGGAGTTGGTGAAGAGGAAGGAGAAGAAGGATAAGAGGAGGGAGTATGATCGGGCGAGGAGGGCGAAGAAGTGAGGGATGTAGATTGGATGGAGGAGGGAGGAGGGAGGAGGGAGATGAAGTCCGTACAATGAAGACTTTTGTCTACGACGACTAATTGTGACGTACATGTTCTTTTTGTGCCACTGCATAGCAGCACGATTCTCCATCTGAGCCTATCGCACGCAGATGAACGTCGACGGCTTTTCACGGAACTACCCCACTTTGGTCTCTCGCCTTGCTAACCAAGCCAAGCATTTCAGTTGCGGGATCCCTGCACGCACGCCCGCCGGATAGCGCACTACTTGTGTGTAAAGGCTCAGTCATCCTTCGCTCGCGACTCCACATGTGTATATAGCTCTGTTCTCCGCCGTCCCCAATGTTGGACGAGGTTCTCCCACCTTCGACACTCTCTAATGGCGCCTATGGTTAATATACGGGCGGTGCCGACCGCATGGCGATCGGCGACGGCTCGTGGCGAACATCGAGTTCGACACGCGATACGCGCGAGACACACGAGGGGCATAGCGACGAATGCGGCGATACGAGAGCCCGGAGTTCAGGTGCCTGGAGGAGTGCCGCCAGTGCCAGTTGCGCAGCGGAAAAGCGCTCTTGAGCAGCGCATAGCAGCCGTGAACGAGGCGAAACCCGTCTCCGACTTCTTGACGGATACATTCCGTAGGCAGCATGACTATCTGCGCATCAGCATCACTGAGCGGTGCAACCTGCGATGTCTGTACTGCATGCCCGAAGGTGCGCTTCCCATCTCGCGATGCTTGGGACGATGCTGATAGATGGTCCAGAGGGCATCCCACTTTCCCCGGCCGAGCACATGCTCACCACGCCCGAAATCTTCTACCTATCTTCGCTCTTTGTCTCGCAAGGCGTCACCAAAATTCGACTCACGGGTGGCGAGCCCACGGTGCGCCGCGACATCGTCCCGTTGATGCAGCAAATTGGCAGTCTTCGCACCAATGGCTTGCGCGAACTCGCCCTCACTACAAATGGCATTGCGCTACATAGGAAATTGGATGCCATGGTCGAATCAGGTCTGACGGCCGTCAACCTCAGCTTGGACACCTTGGACCCCTTCCAGTTCCAGATTATGACACGGCGAAACGGCTTTGATGCTGTCATGAAGTCGATCAACCGCATACTCGAGATGAACAAGCTGGGCGCGAACGTGAAGCTGAAGGTCAACTGTGTCGTCATGCGCGGGCTCAATGAGCGCGAAATCATACCCTTCGTAGAGATGGGCCGCGAGAAGGACATTGAAGTGCGCTTTATTGAATACATGCCGTTTGGCGGAAATAAGTGGAGCCAGGGCAAGATGATCAGTTTCCAGGAAATGCTCGACATCATACGCGCAAAATACCCCAACCTCAGACGACTACCTGGCCATAAGAACGATACAAGCAAGACATTCGAGGTGCCTGGTTTTGTAGGCAAGGTCGGCTTCATCACGAGCATGACCAATGACTTTTGCGGATCCTGTAACCGGCTACGCATAACGAGCGACGGCAATCTCAAGGTCTGTCTGCACGGCAATGCCGAAGTCTCTCTTAGAGACGTCCTCCGGCAGGGCAATGATGGCAAGCCTATCGACCAGGAAGCCTTCGAGCGCATTAAGCAGCTCGAAATGGACCGTCACGAGGGTCGACTGAGCGATGAGACCATTCTAGGCTGGGGCCAGCGCGAACGCGAACTACTCGATGTTGTTGGGGCTGCCGTCAAGCGCAAAGCCGAAAAGCACGCTGACATGGGCGATCTCGAAAACATGACAAATCGGCCTATGATCTTAATTGGTGGGTGAAATTGGATTCCTTGCACTTTCGTTTCTTCACATTTAGATATGGCTGGATGCTACCATGATACCACAATGGGATTGCATGGACGGCGTTTTGAGTAGTTCTCCGGTTGTGAGTCTACACCATCATTCTATATACCGCAATCATATACCCCATCGCTATCCTGCCCTACTATCTTGCTATCATGTCTTATCATGCGCATCGTGATGTACATTGCTAACTTTACACAGACAAAACGAGACCCTATGGTTGGCATTGCCATCTCGCGATCGCGACTTCGGAACAAATGCCAGCCCTCAACAATCTCACCTTACTCGTTCCTGTCCCACATCGTACACGCCTCAGGCTTCTTTCAGTGCGAGCCTTCCACACTGAAAGCAGCAGCCCAAGGACAGTCTTTCAGAGCAGCAACAACTGGGGGAAGAGAGGATAGATCTAGCCCAAGAAACACAGAAGATTGGATCACACCTTGCAAAACGCGATCGAGCACTCCTCCTCGACATCTATCAAAACGGCAAAATTGACTCACCGCTACCCGAAGAATTTGAGAGGCTTCGGAAAAGTTGCAAAGTGAATGGTCCCGGAGTACAATGAATACTGGCGCCTCGTTGCTGGCGCTCTATTGTGGGTTCGGGGTTGCAAGGAAAAATCAAAGCTCAAGCTGAGCGTCATTGAGGAAAATTCTATGGACCCAATGGATGCGAGAGCTACCCGGTTGCGGCATATGCGGCTCATTTCGCGCTTTGGTCCTGCTGAGAAAGATTTCTGGAGGAGGAATCGAAGTGAAATCTTCGTGGCACTCATGGCCGCAGGCGGCAGCAGCTCTGATCTTGGACACCAGATGGATTTCAACAGGGATATCGGGACTGGTTTTCTGAATGATGAGGATGTTCCACACCAAAGTGAAGATGTCAACGACAAAAAGCCGCCTCGCTACGGACCGGTCGATGAACAACCTGAATCCAGATCTCAACATGGTTTGGGTGTACGGGCTAGGAAGCTTGCTGCTGAAGTAGAGCGTCTCGAAGGGCGATTGAAGCACAGCCTGGCAGAGAACCCATCCGGGACAAACACGCAAGATGATACTTTGACGCCAAGCGCAAAGCTTACCAAGCGCGCAAAATGGCGCCAGAGTAAGCGTCGAAAAAGGCTAGAAGAGGCGCGTGAGGAGTGGCGTGAGGTTGAGTCTGAGTACCAAGGAGTCATCCAACAGCTGGAAACGATGCACGCTGGCGAGGAGGAGCAAGTAGCCGAAGATGAGGCGCCAAATATCGAGCGAGCCAAGAAACTGAAGGAACTGGAAACAAGGAGACTTGATCTACTTGCCGAAAAGAAAGACGTTCTCAGGAGACTTCAGGAGGTGGACGAGTCCAAAGCCACAGCCCGGAAGGAACAACGAGAAGCAAGGGATGAGAAAGAACCAGACGCGGATCTAGACGATATCCTGAAATTGGCTGTTAAAAAAGTTGAGGCGAAGAGAAACTTTGAAAACAGGATCAGTAAATTGACCGAAGCAGCGATACGCAGCGAGCAGGACGGGGATCGCCGCCAGAACAGGATTGCTGGGAGGAACGACGCACCGGTGGCACCACGTAGCGATCGAGCAGAGCAACCCCTCCGAAACATAATCCCTGAGAAGGAGAACGTACGGTCGCCAGCAAGTAACGGCCTTGAAGAGCTTATCGCTGCGAGCGGACATGGGCTTGACTCGACGAGCAAGTCTCCCACTAAAGCTAGAAAAGGATCGAGTCCCGCTCAGTCTCAGCTGAAGCAAGTAGTATCACAACAGAGCGTGGATGTCGCTATGCAGTCTCAGTCCAAAAAGCTCTCCAGACCGAAAGACGGCGTGCATCTCAAGGTGCCAGCATCAGGCAAGATACAAATTGACGAGAATCTGACTCTCTCCCTGAATGCCGGCACCGCATCATTGCAAGAACAGATCATTGCAATGCAAGCCCGTCTGCGCGAGTCATACCCCCGCATTGACCAGGCACCTTTCACAGTCGAAGAGAATAAGAATCGTAATACCCTGCAGTCGTGGCTCAAGGTCTTGGTCGGTCGATGGGAAGCACGCTCTCTTTCATCGATCGGCATGGACAAGACAGATGCAGAACTCCGGAGTTTTATGGACCAGATGGTGAGGGACCACAACCTGAGTAATGAGTCGGCGGAGCGCATGGCGGAAAAGTGGAAGCGTATACTTGAAGCGCGTGAAGCCTCAAAAAAAGCGGATTCTGGTCACGAGTTGACAGGAAACGACGAACAGTCGCTAGAAGTAGCAGGAGAACTGTCACCAGAAGTGGCAAAGAAGTCTGTCCAGGACGAAACGGAACTAGAAAAATTGGTCAGCGCTGTAGAAAAGCAGGCAACGGTGATTGAAGAACTAGATGACGCTATCGACGAAGAAGAATGGGATATTGGTGGACTGGGTTTCTTGCGCGCGGACGACACCTATACCGAGACCGACGCTCCAGAGGACAGCACGAAGCCTGCGCCAACCAGCACGTCCACAAAGAAGCCCTCAAATTCCCCGCTTGCATCACTCTCACGCCGTCTCTACTCCACCTCATCCCGCCCACCAGTTGACCCTGCGCCTGCACCAGAGTCGGAGAAGCCAATAGCACCTTCAGCATCAGTGTCGGCAGCAGCTTCCCCTGCGTCTCAACTCCCCCATCTTACACCATCAGGCTCAGCACACATGGTCTCCGTCTCCGCCAAAGCGCATACCATCCGCACCGCCATCGCCGTCGGAACAGTATACTTCACAAACCACACACCCTTCAGCCTCATTAAATCCAACACCCTGAAAAAGGGCGACGTCCTCAGCGTCTCCCGCATCGCAGGCATCATGGCCGCCAAGAAATGCCCCGACCTCATCCCACTATGTCATCCGATTGCCCTCACCAGTGTAGGCGTCGAACTGAAAGTCCTTTCGCCTGGCGAGACGGACGACAGCTACGGCGGTGTACATATCGAAGCACGCGTCAGTTGCACGGGCCCAACGGGCGTGGAAATGGAGGCGCTGACGAGCGTCATGGGCGCAGCGCTGAGCGTGGTGGACATGTGCAAGGCTGTGGATAGGTTTCAGCGGATTTGCGATGTGAGGGTTGTGCTAAAGGAGGGTGGGAAGAGTGGGATGTGGAGGGAAGAGGGGTGGACGTCAGTTGTACACACGGACGATGCTGAGAGTTAGAGTGACGTTGTATAATACAGGCTAAGGGGGTGCAAAATGCGGGGTGTGGAGGGAAGAAGGGTGGAAGTCATCTCAACCTACGGAAGTGACGTTGTATAATACACGCCAAAAAGTAAACAGGCATGATGTACGATTGGGTAGTGTGTCTAGTAACGCAAGCATTCCGCGGCGTTCTTCGGGTAGATCTAGTGTTTGCATATCTCATCTTCTTGCGCAACGAATGGCAGCGCAATTATTCTCCACCTATATTAAATCGCTCGCATCTAGAATTTATACTACCCATGTCTTCGGCGTTATAAAACAGAGCCAGTCGCTAAATCGAAAAGAAAGAAGGGTTTTCCATGCTTGTAGGGAAATGGCGATAGGATCCAGAGAAGCATTGATTGGCTCAGGCCATCTAATAATGACCGGCGCCATAGAAATGTGTACAAGCAAAGCCGCTACAACAGCTGCGAAACGCATACTTGTTCAAACAAGAGTTTGCCACGCTGATCGTATGCGTTGTTATAAAACCTTGCTACCATGGCATCTGTTAAGCAACAAAACACTCCTTTATTCCACATATACCCGCGATGCAGCTCTTCGGCGCTTTCTCTCTCATCCTGCCTTGGGCCAGCGTGCCCGTGGGCGCTTCTGTTGACGTCGAGCTCCAAATCCTGGACCGCACGGGACACAGACGAGTCGTGCGGAAACCTAAGCTGCCGCGCTTTACACTGCCCTTTTCACAGGTCTCGTTCCGCTCATTCAGATTGTTGGGCGCACCGCTGATGGAATCACAGACGCCCCGCCCTGTCGCGCTTGCGCGAGATTGGTCGCCGTCGTATGCGGGTACAGGGCCGTGTTGGAGATATACTTGAAAAGATTGTTGGAGGGGGGAGAGGGCGGGAGGGCGTATGGCTTTGGAATGGGAGAGCTGGGTTGTACGAGGTTTGCACAATCACATTCCATCACATCTGTGACGTGTTCAGACGTGTACTGGTATAGAAGATCTGGGAGCATGATTCGCCAGCCTTACGATCATTGCGGTAATGATCAAATCATCTTCGCAGGTTATTGAGATCGCGATGCTGCAGTGCTGGATATGTGTTTGCTGCGAACGGAAAGATCTGTACGGCAGTGACGACTTAGGCTAGTGTGTTTGGAGCTTTGCGTCCATTCTTGTCCGAGAGATCGATTTCTTGGGAGTGATGTACTGTACACGTCACTTACTGCATCGATCGCGGAGCCTATATATAGAGTAGCACTGCTCAGGTGACATGAATGTTACTACTAAAGGTAGACTTAAAGTCCGCTTGAAAAGCCGCATTCGTGGCTCAACTCTAGACCGACCTGACAAGTCAAACACGCCGACCGAATATTGCAAGTTTCGATCAATTGACTGAGAGCAACTATACCAAGATGCGACCCCAAATCATTCTTATCACTACATCGGTCGCAACCGCGATCCCAGTCCCGCTTCATGATACAAACTTCAGTTCCCTTCCGGAACGGCCAGTCGAGATGAAAGGCTCAGAAATTTACACAAATCATCGGTTATCTGATTCTCTGGTATAATCTGCAATGGTGACAAATCCTGTGCGATTGAACTTTGTACGCTGGTACAAAAAGTGAGTTCTTCGCTCCAGAACCGCGGAATCGCATGCTCGTAAAAAGCGTATCACTCCCGATGCAACAAAGCATGTCAATAGCAGTCAACATCATCTTTCCTAACCACTCCTCGTCAATTTCAATCAAAATGCGCCTCGAACTCATCATCTTCCTTGCCACTGCCGCCATCGCCCGTCCCCTAATCGACCATGTGTCAGCCAAAAACCATCATCCCAGGTGGCTTTCACCACACCTTCAACTAGGGTCATCAACGCGAGGCCGATGGAGCTGCCAATCCCACAATTGATCAAATGTTGTAGAAGGAACCTGCTTTCATTTGAGGAAGTTCCCTTCACTTCCCCAATGAGCGTGGCCAGGACAGGACGGATGATTAGTCTGCCTCGCATATTACGGGACCGAGTTTACTAGAATTGGTGAATGTAAATGGGGCGGGATGGATGCGTTCTAGATTGGATTCCCGGACGTTTTCACTGACATGTTCGACAACAGACTTGAACTCATAGCCGTACAAATTTAAAATCCGTTCCCGCAAGACGAAGCCATGCCTTCACACTAAGTCAAATATCTGTATCTTGATTCCTGCCTTCACAAACTTCTCCTGGACACATGTGTCTCAAGTCCACTCATCGACAGGTTCTCCAAGATTCCTTTCTCCACCAACTCACCCAAGATCTCTCAATTCGTACATTAGTATCGAAGATCCGCGCCGAGTCGGTGTCCCTGAAATTCCTGCTCTTCAGAACTCCCATCACACGAGGATCTAGCGCGTGAATTCTTCCATAGAAGGCCGAGGATAGACCTTACCATTTGATGCCCCCATAGAACTCCACCATGTTGTCAATAGAATAGGGGTATGGATAGTCTTCATCTTCGGGTTCCAAAATCTCACCGTCTTCGCGATCCGCTCTCTTGGCAATCTCTTCGTAGAGCATGTCTGGCGATTGGTTCGAAGTAGCGGAGACATTGTCTTGAATGGAGCTGGAATGAGATTGAGTGACCTCGAGCCCGCTCGTCGCCCGTGTGGTCTTCTTTCCATTTAATTGAGTAGCACCGTGTCCAGTGGGCCAATACTCTGCCTCGTGCACGATCTCGGGGGGTACACTTCTTTGTTCAGGAGTAAGGGCTTTGTACTCTTCTTCGGTGAGCTCAGGCACCTGAAGGTACGTAATCTAACGGAAGACATTAGTTTACATTCTTTTCTCCTTCCATTTTGCAGCAAAGGGTATACTGACTTTTGTGACTTTCTTGTCCTGTGGTCGGTTACCGTCAATCAAGGTCGGAAATTCAGTCTCCCACCAGATACCATTTTCTGGCACGTTCTTTTCCTGCTGCAAATCGGCAGTAGTCATCACAAAGACTTCTCCAGTACATTCCATTGCCATGGCCTTTGACATGGCCATGAAGTATAATCGTTGACATCCGTTGATCTTGTTACCCATATCTGTTTTCAACGCATCCTCATAGATGCATCTAGCTTCCGGAGTCTCTTCCCAATTCTTTGGATTTGGATAAAACTTTTTATCATGCAAGTCCTGTGAAAGATAAAGTCAAAAAAATGTCAATGCGCGTAGCTACTGGTCAAACATACCCAAATCGTCTGATATTTGCGAGGTCCTTCAGTAGCAGCTGCACCCAGGGCTGCCCTCAATACAAAGTTGCCTTCTCTTTCTGCTGCACCTGATAGTCCGGAGGTGTAAAAGAGACATGGTACTGTGCAGTCCTTGGTCTTTGCGGCTCGGTTTGCAAGGAATTTCTGAAAGTTTTAGCATCAGAGGTAGACACTTGAGTTTCCTTTCCCGGGCCACTCACATCAACAGTAGCATCCATCATGGTCCAACAACCTGGTTTCGGCAAATGTCCTCTGCACGTATCGTCTTGGACGCCGAATTTGGCACCAAACTGGGCATTAGAAAAGACGTCTTCGGCAATGACTCCTCGTTTCTCAATTGGCCATGGGGTAAAGCCAGGAGTTTCCTCAATTGGTAAGGAATTGGCCGACTTGATGTGGATCCAGACCAAGAGAATCACGGGTAGCAGCTTCATGGTGATTGGCAACGGCAAAGAAAAAGAGGAACCAGAATTTTGCTAAAAACTTCAAATATGGTGAAATTTGCGGGTTGTACAAGCGCTTTACAAAAAGGGTGGGTACAGATGTGAAGTGGTTGTACAAGTCTGATAGAAGCCGAACCTCAGATGTAGTCGACCTGTATATAACCTCTACATCTGCACAGCCGAAAATCAAGCCTCCATGAATATATTACCTAGATAGATACTTCATATGTGGCAAAGACGTTGGTTTACTGCAACAAGGCTGTGCAAACCTCACAGCATCCTTACTCGTGTGTGTTTCAAAGGGAGACAGAGCCTGAGGTAAGACATTATGGAAGCTTTGTTACGGTTCAAAATAGAATAGCCAACTGGTTTCATTGCCTTAGGGCGTACAATTTCAATTCAGGATGACTTCCTGGGAACATGATGTCCACAGTGAGCATGTTGGAACTGTCATTTTCCCCATGCTCTCGAACATGTTGGGAATGTCGGTTTGCGCATGCCCTCGAACATGTTGGAGCAACGCCCCCGCGCGTAGAAATCACAAGGGCCATAGCCAATCGTGGCAGAGTTGTACCACTAGAAGTGTCAGTTTGGCATCAGGTGCGTACCGCTGGTCTGCAGTAGCAGTCTTCACAAGGCGCCGACGAGGCAAGCATGTGCCACGCACTTTTAGTGGCAGCCTGCACGGTCTTCAGTCAGCTCCTGAAAGAGCCTGAAACAACTATCGCAAATACAGTCGTGCTCTTACCCTTTTGCTTAAACAAGCCTCGTCTAGTTGGGAACGCTGTGCCGACCTCGAGACTTTAGGCGCTGGCTGTCTTACGCGAAGTTTTCTAAAACTAACGGGGCGACAATCTTACCAACATATCGCTTTAACGCGACTGCGCCAGGTAAGCGAGCCCAAACAAGATAGCCAAGCATTTAGGCTGCACCTCAGTCTTGCCACGCGACCCTGTCTGACGCTTTTCACTCTACTGACCCAGCGATACTATCACTTTGAATCCGTTGGAGTTTTGACGCATGCTCTCCGGGCCTGCTCAACGCTTTCTACAGCTTTTGACAACCTCGATATTAATCATCATGGCCATGCCGAAGAGCTCTATTTGTTTTAGGGAAGCATACGACTTGCGAACCGAGGGCCGAATCCAGCTTGAAGAATACTTGAAGCACATTGTGGCACATTATGAGGGAATGAGACACGAGACAGATGCCGAAGGAAACCGACCTTTCCTTTACGCGGGTTTCGAAGATGAAGTCCGAAAAATTGTGCTGGGCAAAGACTTTGAGCCGCTCAATGAAGGTGGTGAGTGCACTGCTCCTAATTACCTGTGGCATGATTTTGACTCTAAGTTTCAGAAACTGCACTTGTGTATTCCATTTTTGTGAGCGCTTTCCAAGGCAACTTTTCCGCTGTGCAAGAATTGCTCAGCTCTTCGATGTTGGCTTCGGAAACATACCTCTGCCCTCTTGTTGAGATTGCAAAGGAGACTGGAGAATGCACAGCTACTCCGGCTCTGCCTTTCTATGGGATACAGGCTCACGGGTTACAACGAGTGCAACAGGATCTTGGATTGTCGGACCGAAAAAAACCCATCCACAGAATGGCTCAATGTTCTCTACGACTTTGACTTTCGACAGTGGCGTACAGACAGGGAGCAGTTGAACAAATGGGCGACTTGGCACTATGTGCTCAACATGGGACCCCAGTGCACCCGCTGGTGGGTTGACCACGGTGGTCGCACACCGCGAGCGCTCGAGGTTTATTCTCGGGTTACCAACCAGCCTGGCCAGGAGCTCCCACATTTAGAGTTCTATTGGACCATTTTGGAATCGATTGGTTCACAAACTCGGGAACCCTTCAACTGGCAACCAAGAAGCAAGACTTCGAGACTGTAAAGATGTTGGTGGAAGCCGGAGCCAATGTAAACGAAAGTGTGGAAGACTGGAATCGTGATATTCGGGAAAATCGGGCAGCGCCCTTGCCAGCATTGCATATGGCAGTGTATGCAAAATCCGAAAAGATGATCCGATACTTGATAGATCATGGGGCAAAATTGCCTCGCAAGGACATTGAAGATCCGTACAACCTGACTCCACAGGAATTCAAACCCTTTAACCAACTGGTTGTCGAGCTTGGTGGCGTTGAATAGATTGCGAAGCTATATTTGGAATTAAATCCCATTTTGAGGTTCACATTAATGGACTCAAAGCGTAGACTATATGAGGATGTGTATGCTAAGCCCACCTTGTGAATTGTGCACTGTTACCTTGTTCGCAATGATTTCCGCTCAAATTGATGGCGCAATGCAGTTTCAGCACCCTACCGTGGTACGAGAACATCGTAAGCGATAGTCGTTGTTGGTCGAGGACAATATTGCGCAAGACCAACCTGTCACATGAGCACATATGCACGAGTATGAATCAACAGTCTCCATCGCGCCAATGCCGCATGAATTGTAGTCTAGAATAGATTTTTCATGCCTCGGGCGTAAAATTACAGAACGTGGCTAACTGAATGCAAGCGCTCGGGGACAAGATTCAGCCGCCCTGAAAATGACCAACATGTTGGCAGCACAGCCTTTTGCAGGCTGGCGCACAGGACCCGGAGACTGCTCTGCACTAAGTCAGAGATTACTTGAATTGTATGCTATAATTAAAGCCACGAGTTGGCTTGAGGTCCTGGGGTCTACATAGGTAGCCCTCTCAAGCACTCTCTATTGATGCACCGATACATTCGACATATTCTTCTTCTTCCTCCTCCGCCACATCACTCTCGTCAACACACTATACACTTTACCCATCTGTTATACGATATTTAAAAGCCGATTCATTGCCTTTGCATACATTTCAAAATGCTCTCTTTCAACTTGAACGTCCTCGTCACTCTGACAACTCTTTCGGCCTGGGGCAATGCCTATACAATGACCCATTACACCGGCATACAATGTCGTGGTGGAGGACTCGGCAAAGCAGATGTTAATCCCACTTCTGGCTGTCAACGAGGCTTTGCTGGAAATGCCGCATCAGTCGTAGTCAGGGCTGCCGACAACGACAAGGACTTTGGAAACGCAGTCGTCTTTTTTAGCGGCTCTGACTGCAATCCTAAAGATATTATGAACAACGGCGACGGGTTCAGCGACGATGGTTGCTTTACTGCCAACTATGGCAGTTATGAAGTCTGGGAGTTGTGGAAGGTTTAGGATTTGAGTGCTTTGGTCTGAGGAAATGCAACATGGAACGGTACAGATGTAGTGCTTTTTTTTGACTCAAATGGTCATTGTATCATTGGGTGTGCGACAAATTGCGTTTTGCTTTTTCCCATCGCTTTCATTTCTGTATTACAAGTCGGGGTTTGAAATACCAAGAATTACAACCACATCAAATATCATCAAATCACTTAGATATTGCATCTTGCAAATTGTTGATTCTTTCTTCCTCTGCTTCTCGTTGCCACTACGACGGTCCTAGACCATGTCGGGTACCTAGATAGCCCTTGCACTCGGCAGTAAACTCGTGTATATCCATTACGCATATCCTAGACCCTGGAGTATAAATGTGATACACGTCTTTGTAAAAATAGTCGCGATGAGACAAAACCCAGCGATAAAGCTGTGCAACCATTTTCATACAGTCTAGTGTGGGGCTGTCGTGTTCCGGGCGGTGTTCCGTGCCGCAGACCAGTTGCCATATTACAAGCTCACTAAGCGTACGCCCGGAAATGGCTTAGTTCCTGTAAGCGCTTTGCCCCAGGCTTAGTATAGTGTTAGCATATGTACATGGCCTGTTTGTCTCAATAACCCACGTGCAGGCTGTGCCTATGATCCAACATGTAGGCGGGCATGACGATGGAGCGAGTTGTAGGGTTTGCCTGCTTTCAGTCAGATTATATCACTATCCGCTATGAAATTTATCAAAATAGCAATTCCAACACTATGCGCCTCGCCTACCAAAATACTACCTAGTGAGTGCCGACTCCAGGCAAACGTATAAAACCTGTGTAGTTATAACCATGGTCTCATCATTCTCTACAATCGATTTATTTCCCATCACATCACAAGCAACCTCGTTTCTTCATCATGCGCATCACAAAGACTTGTCAGGCCATTTTATTTCTACTCAACCACTTGGTGGCTGCCCATGTACCACTTGAAGCCATTGCACCCCTCAAGCATGTTGGAAGAGCCAGTGAACTCGATGTGTGGCAAAAGGGAACACCAGCCACCCATGAAAATCATCTACAACCCAGTCCGGTTGAGCTAACCGCAAGAGCGCCCGATTCTGGCAATGCCTGTGATAGGAAGGCCAAGTGCAAGAAGAAGAAGATCAGAGATCCCACCAATGCCAGCAAGTGCAAACGATGCCCGCCACTCATGAAGGCAGATCCCACTCATACCATTTGCATCCAGGACAAGGACATCAAAGATGAAGAGAAGAAGAAGACCTACAAGGACAAGATTAAAGAAAAGGCCCAGCAAATGATGAAGGACTTCAAAGACAAGATCAAGGAGCGCATCCAACAGAAGAAGCCTGCAAAGACTACGGAATGGGAAAAGAAGGACGCAACAAGACGAGACCGGCTGAATAACAAAAAGCTTCGTCGCATTGCGCAGTGTCTTCCCCTGGTTGCTGCAGCTATTGGTACCCAGGCCATGCTCGAAATGGCCGACGGGGGTTTTTCAGAAGACTTGCTCGATGGCATCGACAGTGATACGCTCGATCTCTGGCCTGGCACAGATATCGATGACAATTATCTAGACAAGACTATGCCCGACGACTTGAACGACATTACCGGCGAGGACTATGTGAATCAGTTTCTGCAGGTTGGAGATGCAGCCAACGCAAAGCGTTCGATTGACCTGCAAGACGTGGACAATGAGACCGAGACAGATTCGGGTATTTCCGAGCAGGGTGCAGACAAGCGCGACATTTTTGGCGACATTATTGCGGGCTTTGTAACCATTGGCCGCGCCATTGCGGCAGCGGCGACTAGAGCAGCTGGCCAGGTCGGTCAGGCAGCCGCCCGAGCGACTAAATTCTTTTCAACGCGCAAGCCCAACTTGAAGAAACCTGGCGAATCTAAACTCAGCCGCGCAGAGCAAAAGGACAAAGCCAAGGAAGTATCGCAGAATAAGAATTGGAAGAACTGCCTTCGTGGTGAGAAGCCGGAAAAGTAGTATAAACTTGGTCCGTTGATAAGATTGAGAAGAGGCCGCGTTTTGGCAGCTTTTGAATTTGGGCTTGTTTTGAAATATAGAGTCTTAGTTTTCTTTTCTTTTCGCAGCAATACTGTTCTGTACAGTAAGATATATCAAAGGCAACAGAGGTCTCACGTTGCAAAGTTGAGTGAGAAATGTCTAAAGTCAATGCTCTATCCAATAGCCCATAGTGTATATTGATAAGTCGAAATGCATTGGGTTTCGTCAAAAGGAAGTACTTGAGAAAGGCCATGTCTCATGACGCAAGATCTGCGAGGAAGCCATCACGGCATCTGACGCTCAAGACCATGATATGTGCTCGAGGGGGACTATATACAGGGCTGTTCTATATCTGAATTCAAAACTCCAAAAGCCACACGCTCACTGATCAAATAGAGGGGAGAAGAGTAAGATGAGAAGGCTTCATTCATCTTCATGTTTACAGTCTAAGATCCCACACTTGAAGTAATTTGTAAGGCCACTTCTACGTTGAAGTGAAGTCTAACACGGCCAAATACAAGCAGATATCTCACAAGAATCCCCAGTTCTCCATCGTATGCCTCCAAGCCGCAGCAACGTTGGACCTCCTCGACTTCGCGCTCGAGCGCTTATCGATAGCTTCCATCGGTCGTCCCAGCATGTAAGGCGCCATGCGATCACCAAATATGTGTATGCAATTCCTCACTCCACCATCATTGTTGTGTAGGTTATCCGCCAGGATGCCCTCCACAAAGCACTGGATCGCGTGATTTCCGGCAGCGCCTGATTCACCTACTCCGTGGCCCTTCAAACCCCGTCGGTTCGAGGCTTCAACTACGATAGGCAAGTCAGTGAAGTCCATGATGCCGCTGTTGGCGAGGTCGAATTCTGTGGCAGGCCCGGTCAGGTGCGTCCAGAATGAAGGCCAGAGGATGTCGTTGTTGCGGCGGAAGTCGGAGCGGCCGATGAAGAAAATGGGCGCAGCGGAGGTATGGTTCAAAGGCGGGGCTGAGCCGGAGAGATTGATGGAGATAATGACGTTAGGGTCCTCGGTGCTGAGGGAGGTGGCAACGGTGCCGCCGAGGCCATGGCCGACGACAGAGTAGCCTGTCGTGTTGAGGGTGCCGCTGAACTGGAAGTCGGGAAAGTTCTTGGTGACTTTGCTAGCGTCTCCGAGCTGAGAGAGGGCAAATTTAATGTCGGCGATACGGATGGACACGGCAGTTTCGACGGTTGAGTTCCATTCCATAAGAGGTGAGTAGTTGGATAGACCTGTGGCGCCGTTCTGGTACACGACTGACTTGTCTGGGAACTCGACGACGGAAGAATCATATGGATGGTCAATCAAGACAACTGCGACGTTATTGGCAGTCATGTACCGCGCCAGGTTAGCGTAAAGCAGTCTGCTAGTGTCGGTGTGTGGCTCGAGGACGACGACGGGAATGTCGGACATGTTGATTGGAGAGTTCCCACTGGAACAAACTGTGTACGCTATCTTGTCAAAGACACCAACGGGAGTGTCACCGAGCATCTGGAAATCGGCGATGATGGCAGCTGGAGAGCTCATGTACGGGCGCTCGACCTCTTTCGCGCAATTCGCAACCGGTACCGGCATGAACAAGCTGACCATGATCTTGCGGTCTTCATCCTGGCTGTGAGGGTCCTTGCGCATTGTATCGATGAGCTCGATATCAGCGACCGCGATTTTGTACTGGTGCTGGTCGTCTGGGCCAGGGAGGAGGACACTGCTGACCACAGGGCTGCAGATGGCGAGGATCCCCGCGAGAAGGTAAAGAATGCCACCCATTGCTATGATAAGTGACGGTCGAAATGGAGTTGAGGGGACTTCTTCTGGGGCAGAGTAGATCGGGTGGTAGGTTTTCTGGTGAGGTGCGGGAGGTGAAAAAGGCAGAGGGGCTCTCGGCGGGGGATTATCGGCTTTCGATGTCATAGTGAGAGTGCAAACGGCGACAGGCTGCAAAGCAGAAAGTTGCTGCCGGAGCGTTTGACAGGGAGGAAGTGAAAACAACAATCATGACTTGCTTTGAGATGTTGACACCTTTTCATAAGTGGGTTTCCACGTGCTCGCTGCGATTGGCGTAAATAATGTACCATGATGTGCGGGTATCCATAGACGAGTTCAACCACTTCCACGTGGGCGGTCGAATCTCTCTTGACATCAATGGCAGGAGCGACTGCGAGATAAGCAGCAACACTAAACGCGCAACACCAAATGCGATTACGGACGAAGATGCTAAAGTAAGGATGAGTGACCAAGTGTTTCGAATAGTGGACAACATATTATGCCCATGCATTTGTGAGTACTTGCTTCGCGGATCGTCCGCCAAATCGGATAAGTCTTGAAATCCATAATGGCTTAACAGAATATCTATAAATCTTCTACGCCATGTCTCCACCTAGAGAGATGATCGTTACTTCCTACGCAACCTAAGCAAAGTAAACTGTGTACTATATCTACTGATGAAGCAAAGTAAAAGTGTAGCATGTGTACTAAAAGTAGATCACGAGGGTCACTTGTTTAAGAAGTCAAGATTTGATCAGCAGGTATATTTCACACGATCGAGGCCAGCCCATCGTGCACAATCTAGGAACAACAAACTACAAAAGGGGGTATACCAAGCGCCTTGAAACGCTCTCCAGACTCCCAAACAAAGCAAACATTCAGCACGACCCTGACGCCTTTCATGGATAACACATACAACAGCTGTCAGGGAACAAAGGGAGGAGTGGGTGAGAGAGCAAGAGACAAAGAGCCTTACGAACCACGGCTAGCAAGGCGGACGCTGCGCCGAGTAGGTGTAGCTGCCATCTGGCTAGGCGGGTCGTTCATGGCAAATTCTTTGCTCTCGGAGACGGGCTGGAGGGCGAAGCTGGCCTGACGACCATGGCTAGGCTTACGCTGAGACCGCTTCATGATACCGGCGTGCTGTGGTCCATGAGACAGAGTGCTAGACTTGCGACGAAGAAGGGTCTTCATCAGCTCGGCGTACTCAAGCGAGTCCCGGCGTACGGATGTCGGGACCACGTCTGATTGTGCGTCCCAGTTTTCAATGTCGTATTTGCTGCCATTCTGTACGAAGAACTGCGAGAAAGACTCGTGGCGAGGGATCTGTGCAGCCTCGTAGCCCTGGTCAGCATACGGTTCGGGCGCCTGGAGTGGTGCAACAGGTGGAGGTGGAGTGTTGGGTAGCGGAGGCAGTGGAGGCAACAGCTGCTGCTGGGCGGCATCGACGGAGTAGTTGACGCGCTGGCGCTTGCGAGGAGAAGAGCGCGTGCCATGCGGGGACTCGACATCAGGACCAGGCTGGTATAGATCGTCAAAATCCTCACGGCGAGGATAAGAGGGCATAGCACGAGTCTGATAGAACTCTGGCTCCGAGTCGGACTCGTCGTCAAGAACCACAACCTTGCGCTTTGTGGTGCGAGTAGAAGGATCAGCAGCGGCCTTGCCTTTACCCTTCTTGCGAGAGGTACCGGCAGCATCCTCATCCTCGAGCTCCTTCCGGAGGGCCATGCACTCGGCGATGCGTCGATTGACAATGCCGCCATAGAAGTCGACGTAGAAGAGCTCAAGATTGGCGTCCTTGGGCTTGATGCTGTTGGTCTTGCAATAGTCCTTGAAAGAGCTCAACTTCTTGACCCTCTCCTCGAGCATGGCGACCTCCAGATCGCCTCCGTTGATGATGAGCTGCCCAGGGGCAAGCTTACGGCAGACAAATTGGCGCTTCTGTGAGCGTGTGCGGTTAGCAGAGTTGACCTCGACGAGAGCCTTGGTCAGCGTGTGGTCGAAGTCTTTGGCCTCACGGGATGACACGTGAACAGGATAGTCCTTGAAATGCTCTGACTCGCGAAGCTTGTCCTTCCGGCAGGCCTTCACGAAGTACTTCGCGAGGGCTGTCTCGGGGCGCTTAGCCATGGTCCACCTAGCGATAGAGCTCTCCCGCGGGAACTCTTCGCGCTCGTCGACCTCGACGTTGGTCTGTCTGCAAATCGCCTCAAAGTCACAGAAGCGCTCGAGACAAGTCAGATGCACGAAGCCAGTGCAGTCATAAGGATCGAGGGCCTTGTTGGGATTGGACTTGTGCTGCCTGAGCGTCAAGTACTTCTCGTCAAAGGCGACTCGGTAGTGGCCGGGCTGAATGTTGCCGTGCTTGTTGTACTGACGAGTAGGGCACTCACTAAACAAGCACTTGGAGTGCTCCTGAGAGGCATAGCGACGAGCCGCGTCTGATGGGGTGACCTGAATCCAAAGCTTAAGATGCTCACTAGGAAATTTCATGATGTAAGCCATGATCTTCCGAGCAGACATCTCGTTGTCTAACAGCTCGTCCAGCTTGGAAACGGCATCGTGCTTGTACTCGTATGTGTACTTGTCGTTAGGTGTGCTCCAAGTGCCGACTGGTAGAGGCTGGTACAAATACCCGCGATCCTCCTCGGCCTCTTGGTTGATACGACCTGTGCGCGTGGTCTCGCCCCGAGTGGCAGTGTTAATGCGCACCCATGTCTTCTTCTTATCCTTTTGAGGCTTCTGACCAGTTCGCTTGACAACTTTTGTGGAAGGCTGCTTGCCAAGAGAGCTGTTGCTCGAAAGACCAGATCCAGCGCGAGACTTCTTGCCGGGAAGTGCTGACTTGGTGACCAGGTCACTGTCAGAATCAGACTCGTAGGCTTCTCGGGCCGGGGCTGTGGTTTGGGGGCGAGTGTGGGAGGGTGTGCCTCGGCCAGAGACCGAGTAGGAACGAGGTCGCTGAGCTGATTGCTGTACAGGATACTGCTGCACACTCTGTGTGTAGTCTGGGCTGACATAGTATGGCTGTGGCTGTGAACGCTGCATAACTGATGGGTCATCGTATGTGTGCGTCATCTGCATGCCTTGCTGAGGATACGCAGACCCAGTCTGTGCATCTGGCATTGGCACGAACACGTCGTCAGTCATGTCCGGCAGAGCAGTGAGTCCCGGCGTACCCTGCAGGCCAGTAGGCTGCGAGTACTGAAACTGGGGCTGCGACATGTACAGAACAGGGTCAATAGTATCCGAAGTACCATACTGATTGCCGTACAACTGCGGTTGTGGCTGTGTGTGTGAGTAGGGAACATAGACGTCCTGCTGGAAATTTCCGCCTTGGAAGGGTACAAGCTGTACGGGCTGTATAGGTTGTCCGTGCTGCCAAACGTTAGGATACTCAGCAGAGAATGAGCTTTTGAGACCTACCGCTAAAGAATCAAGATGGAGGGCAAACTCCGGATCGAACTCCCAGTTCGTGAAATCGGCGTCCTCAGGAACTGCAAAAGTGGCCTGAGCCTGGCCCTGCACACGAGAACCTGCTTGAGTGGACTGGCGACGGCTAGCAATGCTGTCGGAACGTGAATGAGACATCAAGGGAGACTTGACTGGAAGACTTGAAATGGAGTTGCGCTGGGGAATGTTTGTGATGAGAGACGATGAGTCAGAATCCAAGGGATGATCACTAATGATCTGTTCGCTCGGATCTGGCTGTGCCTGCTGATGAGTTGTAGAAGGAGACATTACTGATGTTGTTTTTATAATTGCTATCCTGCATAGTGTAGAGCGAAATGGCCATATATGTGAATGTACAACGGTCTTTATGAAGACATCGTGGAGGCACAGAAATAGATTGAACAAAGAGATGGTATTCGATGTGTATCAAGTCGTGTCATTGTAGAAGTCGTGAAAGATGGCATGAAAGGAAAGCGCGCTCGTGGATTGACTACCATTCTTGCAGGCCATTGTTCTCGAACATTGTAGCAATGTAACCCAGATCGAATCTCTACAATGCCGCACGTGAGGGCCCGTTAGTTATGAGCGTGCTACAACTGTTCATCATATCGTGTTGCCTGGTTTTCCTATCTGTTTTCGCGGTCAGTCTTGCTATCCGTGACGCGATGCAATATGATTTGAATGGAAATATTGGGTAGTCAGGTATAAGTACAACGACATCCACATGGTGTTTGAATGTTCAGAACAGGTCTGTGAATTTGTTTTTTCTCATCAGGGTAAAAGGGTGGAAAAGACGCAGGCCTACTTACTAGATGATGTACCACTGTAGTCCTCAAGTTACAGTGTCCAAAGTTAGTGCATTGGTCTTCGAACTGCTAAGGTCATCTTTTGATGGCGGTCCTCGAATTTTGAGGGACGTAAAATACGTCAAGTCGGTGAAACTGCGCAAGTTTAACGCGTGGCCAAGTCAAAGCTATGGCGTACTACGATGTGACGAAGGAAGACAAAGACAGCCGTTGTCGATGGCGTCGAGGGTTATTGTGTACGGAATGCCAGAAGAAAGCGCGACTGAGGAAAGGTCAAAGGAAATTTTGGCGCTAATGACGGATCTCGGTTGAACCATTTCTCCGTCTCCACATCTTGCCAAGCCTCGCCCCGACCTCAACTTCCTCGAAGCCTTGATGAACACCCTTATATTCTCGACTTGCAGCCTTAGGCTTTCTCATTCCATTAAGTGTATTATTCTCCTTCTGTTACAGCAATAAAACATGTGTTGAGTGCATTTTCTAGCGCCGTTTGAGATGCGCCGCTCGTCGTGAAACGCATGCCGATACAATGGTTCAACGGAATAACGAAACATGATCAGCCTCGGCTCGGTAGCCTCGCTTCGGGGGGCGGAGTTGTTAGCATTCATGTTTGCCGGCGATTGAACGTCATCCATCTCATCATCTGACCACCCCGTAGGAGCGGAACTTATACAGCCAAGCAATTGAAAACAAGCCAATAAATTGGACAATCCTTGCTTTTGTATACTCGTTTTTCTTGTACATCCCGCAAGGTATGCTTCTTTTCTTGAGGCCGTTTTCTTGAGGCTGTTTCACGATATTTCAAATCGCGATGGAGACTGCATCCCAGTGACATTGCGGCTCTGCACTTCATTACACCAGGGTACACTTACCAAGATGCTGGTGTCAGATCTCATCCGTGCAACGGTTCGTAGAAGGGAGCCAGGGACATAGCTACAACAAAACGTGTTTTACCGACTCTCGGAAAGCATGTTCCTAGAAACGTTATCTGAGCCATCCCAGCACGAGAATACCCCATGTTCCAAACACTGTTGGAACTTCCTGCCAATGGAATTATTGGACGAAACTCCGGCTCGACCATGTCGCTAGACATTATGCGTCTGGGAAGAGCACTGTAAACGGTCCAGGTCACTGGCGCTCTCGGGATCCAATCGGCGCCCATTGTAGAAGTGACATGTCCTGAAGAGGGTTTAACGCCTCGCTTTATGCGTGTGCCGTCAAGGTCACCGGGTGTGCTGTAGCCAGGGTAGTGCTGTTTCGTTCCGTGCGTTCTTATTATCAACGGTGCCCTCTTAGAATCAGTCATTGCATATTTCTTCTCGTCCCCGGTGGTCGTGGTTGGTATACTCGCAGACATGGACGGCGCAAAAGTCCACGAGTTGTTTGTGTTGGGCCGGATCATTTGGGTTTTGGTCTTGACGCTGCTCACTCTGTCGTATATTACGGTGGGTCTGCGATTATGGGTGCGTTTCCGTATCACTAGGAGTCCTGGATGGGACGACGCTGCCATGGTAGCGACACTGGTGAGTGTTTCCCTTGTTCGGCTGATACAATGGATAATTGAGGTGCTTGGAAATGCTGACGTTGCTAGATGCTGTTCACTTGCTACTGCGCCTTCATCATCATCGTAACGTTACGAGCCCACGAAAGGAAGCTGTTTGACTTCGAATATATTCGCGTATCATTAGTCGTAAGTTCCACTCATACTCTTCCCAGGGTTTGGGCTATCTCGCTAACCTCGCTGTAGTACGTTCAACTGAGCGAAGTCTTCTATATTCTCACGACTACGACATTGAAGATATCCCTGGGCCTCTTCTTCCTCCGCGTCTTAACGAAACGCTGGCAGATCATGCTCTTTCATTATCTACTCGCCATATCGGCTGTATACGGCCTCTTCTACGTCCTCACTGCCATTTTTGCGTGTGGCGATCCCTCAAAAATTGCCGACACTCTTCTGGGCTCACAGAAATGTCTTCCGGCTGCCTTCGGTCTCGCCACTGGCTATCTGTATGGTGCAATCAACGTCATAGCCGACTGGACGTTCGTCCTGATCCCCATCACCGTCTTGCTAGACAGCGAACTCGACCGGCGCTCCAAGATCTCCGTTAGCATCGTCATGGCCCTCGGTGCTGTGGGTAGTGTGTCTAGCATCATGCGTATGGTATATCTGAGAGGCTTGATTAACGTCCCAACAGGACTAAAATGTATGTACCCACCTCTCTACCCCACTCGCGGAGCTGGCTAACGATAAATTCAGCAACTACGATCAAAGCAACCATCTGGGCAACTGCAGAACCAGGCACTGGCATCATTGCGGCTTCGGTCGCCATCTTACGTCCTCTGATCCGCAACATCAAGACCTCTGTCAAATCTCATGCCTCTGCAATGGGGTCACGCAAAGCCTCGAACGCATCGTCAGAGGACACAGTTGCACTGACGTCTTTGGCAAGCAACAAGGGCAGCGTATATAGCAGAGTGGTCGAGGAGCCATGGAGCCCGCCACCGACGCTTGGCCAGGCTAGTGTGCAGAGAGTGATAAGCATCCAAGGCGGAAGTCCAGTAGTTTCGAGAGTTTGAGGATGGTGGACAGATATAGCGGCGTTTCGGTGTTGGTAATACCCTCGCTTGGCGATCACTTGCTTTCAGACTATGTCATGTGCTTTTAGAAAGGGATAATGCATAATGACGCTCTATGCAAACAAAACAAAAGTCCAATGACGCACTCTCTGCACATGACGCGAGCCTCAAAGGCCATCTAATTCAGATGCTTTGCGTCAACCGCGCGGGGCTCCATCCAGAAATGACCACGACAGGTAGCTCAAAAGGCATGTTCCCGCAGCTATGAATACAAATTGTGTGTTTTGTATATACCACATTATATGTCGACAGAACAATGTAGGAAGGACTGTGGTGTTCGTTGAAGTTGCGGCGGAGCGGAGGTCTGCGGGACGCGATTGGAGGAAGCTCGGACGCGCTCAACTGAGTCCAAGAAATTATTCAGCTCCAGTATGCAGCTGCAATGTCTCTCTACTACGAGGCAGCCGCAATTCTTGCGAACGCCGAAAATACTGGTGGATCCCTCAAGTCGCGCCTCTTCACGAAGAAAGACCTCAAAAGTTCGCCTGGGCAGATTTTCGCGCTCATCGCCGAAGCGTCGAAATGGTCCGTGGTGTTGAAGGATGTCATTGAGAAGACTGGAGTGTTGGCGGAGGAAAAGAAGGTACGCAAATCACACATAAAGATGCTCTCAGGGATTCCTATAGTTACTGCGCGCATTGTGTTTAAAGGATGACTAACAGTTTCTCAGCTCACGCCAATCCTCGCGCTTCTCCTCACCCATGACCTCCTCGTCGCAAAAGGTGGCGTCGCTGCGGCTGCAAACCATGTTCTTAAACTCGCAATCACCAGACACAAAGCTCGCCTAAGCGCCGAATTCACCAAAGCACGAATACGGCATGGCCATGCTACACTGGCTGCGTTCAAGGAAGCCGTCAGCAATGGCGAGCTCGAGGACGATGACGATGATCAGAAGGCGAACCGACACCCGCGATGGGTTCGAGTGAATACAATCAAGACGACTTTGGAGGATCAACTCAGAACCACATTTTCTGGGTTCAAGAAAGCGGATAGCTTAGCGGAAGTGCTGGCAGCACGAGGATCGACGAAAGTATACTATGAAGACCCGAATATCCCGAATCTGCTGGCTCTTCCATCGAGGATCAACCTAGGTCGCAACGAAGCGTACGCGAAGGGGCACATCATCTTCCAAGACAAGGCATCCTGTTTCCCTGCCTACCTCCTTGACCTTTCAGCCGACGACGGAGACGTCATAGACGGCTGCGCTGCACCTGGAAACAAGACAACGCATCTAGCAGCCATAGTATCGAGTCTAAACGCCTCGGGTGAAGGTCAAAAGGTCGTAGCATTCGAGCGCGATGAAAAGCGGACTACTACACTACAGAAGATGGTGAAGCTTGCCTCAGCTGATAGCATTGTCTCCATCAAAGGTGCCAGTGACTTTCTAGCCGCCAAGCCCCACTCCAATGAGTTTTCCAATGTCGGAGCTATCGTGCTTGACCCCAGCTGCTCAGGGACGGGTATCGTTGGCCGTGATGACGGAATAAAGATACACCTGCCAGTGTCAAATCCTATCGCCGCGGGCTCTCAGAAGACGAGCAAAGGCAAGAAGCGAAAGAGGGATGACGAGAAGAGCAATGTCGCCGAGCCTGCAACGTTGGCTGTGGACCTAGACGATGCGACGACGCCAGAAGAAACGCCCGCAGAGGACAAGCTCACCGAACGCCTCGACACGTTATCAAACTTCCAACTCCACATCTTGACGCACGCTATGCGCTTTGCTTCGGCACATAAAATCACCTACTCGACCTGCTCAATTCATTTCGAAGAAAATGAAGGCGTAGTGTTCCAGGCACTGGCTTCGTCCATTGCCAATAAGCGAGGCTGGAAGATTTTGAAAAGAGAACGCCAAGTCGAGGGCATGAAGAAATGGAACAGAAGAGGAGTGTGGGAAGACGGCAAGCTTAATCGTGATGTGGATGAGGCGCAAAAGCAAGACGTGCTGGAGGCTTGCATTCGATGCGACAAAGGGACTGATGAGGGCACAATGGGCTTCTTCGTTGCCGCTTTTGTCTGCGAGGACAGCGAACAGTCTGAACCTGCTGCTGAAGAAGCTAATGCAGAGGCCGATGAGTGGGAAGGCTTTAGCGACGTTGGTGAGGCTATGGAGGTGGACAAGGCACAGCAAACGGTTACCGGAGGTGAGAAGAAGAAGAGGAAGAAGAAAAAGCGCAAGACCAGTAAAGCCTGAGTGACGCCAACAACAAGGTACTGTGCTACGTTTTGAGCTCGGACAAGCAAGCGCAACCTGTGGGCGGAAAGCAATAGCATCCCACTTCTTTTCGCGGCATCACTCCCACCACGCTTTCCGATTCACCCCCAGCCACTGCCCAGTGCAATATGTTTTTACGTCCTCGAAGAAGGATCATCGGTGCAGTGCATATCGCGCCACCTGTGTGACCTCTTACCTTTCCCAACCAACCTCATCGTCTCATACCGTTTGTTCCGTTTGGTACATGACAGTGACTAATTGGAGCCACCATGTACCCCTCCAGTCCACCAGTGGCCAATCTCACACGACCTAGGCTGAAGGCTCTCGCCAGGTGGGTCCGTGATGAGCTCGATCTGCTCGTGGCTCGTGAAGGCCCCAACATCCTGCGGCCTGATGACGTCCTCATCTTGCACGAGACATTTATCGCTCTCCGCCTCGCTACAGACATTACGGCATTGGACATCCGCGCCACCGGCATTCACTTCGCTGTTCAAGACATTGCGGGCGTGGCTACTCGCTGGCCTGGCCGGCTGTGTGACGACTGCGACAAAATTATTGCCATATGGACGGAAAAGTTCGGGTCGTTGAAGAGCCTGCATCCGTTTATGTATGGGCGAGGGGGGCGGCTTGAGGGCATTGCTGGTCCGACTGAGTACTCGAGAGAAGTAAGATCACAAGTCTCACCTTCGTTTGCTAGACTGACCTCAGCGAGCAGGCACTACTCAAGCGTTGGTCGGAACAATGCCCCGAGAGACTGCATCCGAAGGTCTCCCACAGGTTGGGTGACCTCGGCTTCCGACCTGGAGAGTAAGTCGCATCCACGTGAGCATCAAGTCTTTGCTGATCGTGTCTACCAGTTGGTGGATCAGCACACTCTTCGCACACCACGCAGGCATCATTGGGCTTGAGGCTGTCGAAGGTGGCACCACATTCGACAAGTATGGTGCATATGCTCTCGTACTGAAAGATACGGGCGAAGTCGAAGCTTCTCATGGAGAAACGTTTACTTACCGCACCTCTCAACACGATAAGGGAAGGTTCCGCCTAACAGCAGCGACTCCACGAAGCCGAGACCCAATTCGAGTACTACGCAGCCACAGCATGAACAGCGTCTGGGGCCCCAAAGCGGGTGTCAGATATGAGGGCCTGTGAGAGCACATCCATACTGTATCAGCGGTGTCACTAACACTGCCTAGCTTCTCCATCAGAGGCTGGTCAATACGCCAGGCAAAAGCAAGTGACACCGCCGGCCAATGGAAAGAAGGCGACATCCTCTTCGAAATCCGCTTCGAGCGTACCGACCCAGTTCCCTTCTCCGAAGTCACCTGCCGGCCCACAGCCACCGAAGTCGACGACTACACAGAGTATAAGCGCCTCCGTAAACTCCACCGCGACGACAAGCGCAACGCCGACCTGAGAACAGACTTCAGCACCAGCCCTCTTCAACTTGCTACTAAAGCCGCCCCAGCAATCCCCTCGCCCATCAGTCCTTTGCTGCCTGGCCCTGCCGCGCCCAAGATCCTGTACAAAGGCCTTTTGCAACGCTCAGCTACGTCCAAGCAAGCCCACTTCGAAGACATCTCTGAAATTCGACGCACGAGTGACGTCCCAACACCAGCCTCCCACCGCACAACAGAAACGGATTACTTCGCCCTTTCGCCACGTAAAGAGAGTGGGCTGCTCGTCCCGGGCTATAAACCCCCGTCACCTAGCAACGCCTCGATCGCAAGTGGCCACACAGGCGCGACGGTCGCAAGCACGCAGTCCAACATCCGCGACGTCGCGCCGTGGATCGATTTCGACGCGGATTTGACCGCCCCGGATCCGGTGCCCGAAGATGCAGCAGCTCCAGCACTGGATCCAAGCCCAACCCTGACGTCGTCTGCCAGACTGAAAACTTGGCAGCGGCCTGCGCGCGACTCGCCGCCTGTTTCGCCGCTGAGTGAAAGGCGTAGGAGCGGCGATTTCAAAACATTCCTGCGTGTTGGGTCGAAGCGCCAGCCCATCGAAAGTAGTCGCAAATCCGTCTTTGTGAGGGCGAAGAATCCCATGGCGAAGTTGTTCGACGGCGCGGCTTCGGAAGAGGCGGAGGGGGCACTGGCGCGTGGAGCGAAGTCTGAGGAGGAGGAGGAGAGCGCCAGAGTGCACTCACCGATTCCCATGCGTCCGTTTAGTCCTGAGAGTCCGTTGGCGATGGGCAGGAGGGGCGCGGTGTATGAGGGTCAGGATGGGGATTCCGAAATAAGTGGTGAGCACGATCCTTTTGTCGAGACGAGGGTTTTGGTAGCGCAGCACTTGGACGACAAGGTTCGTCGGACGATGCAGATAGGGATAGGGGCGCAGAATGTTGCGTTCAGATTTCCAAATTGGGCGGCGCCGGCGGGGGAGAAGGAGAAGAGGGATAGTTTGGATGTGGACAAGCATATCGCGCCAGATGATGTTGGGGAGCAGCATTAAGGAATCACAGACAGAGCTATGCAGCACAATGAACAGGTGGTATGTAATTGATAAATCTTCGTAGTACAACAGGCTCTTGAGTGTATTCGTACAGCCATACGTCCATACATGTATGTAGATTTCCCGTCCCCCTTAGCCTAATATGCAACCGTGGGTATCATCAAAATGAAAGGAACTTTTTTGTCCACAAAACTCCCAGCAGGAGGACGGAACACCAAGCAGCAAAACAAGACGCGAAACCTCAATATCAGCCATTCCAGTTCATATCGCCGCCCTGCTGACCCATGCGCTGCTGCGCCTGCTGTTGTGCCTGCTGTTGCGCCTGCCGCATCATCATCATCTGCTGCACCTGCTGCTGATTCATCTGATTCATGTTCATGCCCTGCAATTGCTGCATCTGCTGTATTTGCTGCATGTTCATGCCATTCATGCCCTGCATGCCCTGGCCTCCATTCATACCCTGCATGCCTTGGCCTCCATTCATTCCCTGCATGCCCTGGCCGCCATTCATTCCCTGCATGCCGTTCATTCCCATCATGCCCTGGGGTAATTGGCCGCCTTGTTGCATCGCCTGTTGGCGCATAGCCATGATTTGCTGGCTGCGGGCCTGCTGGGCGCGTTGCTGTTGCAGCATTTGCTGGTAGGCTTGCATTTGGATGGGGTTTGTGGGCTGGGCACCGTTGGGCATGTTGGGCATGTTGGACATTTGCTGTTGCATTTGCTGTTGCATGGGTGTGGACATGCCGTTGTTCATGAGCTGCATTTGACTGGCTTGTTGTTCGGCTTGCGAGCGGGACATGATGGCTTGTTCGAGTTGGCGAAGGCGAACGAGTTCTGGCTGGGGAATGTTTTGCTGTTGTCCGTATTGGGCGAGGAGTGCCATCTTGCGCTGTTGGTGGTGATGACGTAGCTGTTGGAGGTTCATGTTCGTGGGGTTTGCGCCCTGTTGGCTGCCTTGTGGGGACATGTTCTGCATAGCTCGTTGCTGCTGTTGCTGCTGCTGTTGTTGCTGCATTTGTTGGAAGAAGCGGCGGGCTAGAGCCTGCTGGTACTGGTGTGCGTTTTGTCCCGCGGGTACACCCTGCTGTGTAATCTGCGTCTGAGCTTTCTGCACGGCAAGGTTCTGTAGCTGCTGCTGGATACTAGGAGAACCGCCGGCCTGCTGCATGCGTTGTTGCTGGAGCATTTGCTGCTGCATCAAATGCTGGTTCTGCATCTGTTGCATTTGTTCTGGCGTCATGTTCTGACTAGCGGGTTGAGGAGTATGCATCATGAGCGGAGTGCCACCCGACATGGCCATTGGCGGGCTGCCCTGGCTCATGCGAGCAGGAGTTGGCGTCATGTTGCGGTTCGGCATGGCAGCATTCATCACAGGTGTCCCTTGAACCATCTGTGGCGTGCCTGTCCTACTCATGTTCTGCTGTTGGCTGGCAGAGCGCGCCATCTGCTGGTGTGACACAACAGAAGGTGGACGAGCAGGACTAGCAATGGTGTGATTCGATGCGGTTGCGACCATGGGTGTGCCGCCCATGGCGTGGGAAGCCTGGAGACCAACACGCGGAGAGGCAGCGGAAGCCATGGGCGTCCCGTTTTGAACAACAGGCGGAAATTGTGGTTGAGTAGCTGATTGCGGTGTTTGGGACAATTGTGCAGCGGTGGTATTCGCCATTTGTTGGGCTTGGGTGGCTGCGCGAAGGGCTTCGTTTTGCTGGAGCTGGTTCTGTTGAAGTGCCTGCTGCTGGGCTGCTTGTTGGCGCAAGAGAAGTTGCTGTCTCTCCTGATTCTCGGCTTGCTGTCGATTCGTTTCCAAATCCCTTCTCTTCTGGGCTTCTGCTTCGATTTGTGCTTGCCTCTTGGCTTGAGCTATGCGGGCGTCCTCTTCCTTCTTGCGCCGGTCCGCCTCTTCGTGATTAGCTTTGATAGTAGCAAGCGTCTTCAGACGAGAAAAGTTTTGTGTGTTGTTGGCTCGCACGGCACCCTCGTCACCTCCCGTTGCAGTGGTGGCCATGTTCGCCTGCTGTTCGTCACCAGCAAGCATGAAGCGCTGCGTCGCGGCAGCCTCGGCCTCGTCGGCCTGCAATTCGGCCGTCGTGCGCTTCCGAGTCTTTCGCACTGGCGCATCGTTCTTGTTGTTCGGATGCGTAATGGCTTCCATGAGCGCCAGTGATTCGGCAAAGCTCTTGGTCGGCTCGAGATGCAGCTTTGGACAGGTGGCATTATACAGCTCAGATTCGAACTCATGGACGTTACTGTCGTCAAGAACCATCTTCTGGCGCTTCGGGCTGGGTCCGTTCGAGAAGGTCGGCGTTGGGGGGACCGCAGTCATGGGGGTCGGCGGCATGGCTCCCGCTCTTCCTGCGGCTTGCATTCTCTTGAGCGTAGCGGCATCAGGCATTGGCGTAGTCGCAAGCAACTGGATATCGGCCAGGTGGGACTGCGGGGTTGGGAAGAGCACTCTCGTCCAGATGCGCGGTTTGACAGCCTGTTTCTGGGACACGCCGTTCTGGTTTGGGGCGGGCATGTTTTCCTTGTCCTCCTTGACAGCAGCATCTTTGGCCTGCGCTTCGGTCTGGCTGGCCTTTGCGTCGGCCTTGTTGGTCGGATAGGGGGCGTGCGGCGAGGGGGTGATGAAGCTGTTGTAGTTGTGTATGGAGAAGGCGCTCTTGCCGCTCTCGCCCAGGCTGTTTGTGTCGTCTCTGGGCTTCACGCCGCTCGAGCGAAAGTCGTGCAGCTCGACGATCAGGCAATTGTCGTAGAAGGGGATGTCGGCGGCATAGAAGTCCTCGGCCATGTTGTGGGGGATGGTCCTCGTCTTCACGTGCTCGAGTATCTCGCGCATGGGCGAGGAGTAGTCGAGCATGTCGGCCGAGTCGTTGATGCGAAAGTGCTTCGGGTGCAGGAAGATGCGCAGCGACGGCGGCTTGCCCTTGTGCCGCGCCAGAATCTCTTCCTGGGTGTAGACTGTCGCACGCGTTAGCAATGCCATCCATTGTCGGGCGTGCCGTCCGTGGTCGCATACCATAGCGCCTGGGGTCAGCCTTCGCGCTCTCGTCCTCCATGTTGCTTGGTCTCGTGGCCGCACGTGCAACGCCAGGTCTCTGCGATTCACGGCGCAGACGAAGAGCCTGCACAGGGCGGGCGGTTGCAACTGGGCCTGACATGTTGGCCGTGGTCGAAAGTGGTTCGCTGCTCCTGCGGGGCGGTGGAGAAGTCGCGCTCTGGGGGAACTAGAACCGCAGCGGTCAAAAACCAAACGGAACAGGGCAAGCGCAAAGATGCGCGAAGCCCGACAAAGCTCAGCACTACAGGGTGCTGCGTCGGTGGCGGTGTGGGATTATCGTGTGGGAGATGCGCGCGCGCGAGAGATGGAGTCGCGATGTTTGCGATGATGCCTGTGACGCTTGGCGAGCCTGGAGGTCCTCCGCTGGTCAGGGTTTCATCGTCCGCACATCACGTGACCGCTACTGGCTCGACAGAATCCGCATGTGTGAACGGAAGAGCTGTGATAGACTATCGCAGAATGGAATATCGGCCACAGAAACAGCCGTCTCTCAAGTTTTGACCACGAAGCTCAAGAAGAAAAATGAATTAGAATATGTATTGTAGCCAGGTGCTCAGACTTGGGCCAGAGATTTTGTACACGTCCCTGCACCGCGCGCTTCTCGTCGAACACGGTCACAAAACTGCTTATTTGCTGCGGCTGCTGACCATGCTAGCCCTCCTGGCCTCCAAGACAGCGTCCTCGTGCGTCGGAGGACCTTCGTAGTTCTTACGTCCCCATGCATAGTACCAAAGAGTAGCAATGACGAAGAATCCAGCAAACACCACCGAAGCGTAGTTCATACTTTGAGCCGTGACGGGAAGCACCGTCGGCATAGAGAAAAGCGGGATCGCGAGAGCAGACCAGGCTATCGCATGTCAGCGTGATGAATTGCGGGCGATCCAAGACTAAACTTACCAAGAGCAACAACGTTGCAGAAGGTGCCAAGAGCGCCAAGGTGGAAGGCACCGTCCTTGACCTGCGAGCGGCCTCTGGCCAGGGAGATGAGAATTGGCATGGCGTAGCTCAACGTGAGGCAGATGACACCAACGCCAGAGAAGGCATTGAAGGCGACGGGGGCTCCAAAGTAGATGAGACCGAGGATAAGCTGGACAGCCATGCTGAGCATCATGGCATTGAGAGGCACATCGAGCTTGACGTTGACAACCCTCCACCACTTGAAGCCAGGGATGGCACCGTCACGGGAAAAGGCCCAGGTGGCACGAGATGCCGCGGTGGTGCATCCAATACCGCAGATGAGACCAAGCACAAGGAGAGGAATAAGCAGGCCGATTGCTCCACCGGAACTACCAACGGCCTCCTTGATGATCGTGGGTACTGGCTGACCAGAGAGCAGGCCGTACAGATCGGCCTGGTTCGGGAGGACGAATACGAGCGGGATCAAGAAAACAAGACCCATGACAGTGTTGAGTGCAACTGTACCGACGAGTGCCTTCGGTACCTGGGTAGCGGGGTGCTCTACCTCTTCACACATCCTACACTCACGTTAGCCTTTGGACAAAGTTGATGTTAATTTTACCGCGCAAAACACAGCTTTAGTCGCACTGGGGAGTGGTTGCTCTGGTTTGAGATCTTGTCGCATAGGAGTGTTGCTTGGGAGAATTGCTTGGGCAAGGCTGAAGTCGCTTTGGAAAAAAGAAGAGGCATGCTCACGAGATGATCATTCCCGTCGAGGAAGTCGCATAGGCTGCATGAAGCAATCCGACACAGAAAGACCATCCAGGGACCCATCCAGAGTTGGAGGGGTCAAATTCGGTGAAGACGTATTTGGCGTTGTGTCGGCCGTTTTTCGCAATGGCAAGGATGGATACGATAATGGCAAGCACACCAGCAAAGGTCCAGAAAATAGCAAAAGTCTGTCCTTGATGAGTAACACGTACGGCAATTTTAGCGAGGGGATCTCACATCAAGCCATGGCAGCCAACGGTTACCTAGGGCGGATACCAAATTGCACAGAAGCGTAATGGCGAGAAAGATCAGATAGACCTGCCAGTTGGTACCCTCGAAGATGCCAACGCCAGGTGCTGACTCGAAGACGTTGATGCAGGCACCAAGGAAAAGAGCAGTAGCGAAGTTGACAGCCAGCGTGATAGTAATGTTTCCGACTACAAAGGCCCAACCACAGATCCACGAGGCGATTCTGCGGTAGGATGGTGGCGCCAGCATGAAAGTCTGGTAGTAGACACCGCCACTGGTGGGGTAGATGCTCGTGATCTCTCCTAGCGAAGCCGCTACGCAGAGAATGATGAGGGACACGCCCAGCCATCCCCAAATGATACCGACAGGCCCTGCACAGGCGATGGGGTAGAATAGAGTGGTTGCTAGACCGTAAGGAACCGAGGCTAGGACGAAAGACATGAAAGCAACCTGGAAGGTTGATCGTGATCGCACCAGCTCAGACTTGTAGCCCATAGCCTGCAGAAGGTCGTCGGCATCGTTGGGAGCGCCATCATCGGCAGAGAACTTGTTGCCCAAGCTCGTCTTGCGGTTCTTCTCGGGAACGGTGCGCTGGTGGATGTCGTGTTCAGCGGCATACGCATCAGACTGCGTGCCATAACGGTAGTCGGACATGAGGGGCTTGCTGCTGCTGCTGCTGCTGCCGTCGTGGCCGTGGATATCGCAAAGGATGGATGTTGATAGTCGCGGAGAGCTCTGCGACATGGACTCTGGACGGGGCACGACCTTTGAAGGCACGTCAGATAGCGTTGGCGTCGCCTGCACTGGGTCCGCTAGGCTGGGAAGAGCATAGGGCTACCAGAGTTTGCCGACGCCTATCTCTTCTCGAACGGACAGACCGCCCTTGGCAGCCCGCTACGCGTTGAATGGATCACCGGGCGTTGTTCGGTGCTTTTATGTACCGCAACCCACTCCAGGGTTCCGTCAGATGCGGCTGCGCCTGCAAATGCAGCAGGGAAGCCGAATCTGGGAGATTGCCGATGCTGTCCTGATGCTGCCCTGAACATCTTTGGCCCAGTGCTGCTCACTGCCAAACCACTTCGCGCGACCGGCCGAGAGTCTCGTGGGATGGCGCCCTCCTGGGATGTCTTGTCGATGTGCTAACAGGTGCGTGGTAAGCCAATTGGAGTGGCCGAGCTTGTCACGGGTGGCGTTGAAAGTAAGAGTAGAGTACAGTAGTCAACTGGTGGGCCGGGGCACGCTCCGTGATCATTGAAGACCTCTGGCCATGTCGCGTGCCAAGTTTCCCTTTTCTATTACTATGGGCATGGGGTAAGGTGTTCTGTGTTCTGGCATAGACGCGAGGGAGGAAGCGCGGAGTCGGGCTTGGTTCAACGCTGCTCATCAATCTGCATCGCTGCTTCCCTGAGCACAATGTCGCGCCCTGCGCCCTGCATACTGCATACTGCATACTGCAATGCGCCAGGGTAGATGAAATATAAACATGGCTTGCGGACTGTTAAGCACGAGCTGCACCCTTGCTCTCCTGCGAACCCCACGTCATCATGCACCACCACATCGTAGCCCTGGAGTCACAGCATCAGCCTCTCCCCGCTGACGGCTTCGACATCCCCAACACGCTCACTGTGTACCAACGCACAACGCGGGAAGAGCTGCACGACCGCATCCGCGATGCCACCATCCTCATTACGACTACGGTGAAGCTTGACGCCGCCACGCTGCACCCCGAGATAACGCCCCACCTGCAGTACATCGCCATATCAGCCACAGGCACCGACCCTGTCGACCTCGCCGCTGCCAAAGCACGCGGTATACGCGTGACAAATTGCCCTGGTGCGAACCTCGATGCTGTCTCTGAGCATGCCATCAGCTTGTACTTCGCAGCACGGCGGCGCACCGTGCTGCTCGACCGCAAGACTCGGGAACACCCGAGCCGAGTGGAAGAGAGAAGGGCACGCTGAACAAGTACATGCGGCTCCCCGATGGGTCGCCCCCCTTGACTTGCAAGGAGGAAGTGCTCGGGGTCGTCGGATACGGTGGTCTAGGTCAGTGGAGTCTGCTCCGCAGTGGAGACCAGATGTGGCGGTAGACTGATTCATCACAGGACAGCGTATTGCGGGACTGGGGCGCGCTCTGGGCATGAAGGTTCTGGTGGCTGCGCGAAAAACGTCTTCGCCGGGCGGCGCAGAGCCTACACCAAGTCTGGCGAGCGACCGCGTGACGTTTGACCATGTCCTCAAAAGAGCGACCGTGCTTGTCCTATCGCTGCCCCGCGTACCGGAGACAATGAATCTCATTTCCACAGCGGAGCTCGCGCAAATGAATCCCTACGCCGTAATCATAAACATCGCGCGAGGTGGGATTGTGGACGAAGCAGCAGTCGCACAGGCCTTGAAAGACAAGCAGATCGCAGGCTATGCCACGGACGTATATCACGTCGAGCCACTCGACGGACCAGAGGACACGCCCCTTCTCGCCGAAGACGCAAAAGACCTGAACATCACCATGTCCCCGCATCTAGCTTGGTTCTCACAACGCACGTTGAAGAACTTGGGCGACATCTTGAAAGAGACCGTCGAGAGCTGGGCGAAGGGTGAGGAGATCAATGTCATAGTGTGAACATTCTCTCAACTTCTCTTGCGGCGCTTTCACAGCGAGAACAGACTTCGCACTCGCCAAACATATCACAACGAGCGAAAACACTAGATTCGCAATGTAGGAATGCACTACTACCCTCCATTCCCACACCCACCAATTCAGCTATGTGATGCTCCACTAAATCTACGTAAAAGCCTTTCCTCACGAAACACCTCTACTAGCACCTACCCCAACAATCGTCCCTACACGAGTAACACTCCCGCTCACTGCACCATCAATATCTCGCAGCAATAGCAACGCACACACTCGTGCAGTAACCTCCTAATCCAAGGAGCCCATCATGTCCTGGCTATGCTGCGCCTGCGCCGCCGCGAACCGCGGCGAACCCATCAACGCCCGTAACTCGGAGCCACAGACTAGGTGCGCTTATTGTAAGCATTGGACGTGTTGGAGGTGTCGGTATGCCGATTATGAGGAGCATTATACGCCGGCGCCAGTGGCTGTTCGACGGACTGTAAGGGGAAGGGGGGTGCAGGGGATGACTGGGAGAGGTGGAGGTGGGAGGGGGTGTAGAGGGGTGGTTAACGAGGGTGTTGGGTGGGAGAGGGAGTATGAGAAGAGGGTACAGAGGGGGAAGGATGAGGAGAGGTGTTGTGTGGTTATGTGAATGGAGGGGGTTTGAGGTGTATACAAGTTTAGGTGACGAGCGATTGGGGGTTTTGAAGAGTTGGAATGTGAATGTGGGTGTCTTTCCAGCGTTCGAAGTTTGAAGTGAAGTCCGGCTGAGTGATTCTTGGTCGTGACATAGCTCACAAGCGGAAACTCAGTGACCGGCGCGCAGCCAAAACGTCCACGCAACCCACGACTCACGACAGCGTGATTGTCACTAAGTAGCACAAGTACTTAGGTACTTGAGCCTGACTCACCGGCACCTTCCATCACCTGCAGCGAACGCCTCCATCAGCAAATATTATCAATGCCACTTACTCAATCCCAAACCCATACACATACGCTGCTACCTCGAACATTCTTCTCGAGATGTCATACTAGGCATGCTGTCAATGTCGGCACTGCAACGACGGCGAACCTGTAAAGGCAGACAGTGAGCGAACAAAGGTGTGTGGACCGCAAGCATTGGACTTGTGAGTCTCGCTTTATGTGCGTGGAAGTGGACAGTAGAGATAGGAGGGAGGCAATGGAACGGTGTAGTGGTAGTGAAGGCAGGAGAAGCTTGGTGGATAAAACTATTCTTTTTGTTATGAATCTCATTCAAAAAGATTGACTGCATGGTCCGGTGTCAGATGGCGGGTGAGCAACTACGCAGTGAGTCGACAGCACCTCCTGCGCGTAGGACTTGCGCGTAAAAGCGATATAACTAGAAATCTTAATAAACGCGTTGGTCTTAGTAGTTGAAAAGATAAGTACGAGTATTTTGATCTTCTGACTTGGGCAGGCATGCGTCAGTATACTCTAGTCGTGACTCTCTCACCAACACATGTGTGACTGGAGATGTTGCAGGAGTCACTCTGGAAGTATAGATAAGCTAACACCACCACGGTAACTTTCACTCTTACTTCGAGTTCAATCGTCAGCCCAGTTGTATAGTCTATCTACAGCACGATACCTGCTATCAAAGTATCTCATTATCAATCACCGTGCGGGAAACCCTCAAGCCGCTGTTTGTAGCCTCTTCATCAATGTCTTTCGAAGTCTATACCAACCAGAAATTTGACAATTGGTTTTGTTGCAAGTGCGGAGAGAAAATACCTAATAAGACAGGAAATTTATGCCCGGAACGGACATGCCAACATACAAGTTGCGCGACGTGTGGAGAGTTATCTGTGTCGAGAGAACGCCCCGGCAATTCTAGTCCTGTGAGCTCACTGCACGAAAATCACATAGAAGGTCCATATCACGTTCCTACGCAAATCGCGCATGTTGCGCCGTCTCCCTCACCAAAGGTGGTGAACAATCAGGCTCCAGGATACGATTCACATCTTACAAAACAAGCGCGGGGATATGGAGACAGTGTACAACAGTCAAAGGGCTTCGAATTCCTCGGCGATGTGCCGCAGGACAAAAGCATTAATGACCATCGGGGGTCTGCGTGTTGTGTAATTCTGTAGACGTATGAGAAATGTCAAATGGTAGCTTTCTGCAATTGCACACTTCTATCGTTTGTAAAATGTACTCCACTTGATCCAAGTACTCCTTGTCTAAAGCGTCACGAAATACCCGACAAGTTTTACGCGTCGCAAGTCTTTTCCTAGATTCGACGCAAATGTGTCCAGGACCTAAGTCCAAAGAAAATGTGGCTGTGAGGAGTATCTCCGGGCGTTTGCAGAGATGTGGGCAGAAACTTAAAGACGTTACCAAGCATAGAGTGAAGAATAATACACCAAGCCAGTTTTAGGCCTCCTTCATCGCGGTAGAACTTCAGTGTGGCACCAATACGGGCGGATTCCGCCTTGTTGGTTGACTAGACAGAAATGACGGAGCAATTGCATTTGGATGATTTGTGGCGTTGCGGGGATGTGAAATCCGCTTCACGAGGTTCCTAGATACCTTGACGCTGTATGCTATCATGGCAAGACCCTTTCTCGGTTCGTCGATCCAGTGCTTGCCTTGTGAGCGGACTCCCTCACCTATGCGCAAGCGTAAAGACCTCGTCAGGTACGATGCTCAACGGAGCTATTCATGCTCGAGATTGAAAGGTAGCAATGCGTCACAAGTAGATAGTGAGTGCAGATCGCAGGATAATGTTCGAGTGAGCCCACAGGACGTTGGCGGAAGGGCCCGAACAACTTTGCCCAAATAGGCATAGTTACAGATCATATGCGGAACGTCTGGTCTGGATTTGAACGACTCCTGCTCTAACCCTGGCTCGCGAGTGTTCTCAAACTCCATATTGTGCTCGCCTTTAATCGCTTCTCGATTCGAAGTTCCATTCGAGGTCTACTGGTCTTGCCACACCTCTCGCTGCCTATCTTCGCATCCGTGGTGCTGGAACATGAACTTGTCCAGTGGTGCAACTGGAGGACCTTTAAATCTCTTCACTCCGAGGACACGAAGCCAGCTGAGCTCATAGTGATGCGGTCAGCAGATGTCGCGCGGAAGAAAATCCGTGCCTTCTCTGCTGGCAACTTCGTGGACCTCAGTGCGGTCTAAGTGGATACGAGGTTATTCACAACACAGTTGTGGTGTGACAGATGACATCTTGGAAACCTCTTCCCAATTGAAGTAGGCTCTCTGTAACTATGTAGCATATACAATTTGTTGAGCTCTATTGCGGCACAAACTTCCGCTTTCGCATGGCCAATTGGCAACGGATCAGGGCGGATAGATCAACAATCCCGCGGTCACTTCAACCAAATCTGCGTGTTCTTCCCGCTGCTATCCGTACAGGTTGAAGTCATCTTGCATATTCGTCCGGGCCATCGGTAAGAATAGTGGTAGTCAATTGGTGACTATGACCGCACTGAGAACAGTACTTAGGCTCGGGGCAGACCTCCTCATGTGTCCTCGCATTAAGCTCGCATAGCTGCCAACGCTGCCATGACACAGACACTCGAAGATGCCAGTACGTCGACCGATACGAAGTGCCTTACCAGCAACTCAATTTCCTCAAACAATCGCTGACCAAACCCTATCCTGGCAGTGAACAATGTGGACATTTCTCCGTCTCATGAGGCGAAGAAGGCCAGACGCAATCTACAGGAGTATTTTGTCAGTGCATTGGTGTGATTAACAAAACGATGCTGACTCTACACAGATAGGCCCTCGAGATCTCACACGACATTCGAAATGGCCGCGGGCACTTCGGATGCATGGCAGCGTCACACCCAAGATTCTTCTTCGCACAATTCTCATTGGTCTTTGGTCTGCAGGTATTACGGCAATTTCACAGAGAGTGCACGAAAGTAAAGCTATGTCTCACTTCTCAGCTTGAAGCTATACTGATCCCCACAGTCAATATCCATCCTGTCGTAGCGACCGTTCTTGGTATCCTCGTCGGCTTCTCACTTAGTCTTCGAAGCTCCACCGCTTACGAGCGTTACATGGAGGGACGAAAAGTGTGGAGTAACTTGACTGGTATATCAGCAACGCTCGCCCGCAATATCTGGTGCCACGCGAAAGAGAGAGATGGCGAAGATGGGAAGAGGGATCTCCTCGCTAAAGTCTCTTTTCTCAACCTCATTACGGCGTTCGCCTTAGCGCTCAAACACAAAGTCCGCTTTGAGCCCTATACGCAGTATGAGGATCTTTTCGATCTCGTTAACCACCTCGACACATATGCAAAGTATGCAGGCAAGCCGCGGACAAAAACCACTAGACCCAATACATGGACGAAGATCAAATACCTTCTAAGAATCGCCGAAACAAATCCTCGAAAAGAACTTAAGCGAGCGAAGCGTCCTCTGGGTAACCTGTACGTACCCCTTTCACTGAGCTGAAGCATACCACAAACATTGACTTCGAGCCCACGTCCAGGCCATCCGAGATCCTAGCGTACATGAACGCATACGTCCAAGAGATTGTAGACAACGGGACCTTCCCCCTCGCCGCCATCCAAGGCAAAGCCGTCGCCAACATCCAAACATTCGACGACATTCTCGTCACCGCAGACCGCATCCTCAACACACCCCTGCCCATCGCCTACACCATTGCCATATCCCAAATCACATGGATCTACGTCATCACCCTGCCCCTCCAACTCGTCAAGCTCATGGGCTGGGCCAACATCCCCGTCACCATGATCTCCGCATACATCATCCTGGGCTACGCCGCCATCGGCAACGAGATCGAAAACCCCTTTGGCACCGAAGTCAACGACCTCCCGCTAGAACTCTACTGCGCGCAGATTGCATCCGACATTGCGATCATCTCGTCGCGGCCCCCCGCGCGCATCGAGGACTACGCGTTCCATCCGGATAACAAGCCGCTGTATCCGATCAGCACGTCCGGGCCGAAGTATTGGCCCGACGCGGATATCGAGGATATCGGGGATGCACTCAGGACCCGCGCGCTGATTAGCAAGCCTGCGATGTGGCGCAGGCAGTCGCTGATTAGTGGCAAGTTTCCGCTGGTGAGGGATCGGTCGGTGGGAGGGTCGACGCTGAATACACAAGGTATGTGAACATGTTGGTGGAAATGTGGCGGTGTAGTAGACTGACTCTTTTTTCGGTGTAGTGAGTAGGCCCACGCATGGTGTGCCGGCGACTGCGGATGTGAGGTGGGCAGATGATGGCGCGGATGGAGGCGGGGAAGGCGGAGATTGAAAGGGCTGGTGTTTGTGACACTCATTTGAAGAAGAAGCAATACCCAGTTCATCTTTATGACAGTGTGTAGGCCTTCATTGCCATTCTTTAATAACGGCCATATCCGCGTGGCCATGAAGATGATTCCGGCCCGTAAGGTATGTCTTCTGATGTATACTATTATCATTTGTGAGTTACGATTTTAACACTGTATTTTCTTCAAGATACCCTATTCCACGAGGTATAACACCATGACCCGTTCCCTTGCATACCCATATACCCCGCCAAGAGTAAGCAGTCCCCGCAAGCCCGCGCCATGAACACAACCAGTATCATCCCAGTATATTATCGTGAGTATGCCTTCCAAGTCCCTATTCGATAAGAAAGCGTCGTGTTTCGTGCAACATCCCCTTCCTCTGTGTTTCATGTTGTTATTATGTAGTTGTGTGGTCGTGATTTCGTCAACGTCGTGGTACTATGTGATGCCATTACGGTCGGGTGACCCATGCTCGCATTGTTGTGTGTTATTGTCCCTGTGTGTAGGAGTTCTACGCAGGACGTTGCGCATGTCGACCTCGGGGGCAGAAGCCGCAGCATGAGTGGGTATGAGGTAGGATGATTCCGCCGCTCTCATGCGTCGTTGAAGTGTGCGATTCGGGGTGTTCCTCACGAACGCCAATCCATCGATCCCTCCTCTCCTGAGTCTCTCATTTTCTCATCGTAGCTCCCCCTGCTCTCACCGTGCCTTCAGAATCGGCACAATGCTATCATTCCTCTGCAGCATCTCACTGCACCCCGACACCGACGCCGAGCCATAACTCCGACACGGCATCTCGACCTTCTCGCCGTCTGCCAGCGTCTTGTCCGACCCCTCGCAGGGCCCGCTCCAAGTCCGCGCTGTCTTGCCGTACCATCCGAAGCTCCGCTCTTGATATCCGGTGAGGCCGAACCAGCCCTTGAAATACGCGTTCAGCGCAGGCGCGGATGCACATATGATGGAAACGTTTGTTTCGACGGCGGTCGCGACCCAGGAGCCCAGGGCTTCCCAGGTGATGTCGTAGGTGGGCGAGGGGTTGAGTCTGGTGTAGTAGAGGAGGCGGTGGGCGTAGTGGATTCGGAGGGCGCCGGTTGCGCAGACACTAGAACGCGTGTTAGGACTGGTACTACGCTTTCAATGCACGTAAAGCTACACTTACGCAAGACCCAGGAGGAATACACAGGCTAGTCCAATTTTCTGCCGAAGTGGGAGACGCAGCTTGTACACGACGAACATGGGCAACATGCATGCGAGGAAGTCTTGGGCGGTGCTGATGGAGATGACGGCGACGAGGTAGATGACTTCATCGACGCATTTGTACTCGTGTGTGCGCAGCCAGGACGTGGTGAAGCGGTACCAGTAGGCTTCGACGGGGTCGCAGGTGAAGATCAATGCGAGTATAGTTGCCGGTCCGTAGAGTGCGACTGGTTTCGATTGTTAGTGATTGTTAGTATGTGAGAGACTGACAGAAGACGTACCGAAGACGATGCTGGCCCAGATGCATATAAGTAGTGGGCGACTGAGGACGGAGGATGTGATGCGTCGGTAGAACATGAGGATAGAGAGCTTCGTGAGCGTCGTCGTCCCGATGTAAATTACTTCCATTGCCATTGTAATCTTGATTTAATCAGTCTTGTTTGTTCCTAGCAGATGCATTCAAATGTGGGGTTGTTTACCTGTCTCACGGTGATGTGCGTCCTAGGCGTCTGGTCCCAAATATGCAGTTGAAACCCATACACCCTCAACGCCAACACGGTCGATATCGTCAATCCTAAGAGTCCGGGCTTTACAACTATTAGCACTCTTCTCATACTATTCAACGAGTTCCGATACATACCATAGAGGCGATAATGAGCCAATCATCCCACCCCGCCGTCCTCTTAATCCCAAACCTCGCCCACAACCTCGCCACCACAACACAACTCGTAACAACGCACATGAAGATAATGCCCGCAGGCGCGCCCCATCCTCTCGTCTCCGGATCCACGTAGTTGGGCGCAGGCCAAGTGTGATGTCCTCCATCAGCAGGCGGAAACAAGGCTGGAAGCGGCACCATAGTAGCGGGTCGTTGGATGTGGAGCTCTCACTACGCCGCCATGGAAGTGTGGGGAAGACAAAATGAAGAATATCTCATCATGTGGGGAAATAGCAATGATAGCGAAAGATATTCGGGCGTTTGTGGACGGCTGCCGGATCCCGATGTTGCCAACCTCCCTATCGTGCGGTGAGGACGACTGTCAGCACACAGAAACTGGGCGGGAACACGCAAAGGTAGGTTTAGCGGGCGCTAAGGGATCGATCCTGGGCTATGGCGATCGGCTGTGCGGTTCCAATGGTCTCTTTGGCTGTGAGCAAGGGATGAGGGGCGGCACGTGTAAATAAGGTTTGTTAGTAGGGCCGACTATAAATACGACCTCGGGCTGAAGGCGTCACGGCGGAGTGAGATTGAGATACGAAGAGACGCTGTGATAGGACGCCCTGAGATAGTTTGTGTATGAGTAGGTTTTTGGCATAGAGTGTAGATATGAGTGTAATGAGGTGCGCTGTTTTGAGTTCGACGATTTGTGGAGAATTAATGACTTCATGGGCATGAGACGACACGGTATTGCCTGCGATACGAAAGCTTTGAGTTTGCATTACAATCGGGGCCGTTCTTCCATTCCCTTTGCAATGTTCCTCGATACCCAGTCGCTTATGGCCACTGTACCAAGAGTTAGCAAATAACCCAGAATCAGACAGGGGAACACGCGGTTACTTACTGTTGGTCACCATTGGATTAACGCCAGAGGCACTTGGGAACACGCTCGCATCCGTCACGTACACGCCCTCAGTGCCCCATACTTTTCCTTGCGGATCAACAACCCCGTCTTTCTCCCTTGCACTCATGCGACACGTGCCCATCTGATGGGCTGACACAAACACGCTCTCTGGCGTGGGGAAACCTCTGGCTTTGACTTCGGCTAGCCAAGCCTGGAACTCGGTGTCATTTATACCGTCGCCAGATTGCGGTACAGAAGGGTCTCGCTTGAATGGTCGCATGCCCGGGATGACTGTGAAGATTTCGGTCGCGCCTTCGACATATTGGATCTTGGCCAGCGCAAGCAAGCCTTCCATAATGTGTTGCTTTGCGACTTTACTCGGCGAATATTGGAATCGTACGCGACCATCCACCGGATCAGGATAAACGCGTCCAGTGTCTTTCTCCTTCGCAAGCGAAATGTATCCAACCATGTGTTTGAGTCTGGCAGCATCGAGCTTGTATTGCAGTCCGCCCTTCCAGTCGAGCCAGATGAGCCAACTCGATGGTATCATATTCGTAGCCTCAAGCTTAACGCCATGGCCCTTACCATCGAGGTTCTCATATTCATTGACAACGGATGTGAGGATGCCGCCTTCCCAAGGCTTGATCTCTTCGGGGTGAATAGCGCCCAGGACTGCCACTGGGTGGACTGCAAGGTTGCGGCCAATTTGTGGGTTTGTCAGGCCAGAACGAAGGAGGAGAAGAGGAGACTGCATGGTTCCTGCTGACACAATAACGCGCTTGGCATTGATGAGGACTTTGCGGGTGATAAGAGGAGCGCCGGCAACACCGCCATTGGCGTCTCTAGATGTCCATGTGCCCTGAAGACCGGTTGCGACTCTCTTTCCGCCCTTGTTGGAGAACACAATCTTCTCGGCGTCAAAGCCTTCGATAAAGTTTGCGCCTGCACGAGCAGCATCTGGGAGGTATGACACGGAGGGACCTTGCTTCTCGCAAGACCCGCAACCGAATGTGCAGTACCCACAGTAATGTTGAGCTCCACCAGTGTTTTGCGGGACAGGCTTATGTGACCAGCCAAGTTTCCTGGCGCCTTCGAGGAGTTTGACGTTTGCGGGGTTGTGCTTGATGAAATCTGCGGACACGCCCATGCGGTTACACACGCGATCTAGCGCCTCTTGATACTCGGCGGAGGTGAAGAATGGTAAACCATTGTCAGCCCATTCGCGGCGGACGTAGCCTTGCGTCTGGAGAGAGGCACTCCAGTTCACTGTTCCGCCGCCACCCCATGACTGTCCAGCCACTATGCTAGTCGAAGTGTCATCCGAACTGATGAAGGCGCCGTTCATGAAAAGGTGGTTCCATCCATGGGACTCTGCCATTGGGTAATGGTCTGGAGACCAATGGTAAGCCTTTTCAGCAACAATCACGCGGAATCCGGCCTCTGCTAAGTTCTTTGCGCTCACACCACCGCCACACCCACTACCAACAATAATCACGTCCGTCTCGATGATTTCGGGGTTGTCGCCTGGTGGGAATTGGAGGAATTCATAGTCGTAACCTTTGCCTGGTTGCATGCCAACAGGCACACGGGGCACGCCCAGGACACGTCGAAGGGACGGAGTGATCTTGATCCATGTCTGCTTGGTCAGGACAGACAGTGACCGGTGGAGTTGACGGAGAACGCCTATTCTTGCGGTCGACCAGCCGAAAACAATTGCCTCTCTTATGTGGGCTGGCTGCTCGCTGATGGGCGTCAGATAGCCAGTGAGTGCAAGTGACCCTGCGCGAGTACTGCTCTATTATTAGACATTGTTCTTGTTTAGTATTCATGTTCTTCAACAGCATTGCGTGGAATGACGCTGGTGACAATGCTGGATAGGTTGACATACTCGAGAATATTCAGCACCATGAACAATTCTTTCTTCGTTGACTGCGGCATATACATGGCAAAAATCCTCTGCAGCTCCTCCTTGAAAGCTGGATTTGATGATGCATTTTCGGCGAGATATTCTGTGACAGCTGTTTCTGCACTGGGGTCGTCCTCGGGCGTGAGAGCTCTGAGTGCGCTGACGGCTGTCGAGTACGCATTGTCTGCGACCGCAATCTCTACACGTGCATTGGCGACCGATGCGGGTTTGATAGAGGGTATCACAGCGTCGGATATGGCCAAGAGTGTCTTCCACTGGGCGGCTGTCAGCGGGTCCTCCGATGGCAGAGGTGGCAAAGGGGTCGCCTTTGGCGACACGGCTTGAGTCGGCAGAGACATGTCGAGCGATACGGCTCAGCGATGGAGCGAGGTTTCAATGAGGCTGTTGTATTGATAGCGACCTACGCGAGACGCAGGGGCAGTTGTCTGTTATCCGTCCCCAGTTTACCCCAGATGTCTTCCCCGCGTACGGCGTGGTCGCTCGTCCAAGGTGTGCATGTGGGTGCCGAGGCTTCATCTGACTTCGCGCGACGTGAAAAAGAGACGCCACTCAGTCACCAGCCACTCGGGCGCCACACGTCCAAGCGTTGTAATGCCGACAATCTGCCATCCTGGTAAGTTAGCATCGGCTGGTCGGCCAATGCATTTCTCTCGAGACACCTCGACGTTGATTGGCTAGGGGGTCGTGCGGTGAAGTCGTCTGGCAGAATGACTCCGAATGAGTGCGTGCGATACTTCCATAATCAGGTGGGTAGCCTGCATCGGGCTGCACTGCGCCTGCGATGGCGAACCATGGGCCCTGGCGAACTCTCTCGTGAGCAATGATCAGTCGTACGTTGTAGAAGATAGAAATCTATACCGCGTCGCATTGCAGCTGGAATGCGAATTTAGCCTCGCCGACGGCGTAATGTGTGCATTGACCGGGTTCCCTCGAGCTGCGTTGGGATTGCCCCTCCAGTTTCGAGCGAGGGTAATGAGCGCGGCTCACCTGCCATGCTCATGCCCTGCCTCGTTACGAAGACGACCGTGAACGTCGGTTGTGACTTCAGCGATGAACATGTTGCTACATCATAATGGGTCGTAAGATTGGCGCTTGACGAATGCAGGACGTGTTCATCGCGCTGCGGAGAGAAGCATCGGAGAAGCGGTGCACGCGAAGTTCACCATGAACCAGGGTACTGATAAGGAAACGGGCTAACGATAGTGGGGCCTGCCGTTGAAAGTACGGCAGCGAGACAACAGCGTCGCGCGACATGGCATGGGCGCACACGGGCGTTGCTTTTGCGCTGAGCCGAAAGAGGCGTTTGCGGAGAATATGCTCCTGCAAATGCGGCCTGCTTTCACATTGTGTTGTGAGGCAGCATCGCAAGGCGGAGGTGAGCGACGTTTCGTTGACACAAAAAAATGATAGATGATGGTCGCTCGCCGGTCTCATGCCGACGGCGCCAAGGGGCCGGGGTGTGTTCGCGCCAGTACGTAGTTGGCCTTCGGACCATCGCCTTGAGCCGCCGTTGTGGGCAAGGTGGTCTACAGTCTAAATGAATACTACTGCCCTCTACCTAAGGGCCTCTCCCCAGATATTCCTCCGCAACCTCACGCTCACGCTCACGCGACACATACCCTCAAACCCGCCCTCTCTCTCACGCTTACAGCCGATGCACTGTTGAGTTTGCACCAGCAGTCGCATCTGTAGGCCCCGGCGTTCGTAGCACCGCTGTTATCGCTCGCGGTGCCTCTCCGACCAATCGACGCCGACGTTTATACCAACGCAAGAGCCGCATATCTGTCTCGCCAGGGTAGATCGTTGCACCGCCGTATTGGCCTGATTGCTTGCCGGTCCCGAATTGGGCTTTTGCTGCACCTGCCTGCCTGAGACGATAGAGCCATTCATTCGCAGAGGGCGCTCAGGAATCCAACACCCTCACCGCCGTTCCGTCCTTATCACAGCGACCGTTTCGCGCGCCGCATAACAGCCCTCGGCAGCCGTAGAAGTCCGTCTTCGCATCTTGTTTTCGTCCTCGACTTCGACTTCGACTTCGCCCTCAAACCCCGCCCCGCCATGGCAACCCAGTTCTCTACAGCGACTGCCATTCCACAGCACGCGCCATACCAGCACCACGCATATCGCAAGTCGACACAGTACTCGCCAAACGCGTCGACTGTGAACACGCCCATGAACGTCTCGCCCACATCTCCGCGCACAACGTCGGCACTGCCTCTGCAGCGACACCAGGGCATATACCAGCCACGTACAGCCATCGGCATCCCCGCAGCCCTGCGAAAGACAGAGAAGCCCAGCAGCAAGTCACCACCCAAGCTTGACTCCGGTGTCGGCTCTCCAAACAGCGGCTGGCAGGTCAATGGCGGTCTGCAGCGTACTGGCACCGACGAGAGTGCCACGCCCAGCTCTCGAGTCGGCAACGAGGACATGCTCAGCATCTACAACCAAGAACCACTGTCGCCAACGTCCGGCCCCATCACCCGCAACCACTGGCAGGTATGTTTGCTACTCTTTTCCTTCCAATCTCTATGCCGCTATTAGCCTTGCCCATCTTTTATTTGTCGCGTGCTCGGTTCCGCATTGGCGCCTGCTCTTACGTACATACGTGAGAGTGGATCCTCTTAGCGTGGCCTAGGTCTGGCTTCCCGCTGTATGCGCAGCCGGGCGTCTCGCCGCGCTGCATCTCAACACGAACATCGATGCAACCTCGAGGGGCACCACCACCAGCGCCGATGACGCGCTCTGGTGGCTGCTGAGAGCGATACAAAAATTCGAGGTGGAAGGCTTGGCAACGCTTTTGCTTGCCAGCCAGCTCGCTTCGTTGTACCACCTCTGCTTTCGTTCCCCACGCTAGTGGCGTTGCCCGATGCAGGGTAACGCCTCGGTCTCCATTATTCCTGTCCGGGCCCATGCTCGTAATAGGTTCCAGACCAACCGTACTGACGAACCTATTCAGGCCGACAGCTCCACTCCAGTATGCTCGGCATCCTCATGCCAGGAACCCTTCGGCTTTTTCCAGCGCCGCCACCACTGCAGAAAGTGCGGTGGCATTTTCTGCTGGCAGCACTCGTCCAAGCAAGTCCGTCTCGATGAGCTGGCTCGGTTCCACCCAGATGGAGTCTTGCACCGCGCATGTGACCGTTGCCACGGCTCTTTCCGCGAGTGGGAACATCTTCGTTCGAGCCGTACTAACAGCGAGAGCTCCGAGAATAGCGCAGCGGCTATTGAAATCGAGGCGCCCGCTCCGGCAAAGCGTCCAGAGAACCCTCGCGTCGGCAGCATTGCTCAAAGCTTTCAGGGTGCCTGGAACTGGAGCACATTCTGAGCTCGTCTTACTTTCTTCGACTGGATTGGACATTCCTTGTACATCCTCTCGGCACACTCTTGACTCTGGACGACCAACCCATGTTTTATAGATTTCCAGAAGGCCATGCTCTTCTGTAGCTGACCACTACCATTTCCTTGATAGCTTCTCTGATTGAAGCATCGATACACCTGCATACATCGGCGTCCTGCATCATCGATTCGGCGGTCCTCTGCATCTAAATGCAATTAGCGTTTCCTTCTGCCTCGTAGGCACCTAGACCGGCTTCGTCCTGTTGACGAACGCTGTTACGGCCGTGGACATAACTCTTTTAATGAATGTCGATTGTCGAGCCCATTTTCAGACGGGCTCCGCGACAGCTGGGGAGGAACGAGCGTCGGCGTGGTTGACATGGCGAGGACATTTGTGTTGTTTGTTTGCTATGACTCATTTGAGTCTCGGAATCATGTGTCGTTTTGAGGCCACGGCTTCCACGACGTTAGATGTGGAGTTCGGTGTTGCGGCTGTGAAGGCCGGATAACTGTTTAATGCGAGTATTGGTAACTGCGAATGAATGTCAGAACGATTGATCAAACAAGGGAAAGCTGCAATTAAGTGACTAACAATCTGCTCACCGCACCTTGATGGCGTGATAAAGCTTATGCAGATGTTGTGAAGTGTAGTCTGGCAGCCCAGCTGATACAGCAGATCAAGGTAGAAGCGTCAAAGGGAAAAGAAGGAATGCGAAAGGCATTGATGCCCCGTTGAGTAATAGAAAAAGCAGGTAAGAACCAGCACACAACATGTATGACGATCACCTCACTACCAGAGATTGATGGTGTAACACTGGTAGACCCAGTCTTCGCGGTGCTGGCGCGCTCCGATTGGTCAGCCTTGCCAGGAACCAGGATGGCGTTTTTTTGGTCGCAATCACGACCAAGAACGTCGACGTCTTTGACACATTGATTGAGAGTCACACCACCTGGGCCTAGCTCTCCACAAAAAACTGGCTCAGATATACCTGCCAGCACAAGGTGTCACGATCCAGAGCGTCTCGAGTCGCTTTCGTCATACGTCCCCTTCGTCTACCAGCTTTCGGGGGCGCACTCGCCCCCGCGAAGATATTGCGCACCATGGCGACGACAACGAGTGAAACGCAAGGGAGGGCGAAGCTACATGGTCGCGCATTCTACGAGAGCATTGGGAGTCCGAAACTAGTTCTTGCGCCCATGGTCGAACAGTCAGAGTTCGTACGTTTTCTAAAGCCCCACCTCGTCTGATGCATGTTAGATGGAGCCCAGAAGCTGATATATGGTGAATTACGCAGGCATGGCGCTTGCTCTCGCGCTCTTTTTTACCGCCCGACCAGCAGAAATCCCTCCTAGCGTATACGCCCATGTTCCATTCGAAAATGTTCGGCGAGAAGAGCAATTACCGGGATGCGCATTTCCAGCCGCTCAAGTCGGGGATGGCGTCGCCGCCGGATGCATATCATGTTTCGCAGGTCGAGGATGGAGAAAGACATCTCGATGGGAATCCGGCATTTGATAGGCCACTCACGGTGCAATTCTGCTCGAACGATCCGGACGATTTCCTGCGGGCAGCGAAACATGTTGCGCCGTTTTGTGATGCGGTGGATCTGAATCTAGGATGTCCGCAGGGTATTGCGAAGAGAGGGAAATATGGAGCTTTCTTGCAGGAGGATCAAGGCCTCATTGCGAGGATGATCAATAAATTGCACGAGGAACTGGAAGTGCCTGTCACGGCGAAGATGCGGGTTCTCGAAACGAAGGAGAAGACGTTGGAATATGCGAAGACTATCCTGGACGCGGGCGCGAGTATCATCACGGTGCATGGCCGGCGGAGGGAACAAAAGGGACACAACACAGGTTTGGCAGACTGGCAAATGATACGGTATCTGAGGGAGAGTTTACCGAAGGATACGGTCATATTCGCGAACGGAAACATCCTGCAACATGAGGATATTGCAGCATGTCTGGAAGCAACAGGCGCAGACGGCGTCATGAGCGCTGAAGGAAACCTCTATGATCCCACCATCTTCGCGCCACCACCGCCAGTAGGCCAAGAAGGGCAAGAATACTGGCGTGACCGAAACGGCAAAGGTGGCTACCGCGTCGACGCCGTGATGCGCCGCTACATGGACATAATTCACAAACATGCCCTTGGTCAACAACCACCAGTGCGGAAACCCCTCTGGATGCCCGGCGACCCCGAAGAGCCTGTCAAGCAAGAACAAACCCCCTCAGAAGAAGGTGAAGAAGAAGACGGACCACCCAAAAAGAAGCAAAAGAGACTATCCAAAGCCGAACAGAAAAAAGCCAAATCCTCGAATCCAAACCTCACAGCCATGCAAGCACATCTTTTCCACATGCTCCGCCCCCTCGTGTCCGAACACCACAACGTCCGCGACGCCCTGGCGCGCTCGCGAACAGGCGACATCGACGCGTTTGAAAACGTCCTCGCGCTCGTCGAACAAGCCGTCAAACAAGGCATCCAAGCCTACGAATCCTCACCACCCACCGACGCCCCCGAACCCCTACCATCGACAGAAAACCTTGATCCCTACGAATCCTCACTAGCCACTGTAGCGCGGTGCAAACGCCCGTATTGGGTGTGTCAGCCGTATGTGCGGCCGTTACCCAAGGAGGCTATTGAGAAGGGGAGTATGACGGTGAGTAAGAAGGAGAAGAAGAGGATGGAGGAGGAGACGAAGGCGGTGGGATTGGAGGTTGGTGGGAGGGTGGAGGAGAAGGATGAGAAGACAGGGGAGACGTTGGGAAAGGACAGTTTGGAGGAGAGTGAGAGGAGGGAGGGGAAGGGGGACGAGGTTGTAGAGGAGCCGAGGGAGGGTGTGGTTTGCGGTTGAGGCTTGAAGGTGAAGGTGATATACCCAATGCATTGTGTGGCGTTATCAAGTGACGCGAACTCCGAGACAGTTAGAGTCCGAGTTCAGGGCAGATTTGTGTCGAGGTATTTTGGAGACGGCCAGTTTCCGGCGCTCTTCCCTAGGCCGTAGGATGTCGTTTCCTCGTTCGCCGTCATGTCAGGTTTGCTCCTTCCAATCCTGCTATCCTCATCCTACATCAACTCTCTCTCTCTCTCTTCCGCATTCCTTCTACACTTTTGACACGTCGGTGCTTGCTTCTACTTAACATGTCTGGTCTGATTACTCGTCTCGTTGCTGTCATACTCTCGATTTTCGCTTCCACTCGACTCCCCACACCTGGTCCACGATGGGATGACTGCAAACGCAACTGCCAAGACGTGGTTGCGAAGGCGCAACCAGAAAATTGATTATGACAACACGCGACATGCGCCTTAACACCAGACTCTGAATCGACACAAGAACCGGTTTCGACACATGGTTACGACACGCGGCCAACACGCCAGGCGCGCCCAGGGAATCAAGGGCCCAGCTTCGCTCGTGGGCAAGATAAAGGCGAGAGCTGCGAAGCCACCTGTCCCTCTACAACAAAACATACCTGCTGCGGTCCAGAAGCACATAGCCCAGCTCAAACATGGAGGATCGAAGCAGGCGGCCAGGGCAAGAGGCAAGAGGCTACAAGTACGCATCCTAGGTGCCAATCGTGTGTTCAGCGGCAGTGTCTACATCCCCGATTATTCAGCGGCACGCGAACCCGACTCGACCCGCCTGCTGGATGTTGCGGCGTCAATGCAAGCTGGACACACGATTGTGTACTGGTGTGATGGAAGCGCAGCCCAGGGGTTCCTCGGCGCCGGAGTTGCTTGGACTGACAGCGACAAAGAAATGTCAGAGGAGTATGAGTTAGGCTACAACACAGGATCATCGCAGGATGCCGAACTCTTTGCTATCGCTGCAGCCCTGGGACAAGCGAAATTGGAGGTACAACGAGGCCGAGACGTGCAGCTCGTACGGATCTACACAGATGCGCAGATGGTTCTGAAGGCGCTTAACGACGGCACAAGGTGTCCTTTGGGCCCTTTGGTATCCGCAGAGACTGCCCTGGAAGGATTGTACGAGCGCACAGACTTTCTGACGAATGCAGGCATTGAGGTGGAATTGCTCTGGGTCAAAGGGCACTCAAACAGCCGTGGTAACTGCCTCGCAGACGAAGTTGCCGACAGAGCCGTCAAATCGCAAATCAGACGCCGAGGTCATACCACCTGGAAACCTGAACTCACTTCAGATGCGGATGTCCCTGACAATTTCAAGCAGATGGGTCAAGACTGGGCCGATGAATGGTTATACCGCGCCAATCCTCATCAGGGCTGGAAGCGCAAGCGTACCATGTGCACTTGGATGTTGGAACTCAGCGATAAAGATGAACCAACAGCACCAAGAGCATCACCAGAACTTCAGGTATCTGGTGAGGATTCTGCCGGTGACCCGGGCGGCTTCATGATCCCCGAAACCAACCACCAAAGCAGCCTTATCCTTGACGAGCTGATCTTCAATCTACGCAATCAATGGAGCACTATCGATGCTCAGATCGAGAAGCTCGAAATCCTGATCGCCAGGAATGGAGGAAGAGGTAAGTTTCTCCAAAACAAGCGGCAGGGTTTCGTCGATGAAGCGCGGCCGCTATATGAGCAGCGTGCTCACATCCAAGACGAAATCGATACTGCGAGGCATACTAAGTTGGCAAGACAGAACTATGTCGAGGACCAGGTCGGGATGGCTGCTGATGAAGAATATGACGAGATTGAGCAAGGCGACGATGAGGGATTGGATGGAGAAGAGCAGGGGATTGGGCATTCGTTGCTGGAAGAGCTCAACGATTCGCTATTGGCAGGCGACGGGATCGAGAGCACAGATGACGAGGTTGAGGTTGACACGGATGATGAACTCGAGAGGCAGTTCCAAGACGACATTGCGCTCGCGCAGCGACACAAATAAGAGTGTCCCAGGCTTTGGAAGATATCATCCTCTTCCACCACAAGCCATATACATCAAACTCTATAGAACACTGAATCAAGCTTAACAAATCTATGCTTGCGATGTGCCTAACCAGGGCGTGCCTTGTTGCATCGATGTCAACGGCAATCTCCAGACCATGTGATGGAAGCTGGGCAAACTTGACACTGAGGCTCATCAGACACTTGTCCGGTCAAGACGCCCGGTTCGCGCCATGATTCGTGGAGCGTCGCGGCAACATCCGAATGGACCCTGATCCTGGGCTGTACGTCATCGGTGCGGTCTCCCCCACATCTCACTCGCTGTCAGCACTCGATCGACCAGCGGTGCTACAGGAAAGAGTAGCGATTGCCATGTTTCACCTTCTTGGAACCTATCTTTAGCTGGAGGCAAACCCTCACCGTTCATGTGTGATGCATGGGGAGCGTGGTGGTAGGGAAGAGAATTTTCTCCCAAGTCAACATATTTAGGCCATCTCGCACTTGCACTGCGGCAGGATTTCACTAATTGCGCCATCCGCAAATGTCACTGCACGGTATCGCGATTTCTCCGGATGAGCCGTACTCGCTCCTGAAACACTTTATAAACCCTCACCCCGCCATCAAGTGCGCCAATTTCCTTGCACGACCCCACGACTCCCCGCACCCTGTACCTTCACCATGACCAGCATCGTGAAGGGCTTCGGCGTCTCGAGCAGCGACGCCAGCAATGGCAACAGCGGCACCGAGTTCCTCTGCATGCTGTCACCGCCCAAGGAGAAGGTCGACGGGTACGACAACACGAAGCCATGTAGCGAGCAGACCATCAACGTCCCGCCATTGTTCCGCGACGCCATGGCCGTCCGCGAGGAAGTATACGGCGAGCAAGGCATCCCCCTCGAGGCCGAGTTCGACGAAGACGACGCCCGCAGCTGGCATTGGATCGCCTACGCCTCTGTAGCCTCGACATCCATGCCGCCCAAATACCTGCGCTCCGACTCGCCCAACACGCCCGCAGAGGATGCCCGTCGCGCTTCCGCCTCGGCCTCGCGCATGCCCGTCGCTACAATCCGCCTGATACCCCCACCCCACAGCCCGAACAAGTACATCAACAACACCAAGAAGCCAGACAAGCACGCCGACGCCGACCCGCCCAGCGACGAGGCGCATCCCCCCGAGCCATACGTCAAGCTGGGCCGCCTCGCTACCCTAAAGCCCTACCGCGGCATGGGTCTCGCTGGCCTCCTGATCAACGCCATCGCCGACTTCGCCAAACAGAACCCCGATACAATCTACAAGCCCCCGTCGCCGACCGCCATGGAGCGGGCGCAGATCAAGGAACACGGCCGCGACCAGCACCTTGCTTGGGATGGCCTGATCATGATCCACGCCCAGGCCAATCTCAAGAAGATGTGGGAGAAGCACGGGTTTAGTGAAGAGTTGCGGAACGACCATGGCGAGGTGGAGATTCACGCTGAGCCGCATTGGGTGGAGGAGGGGATTGAGCACATTGGTATGTGGAAGCGTATTGAGGTGAAGAAGAGGCCAGGCATGAGTTCGCATTGATTCGATGCTCCCTGCACGAGGTTTGACGCTGCGGCATGTGTTCCACTCAATCATTTACAACTTTGACGACACCACCACTTTATACCCGAACAAGATTCACGACGACACGGCCGGATTTACCACTTTTTCTTACAAACTCACAAAACAACATAGATTCGGAATGGAAACACTCGCTCATGGGCTTGGGGGCGCATGCAGTGAACGGTTCTCCTCAATAGATGACAATTGAATATAAAAAAATCTCGTCTCATACCATCGTTATGCCCTGATGCTTTCTCGCCAACCAATACATCAACACTCCTTTTGAAATCCGTCACAAGTCCGAATACCCCAAGCCACACGGACATGTATACTCTACCCTATCCTACCAAAAATAACGCCAGAACAAATCTATACCCAACGAGCAGCGAAGCTCCCCAAATCCGTCTAACATCCACACCCCCTACATGTACCACCCAACATCTCCATCACCCCACACACGTCCTCGTGCTCCCTGTCGTCGCGCACTTGTACGGGTCCAAACACCCGTTATCCCGGCTTTTCTCGCAGTCGTACCCGGGGCATCCCCACATGGTCGACCCACAGCATGTCGCCGATGCGCTGTGGTACGAGTAGCAGAGCCCCTCGGCGCAGTCGCTGTTCGCCTTGCAGCTGGACCCTGGAGATGTGTAGATCTTGGCACGTGCTGTTGGTGCTGGCGGTGTTGAGGTGGGGGTTTTGGGGCGCGAGGTGGGCGGGTTTGCGGGTGTGAGTGTTGGAGAAGAGGAGTCTGGGGAGGGAGATGGAGAGGCTGGTGGAGACATGGGAGAGGTTACGGGTGGGTCTGTGGACGAAGTCGTATATGATAGTGTTGACTGTGGGAAAGCAGCTTGCGGAGTCTAGAAAACCTGTCAGTGCATATGTTCTCATCTCTTCGGGTTTGGCATGAGAAACTTACTGAAACTCCCAATGTGTTTTGCGATGCTGCTTCTCGAGGCCGGAAATGTACCACCAGTGGTACAATGATGGCTGTGAGAAGTATCAATGTGAATGCGGAGATTGCCAGGGTTCGGTTTCTTCGTATGATGATGGGCAGTCGGTGCGATCTTGGGGTGGTTTTGCTCATAGCCGTGCCGACGTCCGTGACTCGATCGCGTAGTTCGATCGTCTCCATCTGTTCCTGGTGGTGTTCACTTCGCTGGTCCAAGGTACGTTCATGACTGTGGCTATTCCAGCCATTGTTGTTCGCGATTAAGAGGTGGACGTGAGTGTTGCCGAAGGTATGCTCGGTGTTGGCGACCTTGTTAGTGCCCGAGACGTTGTTGTCTCGCACTTGGAACTCTGGCTCTCTTGCTTCGCCCATTTGTGTGGAGAATGCATGAGCCGGGAATGAAGGAGGTAAAATGGAATGCAGAGAAGGATAGAAGGTGGACCCCAATTCATCAGCTCGATTAAAGGGGCCCGGCACAGACCTGCTCCTGTTGCCTGCTCTGTATAAATAGTATCATCTGGACTGACCCTATGGTGCCAATCGCTTTGTCTAAGTGTTTGTGTCTCCAGTAGTCACCTGGCACGGAAGCATAGTCGTAGTGGAAACCTCATTTGAAATGCGCTCATCTGGAGAGTGAATAACACATGTACTCACGACATTGCTGAGGAAGGCGCGAGTAGGGCTTGTTGCCATTACGACCCCGTTACATCCTTGAAGGTCTAAGCCGTTATTATGTGACCTTCTATGCAACCAAGCGATGTTCGCCCCCAGGGCACAACTTCGAAAGTGCCTTGGGGCTCAGTCCTGCCACAACACCGGGATGTGGGTATGTTGCCTTCGTACTTATCTGCCCAACTAAGTGACACAGGTCGTAACCTAAGCTTCCCTCCCGGTTGATAGCGCTGCGTCTCTTGGTGGTGCGGTGCACTGCCCGCATAGCTGACAGCGAATGCGATGGTTCTACTTTTCAGCCTCGCCAGCCACCGCACCGGTCAGCAGAGGTCCTCCAGATACATTACCCCGCCCTTCTTCCTAGTCGCCCATGCCAATATACAGCCTCATGCTCTTTTATCAGCATATTACCCGGAGGTTTCCTAAGAACAAGATATGGATATAGTCGCAGGAGCTGCGAGCGTTTCCCAACTCATTGCCTACAGCCTTTCATCAGCTCACTGTCTGCAGCAGCTCTACAACGAGCTCAAGAACTTCGGGACTTCATATCGCAACGAAGAAACGAATGTTTGCCTGCTCCTAGACGTCATCAAGGGGCTTTCGGACCAGGGTGTCGATGATAGCGACCCTATCCTTCCTATCCTGCTGGATATTTCCAGACTCGCTTGCGAAATCTTACACCTCCTTCAGCCCCGACGGCTTCTAGGGATCAATTGGACCCCTCTTACTAAACAGGACGAGCTGAAGTCATCCTTTGGGGCGCTGGATAAGAAGCAGAAGCTGCTGCATCTGCGTGTCTCTGGAGAAACTCTCACGGCTCTTCGAACAGTATCCAGACAAGGGTCATTTTTCAGCCTTGCTCCAACTCACACGATGGCTACGCCTCCTCCCCCAAAGGTATTTGACATTCTATTCAACTGAAAGCGGACATCCTTTGTTGACTGAGCGCGATTAGTTTACTTGCAACAACAATAACATTAGAGGAGTTCAGGAAGTGCTTTGTGGATATGAAGTCCGCCCTATCGATGCTGAAGTCAACAACAACGACGTTTCTTTCATGTCTGTCAATCGTGCGGGCAACAAGAATGAATTGTCCGGAGAACAGATTGTGAAGATCGTCAGTGAGCAAGCAACACACAGTTCGGAGAAAGCAGCCAATGACGCGGCCAAACAAGACCAAGCTGGAAACCAGGGCGCTACAGGGGGCAGAGTTATGCTAAGTGCGTTTTGCGAGGGAGGACGTTCGGAGCAATCTGACTTTACGAGAAACATGAGAAACAAACGGCTTAACCATTTCGGGAATTGACGCAATATGTTGGCAATTGCGCGCACACACACTGTACTCAATCAAGTTTGCGCTAGGAGGATGTAGTTATTGTTTTGCACCGCGCTCAAGCTATCAGTGCTCAATTAAACTCATATCGGCGGCGGTGCCAAATCCAGTCCTTCAACTTGCAACTTGAACTGATCGCTTCTTGAGTAGCTTCCCGCAGCATCAAAGTCGAGCCGACCCCTCTCACAGTCCTCAAAGTCAATCTCAACAGTAAGCAGCTCATCCTCAGACTCCCAAAGCGGCCCGGCAAGGACTTCACCAAGTGGTGAGATTATGCAGGAGCCCCCGCGAGAGACGAACTCCTCGCCGTCTGCTGACGAGGTCTGTACAGGCGCAGCTGAGCTTTGGAAGGGATTGGTGTTAAGGGCATCCGTCACTGCCGGAGACTCGATGGCGGAGTCTGTGTTTGACTGCTGGGCATCCTTGTCGTCTCTGATAGGTATGCATATTTCGTTGCCATCTTCCGTCTTGCAGATGGTACTCTTCCTCCTTCCAGCGCTCGTCACTGATGGTTTTGGCCCCTCGTTTCCCATTGTGCCGTTCGCTGTGGAATTATCGCTTCCAGGCTTCTTCACACCAGTGATCCATTCTGGTAGATGCTTCTTCTTCACGCACTGGTTTGCGCTGACGACAAAACATCTTCCTTCGCATCCCACAGTGCGCATCAACGATTCCCATGTATCTCTCGCATCTGCCGTGGGCGCGAACCAGAGATTGACGTTCTGGCTGTACAAGCTCTGTCTGAGCATAGGCATGTAGTTCTCCCAACAGATCGCAGAGCCCATCGTAAGTTTTACACCCTTTATCTCTGTCGTAACCGCACGGAGCGTAGATGCCGTTCCCTGGCCCCAGATCAAGCGTTCTGAGCCAGTCGGCATGAGCTTACGCCTCTTGCCCAGTATACCAAGCTTTGGACAGACGAAGACAGCGGCACAGTACAGTGTACCAGCACATCGCTCAACTAGCCCAGTGACGACGAAGACGCCAGTCTCCCTAGCAATGCGCTCAAGCTCCTCACGTGTGCCATCTCCGCGATATGCCTTCGCTCTCGGTAGCTCCAAGTTCTTCTCCAACCAATCTTTGCCGGCGCCAGCCGGTGTATCCCCCATGTCCACGGCATCGTGGAAGTAGTGCAGGAATTGCTCACGGCCCTCAGGAGCGCGTGCGCCAACTGCCGCGCCGAAGCTGCATGTTCGCGGATAGCCACCGAGATAGGCTTCGGGGAAGAGGATGATGTCTACGCCTTGCGAAGCGGCACGTCTAGTCGTTTCTTCAAGCGCTTGCAGGGTTTCGACGGTCGTTGCGAGCGTACGCGCTTGCGCAGACGCGACTTTGAGCTTCTGGGGCATTGTGTAAATCGAGTGCTAACAGGGGCTAGGCCTTGGTGTCCGGTGTGCTTATCAGCGGCTTCAGCTTTTCCAACTCAGTCAGGTACGCAGGATCAATCGAGTCCGTCTAGGCAATGAGTAATGAAGCATGAGTGTGAGTAATGGTAGCTTCCCCGCTCACCCCACCTCGGAAGCATCCAAATGCAACAATGGCGACCGAGTGTCCAACGTTCGCTAAGCAACGATCCTCAAGGCAGATCGTCATAGCCATGAGGGAATGATTCAATGCCACGGGCGGCTGGAGATCTAGTCCCCGCGTGAAAAATGCAGAGACGGAGTTTGGCGGTTGTACTACTCAGGTACCCTCTGCAAATTCGATGTTAGCGAGTCAGCAGTCACCAAGTTTCGTCATGCGATTGTGTCATGAATCAGGCCTCCAAGGGCCAACCTATCGTATTCAGTCGCTCCGTTCTAATGCTTGAAGATGGGCAAAACGCCGTCCGATTCCTTCGTAATGCGCCGCAATGTGCCCAAGAATTCAAAGCCGTACTGAAAAGGAAAGGGGTATCGGACCTGTACAGAGAGTATGGTGGTACAGTGAATGCGTCATAAAATAGGAAAAGATGAGTCTAGCAATGACGATGCTGAGAAGTTGTTGGAAGAAGGAAAATAGCTAGCTACTTCCATACAGCTACGTCGCTTCAATTAAGGGTGTGAGTAATAATGTAATTCGGTTATGAACTTTCTGTTCAATACCTCTTCGATCCGTAATCGTCGTGAATTGCGCCACGCTCGATGTCTCTGTCTCGTGCAGGACTGGGAGAGTCATTCTGGCTTCCTGGCTTGAATGCAGCGCAGATGGTACTCCTCTGAACCCAGGTGTTCAAGCTTTTTCCATCAGAAGAAGTGAGATTCCTTGTACTGGCGAAGCTCTTTTGGCTGACGTCGTCCCTCTGTTCAACATGAACATCTAGACCCTGGCTAACTTTGATACCCTGCAGTGGCAGAGCGTCTGGATCATCGCTGGTATCTGCGCGTGACGCCATTGCAGAGTGTCCTGAAAACGACGGTTTGCCGCGCGATCGTGACAGTAGGTTCGATGATTTGTTGATAGTGGACCTGCCATACCCGTAGGCCCCAGATGTAGAGTTTGTCATGGAAAAGTATCGCTTGAAAAACACCTTCAACGCTGGCGCAGAAGCGCAGATCACACCCAGATCAGCTTCGAGCGCTGTCCATATCCAACCGTAGTACGCATACCAGGTGATGTCGAAGGTGTAGTAATACACGTAGGTCGCGTAGTATGTGCGCAAGATACCACAAACGCATGTGACCAGACCAATAGCGAAAATACCACAGAGTGCGATTTTCGTCCGCTTTGGCATCTTGAGGTTCCATACGAGGAAGATTGGTAGCAAGCAGATAACGAGGTCTTGAAACGTCCCGACAATTGCACAGGCGACAACAATCGCGCCTTCGTCTCGGCAGGTGACTGGATTCTTGAAACGCCATGCGAGGTCTAAATATTGGTGCAAAAGTCAGTGTATGTCTCAGGGAGTCCGCACATTGATATGACGTACCGAAAAGGTGGAAGGTGCCAACGACTGGGTCGCAGGTGAAGACAAGAAGAAATCCAAATATAATGGCGTATATGGCGCAGAATGCAATCATGACCCAGATTGAATACACAAATGCGGTCTTCAGAGAGCCGGTGATGCGTCGATAAAAGCACAGGATAGAGATCTTGATCAGCGTGGTAGAGGCTAGGTAGTTGAGCTCAACGGACATGGACATCTTGACGACTGTTAGCTTGAAATCCACATGCTTCATTTTGATACATACCTTGCGAGACGTCACATGTGTGAACTCGGTCTGATCCCAAGCATGCCACTGGAAGCCGTAAATTCTGATAGCTGCGGGTGGTCAACAGCCATTCAAGTTGCTGGACTCGTGGCACTCGACGTACCTAAGATGGTGGAAATGCTGAGACCTGTGACAAAGATCATGGCGAGACTCATCAACACATCGTCCAAACCCATACTCTTTGCCACAGCGAGTCGTGCCCATATTCGTGCGGCAAACACCAAGAACGTTATTGCAAGTGCGATTATCAGGACAATCGGTGCTTCCCAGCCCCTTTCTTCAGGATTTGTATGATTGGGAGCAGGCCAACTCAGCAGAACTTCGGCAGACGGATGAAGTCCTCCATCGCGTGCGACGAGAGCGTGCGACCTCGAGTACATGTCCGCCACGTCGGCCAAGTTAGAAGTCCTCGATCGGATAGGAAGTGGTAAGGGTCAGATGCAGACGAGCCAGGTCGTGGGGTACAAAGCCTCATCTATACGCAGGGCACAGGGCTCTCCTTGTACTCATTGATTTCCAACGGTAAGTGGGTCATAGCCCTGATGCACGTCCTTAGTCAAACGCCAGTGGAATGACCCACGCCACATCCGCTGAGCACGCACTATTCGCTTACACCAAACCAGCATCGGCACGCGAACCGCTTATGGCAGAAATTCACGAGGTAAAACCAATAGCGGAAGTAGATGGATGGAGCAATCGACCGGAAAGTTTCGAATCATGATCGCAATGCGTCACGCCAGAGAAGGTTTGACGTGTTCATGCCGGTATTTCGTGGTCATTCTCTGAACGTGTCTGTCGTTATCTGTTAGCAGCAAACGTAGAGACTGATCTCGCTATGATGGATAGAGCCACTGGCCGGGACTTCACTCCCTACGGGCGTAAGGCCTAGTGAGGACCAGGGAAAACGTGAAGCCACGACCCATGAACAATAAAGTAGCGCGCCACGTGCCGAATCGCCTAAGTGCTGAAGTCACAAACTTAAATTTCTACACTACCGGGCTGAGGATCAGCGGTAGAGATGCTTCACGCGAGGAACGTGTCTAGGCAGGATAGCCGACAGTCGCCGACTTTGGAGAGACAAACAATCTGTCAGACCACCGTGAATCATGGTGAGAAAGGGTTCGGAGCTGACATGCATTTAAAGATATTGAATACAAAACGCGACGAATGTGGACGTTTCTCCACAAACCGTGCTTTGCGCGTGGCATGCCGACACTTCAATGCGGACAAGAGCCGCACGCTCTGAGACCTGTTAAATCTCTACCCCAGACTATATTGTGCTTAGGCGAGCCAGAAAGTGAATTGCGATGTGCCTGATACCGTCGTCGATCGTCATCGATCCACCCTCACATGGCGTAGCGCATGGTATATACGATCGCCGCTTCTATCGGCCCTTCGGGACTTTCCACAGCTTGAGAGAACTACCGTGATTTCGGCCGGAACAGATCGTTCTGGGGTGGTCTTGTCTTTGTCTCGCCAAGGGATCTCTGAAGGACCGAGTTTAGCTTGTCTGTAGCACACTGCTGGACCTCGCAGGAGTCGAACATTATGGTGGTGAAACACTCAACGAACACTAGCGTCGCAGACTTTGACCACGAGCGAGGAGCGTTGAAGTGGCCCATAATCGTCTTCGCCTAACCATTAATGCCTGTATATATGTGGCCGTACGATTTTTTTTTCTCGAAATCGAGTCGAGCAGTGATGCACCTGCTGCATCACTTGGTCGTTCGGTCTATGTCGGCGTGTTCGACTAGCCCTAGAAGCCAAGGGACCAAAGATCGACGAGCCTTCCCTGGATTCGGCTCTTACATTTACCGTGAACCTAGTGTCTTCTTTACCGTGGTACTCTCCAATTGTCAGCGAGTTTGAATGAGCGATCTACAAAAACAGCGCCTCGACGCGTGGGTTTTCCCATGTGTGGAGGTGGATGGTTGACTCAGTGGTCCGGTCACACGTCGGCAATTGAGGAGGGAAGGAAAATCAAGAAGACGTTGACAGTAGAAGTGACCTCGGGAGCAGATGCTCCCAGGCATCTATCGCGCTTACGTTAGAAACCAGCCGCTCTCTGTTGCATGCTCCGTCCGCTACGCCGCATCTTTGTCCCGCAACTGCAGAAGTCGAGCGGCACTGTCAGGACGAAATGGTACTCATCTCCGTCGCTTCCTGCTTTGAGCACATTTCACTATATCCATTCTGGAATCTCACCCGACGACCCATCAGTCTGCATAATGTGGAATAAGACAACCTAGATTTTGCATAGATTCAAAAGATGCTTGGACGCAAGTGTTGAAACAGCAGATTCGCAATGACGGCGGAAATACCTGCTTGTGTTAGTAGTAACCATCCACGAGTCGAAAAAACATCGGACGAGTTGAGTGGCCCTCCATCTCCTCACCTAGTCGACACCAAAAGAGCGATGTTCGTGCGCTTTGCGTGATTTTTGCAGACTATCCATGCTGCTAAGACAAGGAAGATTGCGCAACCGTCGTTCTGCAAAACTCCACGGACTTTCCTCCGATGCTTGGCAGTAATCTCGCTAAGAGAGGTGCGTCCCGAGGTCCCTAACGACCTGCGATCTCCACATTCACACTCCCAACGCAGCCATTACACCCTGTTGTCCACAGTTCGGGCCGGTAGAATTCATCGAGGGACAAGTGTCAAGCCGCGCTAACAGAAATCCACCCATCGGCTTCTGTCCAAACTACGATATAGGTCAATCGAGCAGCATGATCTCAGGGGCATATGTGATGCTCAGAACAAAGCACATGTCACGCCATAGTCAAGTTCTGATCCCGTTTGACTCTGTTCAATAGCAATACTTGCCTTGATACCTATGACGAGCACCGATTCTGATATTTGATCTCCTTGAATGGAGCTGGATTTATATCGTCTACTGCTCCTCACTGTCTCGCAAAATTCTCATCTTTCTCATGTAAACATCCTCTTTGGTGTATCACATGCTATTATTGCCACAGTCAATTCATATATAATGTCATGATAAAGAGCTTCGTCATTCTATAATCTCTTTGGTTTTCGACAAGTACATCACAGAACCTCTGAAGCACAAAGGATAGGTAAGGTGACAGCAAATTTTGACGTGTGCGTTTCATTAGTTCTCATTCCCTCGTCTCTAACTGGGTCTTTGAAAGGACTCACAACCTTAACAGGCTTGCGCGCCGAAGATTCCTAAAGTACTTCCCCGACTTCCCGACTTCTCTAGTACTGTTCTTCCAAAGCAAATGCGGCCAAAGCTTCGCGGACTGCCTTGGTGGCATCGTCTTCCACCCGATCGCCAACACAAACGTCGCCCATCTGATCGGTGATATCCTCCATGGCGTTCGAATTGCTGATGACAACTTTAGCAACCCCAGCGTGATTGGGCGGTAGAACATCCACACAGTCAGGGCAGACCCAATGTCCAGCACCCTTGATAGGGCGCTCTTCCCGCGTCAAGCATCGAGTGTGGTACCAGATGTACTGACAGTTGTCATTGTCACACATCACCATTCGATCGCCGTCGTCTACCTGGCGGCAAGTACACCAGATCGTGTCGGGATCGTCGTGTTCCTCAGGCCATGCATTTGTCTGTAAGGCAGGTCGTGCCGGAGCTGGAGCTGTTGTTGGCACTGGAGTCGCATTCGGCATCTTCGGCAGAAAGTGCTCATGGAATGGCTTACGCTCAGCCTTCGTCTTCTCCTCGGCCGCATTAATGCCTTCGAGGCCCTCATCCTTGAGGAACTTGTCGAAGAACTGCATCTTCGGGTCCTCGAATTTTTCAACCATCTTGCATAGACGATGTAGAACAGTAGGTGCCTTGTACTGGTTCCATTCGAAGCGTACTGACGCCGGCGTGATGAGATCGTAGATTTTGCTATGTGCGATGTTATGGATCTTCTCCTCGCGGGTGCCGTCGTCCATCTCGTCATCTTCTTTGATGATGCTCAAGCCCTTCAGCAACATCTCGGTGCGAACTTCACCAGCAATGCACTCAGGGCATACGAATGGGTTCTGCAGGCCCTCCTTTAAACAGTTGGCACCACACTCATTGGCATACTCCACGTAGATCCGGTGGCCACATTTGATGTCGTGGTACGAGGATCGCGAGCCAGCGTTGCAAGACGAGTAGAGGAATTTCAAGTGATCTTCCTTCTCGGCGGGAGTTAGCGAAGACGAACTAGCCTGCATTCTTGGGCGACTTAGATCTTGCGGAGTGTCTTGGACCTTGCGAGAAGGGTTCTGCGCTCGGTAGGATGGTTGTGGGTATGGCTTGTAACGAAAGCTCTCGGCCCAACGCTTTGCCTGTGGCCGCTTGAAACCAGCCATGTTGATGTTGAGGTTCTTTTATTTGTGGCTTGGGGTAGTTTTTGCGGTCGAGGTGTAGGTAGTCTCTGTGTATGTCGAGTGTGCTTGAGTTTTGTGGAGGAAACGTAGGAGTAGAGGGCACAATGGGTGTTATATCCTGGAGGCGACGTTTCGACGGCAGCTGTACAGTGACTGAGCATTGTTGCGATTCGCAGGCCGGAGGCTTAGGCAGCATCGATTTTATTCTATTTTGCGCATCGTCTTTCGGATCACAATGTCACGTTGTCATGTAGCTTCACAGTGTCCGTCTGTACCACGGAACTCCACAGCAACTTTCACTCGGGGCCTGCCAGATGTCCTCCCCGCTTCTCCTTTGATAAGTCTCACTCTCCGCGTCATCAATCACCTCAAATTACTTGCAAACAACTTTCGCAGTTCAACTATGTCGAACAAGCCCACTCCACAACCGTGGTCAGATTCGCTCTGCAACAACCACGACACACATTGCCATACTCTTGACTGTGGCCATATAGTCTTCAGCTCAAGCTCAAGCTCTAACAAGTCGGCATGTTCACCGAACTGCATCCGCGCAGTCTACTTCCAGAAGCCGCAACTGCCCCTGTCTTGGCTCAAGAACACCTCACTGAGCCCGTTCACATGCCCTCAATGCGTTGAGACATGCGTAAGGCTGGACTATGACAGCATGATTCAGAAGCACCGAGAGAGAGGCGGCAGGTTAGCCAATAGCAAGGACACAAATGTACGTTTATGGACTTACACGGCTATTCTCGAGATGATCGAGGCCGGTGGCCGAATGTGCGAGAGTTTGGTCGGTCCTTTCAAAACGCACGACATCCAGGCTTATCAAGCGTTGACTGATATTCGTACAGTTGAGGTCATTCAGGGCACAATATCTGAACTCGAGGGCATGACGCGGTGGGATATGAGGGATGCACCAAACATGATGACTCGGTCCTCGAACAGAGAAACTGAACTAGATGCCGACGATGCTAGTCGTGTGGCGTTGTTGCGAGCGCAGCATGAAGAACAACCAGATAAGCAACATGCCGAGCTTGATGACTTGGCTGATTGGCTTGGAGGTGCAAAGGTGGGCGATGGGGACGGGGATGTAGACATGGAGGATTTGGCAACGAACCTCGAGAGTTTTAGAGCCTGAAGTAACTTATGCCTAACAGCACACTTGCTATCATAGACCGCATCCGAACCTTCTACTTCTATTCCAACACAGTGAATGAACAACTCTTCTTCGCCAATCTTTGTTTCTCGTCTCATACATTTGCATTGCATAGATTTGTCATTTTTAACTACACCATGCTTTCCGCACAATGACAAACTGTAGTGAACAGACACGCTTATGTCTGATATATCTCCATTACCACTATACTCAGCTGTATGAAGGTATTGGTATTTCGATAAAGTTATGTTAATTCGCTCTGGTATTATCATATTGCAGGCTTAATACTGATTGATATGCACGTTAGCATCGAGACCACAATTGGAGAGTAGTCAATATCCTTGAATCTCAAGAAATTCTCCCTCTTCATCAGAAACTGTTCTATCGAATGTCATTTCTAGCAAAATCCAACGCGGTGCAAGATACAGCAGTGATGGTATGCAACATGCACGTGATGAGTAGGCTTGTCATCTAAGGTGCTGGTCTAGAGACACGAAGTTCGTGACCGGTAGCACAATCTCATCGTTGAATACTTGAGCGCGTTTCTATCGGTCTGAAATGCTCTTGCCCCGCTTGTAAAGATCGTGTCCGTTTGCTCTTTCCTTCGTTAGCGCGCTCTCACCTCCACCACCTGCCGAGCTTGTTCAGCTCACCAAAAACACAACTCCACCTCTCCATACTCATCACGCTCCAGATAACATGGACGTGGGATTGCTCAGCCTCGCGGCGAGCCGCCTTGCAGAGATGAACGAGACAGATGCTGAGAACGAAATCACCAGCCTTCGACCAGACGAGCTTACGTCACTCGTGCGATACTACAACAAGAAGGATCGAGAGAGGCTCAAACTTGAAGCTGACGTCGAGCAATATATGAGCGCTGTATTGAGTGCGCGATCGGAGAAGCTGACGTGAATGCAGTCGCTATCAGAAGACAGCATCGTACACGTTCTCCACGCCTTGAGCTCGTGTCTATCCGCCCGTGCAAGAAGCAGAGTACCAACGCTGAAACGGCCCTGGAAATTGAATCAACCACCCGTGCCTCAAGGTCAATTGCGCCTGCAAACTCTGGACAGGATCTTCCAACTGGATCCTCGAGCTCGACAAACAACCGCTCAACATGTGCTGAAGACAGAGCTGAGGGTTTCGCTCGAATCGGAACGCAAAGCATCACGCTCACCAGCCGTGCTAAGTTGTCTATTCCAGGAGCGTTGGTTGGAACTAGGCGGACGCGAGAGCAACCACTACCTCATGTCCTATGGATTCCAGATTCAAATGGTCACTGGAGCTGGGTGTGCCACGACAAGCTTCTTAGCAAGATTGTCGCTGACTTGGTCCAACTCGTCAGGGACAAGATTGTCGACACTCGGTACAAGCGCCAAGGTTGGGCTCAAATGATCAAGTATAAAGAGTTTTACGTGGGACAACACTATTGCATGAGCGAATACGCATGTAGTGACTATGGAGATTTGTCAGTGATGGCATGGGAATATTCTGAGGACGAGAAAAACCGAGCTTGCGATCGCTGCACTGATACACGGCGCCCCTGTCTTCGTCTGGTCAGGTTGGACGATCCCGCCGAGGTTGCTGTTAGCTGGCTCCCGCTTCCAGACAGATACAGGGACGATGCAAGCCCGGAAAGCAAGGAGTTCTGGGTGAAAAAACGCCTTTCGGCAAAGCCAACAACGAAGAGAAAATCATAGACAGATAGAAGCCTTGAAGAGAGCATGGGTTGGGTGGAGAAGGAACATACCCGGACGATGATCTCACCATTCACAAGTCAAACACACGGGGATTGAAGAGGAATGTGACACGACGGAGAGCTCTAAGAATCAGGCGAAGGTCTTTATTCGTAATTCGTAACATGGTAGGGTGAGTGGAGCTTCTGAACAAACCAATATCAGTCACCCTCTTCTCCCATTTCCACTTTCTTCCGTGACTACAATTCCTTCTTCAAGAAATGCTCGGGTCTATGATCCGTCTCGTAATCCACATGTACGTACGCCCTCTCAACATCCGGCAGACTCTCGAGCTTGATCTGCAGCTCCTCGGCGATGTCGTGCGTGCCCCTCAGGGTGTCTTCGGGATCCATGACGATGTCGACTTCAACGATCAGGCGAGGGCCAGAGTGGTACGCGCGTACGGTGTCGATTTGGCGGATAGCGGGGGAGTGTGTCATCGCTAAGGGGAGTTAGATGCATCTCAAAGGCAGGTTTCATCACGACTTACAAATATACGTGATATGCTGCAACATCTGCGTATCCGCCGTAACGCCAATGAGCAGCTGAAACTCGCTATACGCCGTCCTGGACCACAGGAAGATGATCAAGAACGACAGAATCATCGCGCCCATTGGATCCAGCCACCACACCAGCTTACTCCCGCCCACGCTCGTCAACACGCCGAAGCCGTTGATGGACAGGTCATTGCGGTGATCTTCCCATAGAATGCGCACCTGGCTGTACTTGTTGCGGAGCGCCCAGCAGTACAGGAACAAGCCGAATTTCGTGGCGAACGCGATGGCGACTGCGATGACGGATGGCAGGAAGAAGCCGTTGACGTTTGGGCCCGTGTGCTCTGCGATTTCACGGATGGATTCCACGATGATGACGACGCTGACCGTGATCATCAGCGCGCAGAAACACAGATTCCCATTGACAGTTTCAATGCGCGCCTTGCCGCTGGGGAATTTCCTTGCATCCACCTTGGCCACGGCGCGATGGCACATGATGAGCGTGAGGTTGGACAGGGGGTCGAAGAGCGAGTCGGCCATGGTCGTAAACAGCGACAGCGACTTGGAACTAATCGCCGCATACAGCTGCAGTATCGCGAGGATGATGTTGGCGGCGAAAGAGCCCACGACGGCAATCTTGTACTTGAGGTGGTTCGCGTCGCCCTCTTCCTTGGCCGCGCGCCGGTGGTCGTCTACAGGCTTCAGCAAGCGCTCAATGTTCTCGTTCTGCGCCTCGTAGAACTCCTCGAGTTTGCGCGCATTCCGCGCCTTGCGGTTCAGTGAGATGGGTCCGCAGCCGTCGCGCTTGCGCGACGTGTTGGCGCGGATCAGGGCCATTTCGCTCTCGGGCTTGATGGCGGCGGAGAGGTGGTAGGGATCGTTGTATTCAGGTGGCGAGGCGCTCTCGAGGTCGTTGCCATCCTGGCTGGCGCGGTGGGAGACATTGCGATGGGCAATGGGGTCGTGGGCGCTGGCTGCGCGGGTGGTTTCGACGGCGGTGCTGTTGGCGCCAGCTGCTTTTTCCGAGGCTGCTGAGGTGTGCCCGTGATGCTGGCTGGAGCTCGATGCGTGTGTTACGCGGGGAGGGTGTGTGTGAAACGGGCTGGGTTTCAAGGAAATCGCGCGATGTAGATCGGGTTCGGAAGCCATGTTGTCGGATGTGATCCTGCCACTCAGTTATGCACGCAAACGTGTTGTCGTAGGGTGAGGAAAGGATGGCATTCCCCGCGTTGGGCTCGCGTGGGTGTAGGTAAACTGGCCAAGCTCATAGTGCAATCGACGGCGTGAAAGCCAAGCGACACGTGGGGTGTCTTCACCGGAAATCGTAATGTTGACATTTTACGACTCAAAAACTGGTTCTATCGAGGTATCTCGAGTTTTCTTCAAATCTGAAGCACTATCTATAAATCTTGCTTAAATCGCACTACTGACCATGCAGCCGGAGACAGCAGCTGTCAAACGTCTCCGCATTCGTGGTGGTCCACTGATTCATTTGTGGGGTGTAGCGTGCCTTATCGATAAGTCTCCACGTTTTTGCCTCCAATTGCGTCATTCGTCCAGTCCATGAAGCCGTGCCTAACAAGTACCTTCACACAATTCTCAGAATCCGGACATCTGCATCGCCCACATAGTCCGACAAAAACAGACCCTCATCGCCTTAACACCAGTGTTAGGCCCGCCAAGTACGCCGGCGAGAAAAAACCCACACCCCTGGCAAGCTTCCTCCACAAAGCCAAGCATCCTGCACTCCCCATGCGCACAGCATCTTCACCGATCGACCAACTATGCATCCCAAGCGATCAGCAATGCCTCGCTCGCCCTATGCATGTCAACAAACCGCGTGTTTAGTTTAGCCTCGCGGTTGAAAATCTCTTGCATGAGCACAGTGTGGAGACGAGCAGCCTAGGGTGTTAGGTCGATAATAGGATTCTGATATAGCTATAGCAACGACCGTGTAGTCTTCTGGTTCGTGTTTACGACTAACATGCGCATTTTAGCCAACGATCGAGAAAGAAAAAAGGTTGGTGTATCATGGATTTTGTTGAGCCCTGGTCTACAGCATTGTGGTGATAAAGGACGGATAATAATATGTCGTACTGTACAATATGGGACGAATTCCCGCAGGGGATATATGGTTTGATGACGCTGAACCAGAGCTTTGGGAAGGGATGTTGGGACGGAGAGGGGAAAGGCTAGGCCTTCGGATGCTGCTTGCGGCATGCTTGTAGCGCGCAGGCCACAGACTTTGTGAAATCGGTGATGTTTGAGTAAATCGACCTCGTGTTCGAAGCAAGTTGTGCATCTTCATCTCCGAAGTCGTTCACGCTCTGGTATGCCTGACGACGCCCAGGAGAACCCCAGCCGCCATGATTCCAGAAGTTCGGTCCTCAAGTATACCCATGCAAAAGAACCAGAATTGCGTCTCGCATGCCATGATGCATATTACGGAAAATGCCCGGTGGTTGCACTGCGGCTCGCAACGTGTTTGCAAGGTTGCCGGCATCAGTTCCCCTGCAGCCAACCATTGTTCCCAGAATCCTGTGCGGCGCCGCCATATTCGAATTCGTTGCTCAGTCCGAACGGATGCTCGAGCAGATCAGGCAAGTTGGTGTCCCACATCATGTCGTCCCAGAAATTGTTGAGGAAATTTGGGTCGCTGGACCATGATGGGGTGCCTGGATTGAACTGGTAAGGATTCCGTGCTCCGAGATTTGTATGTGCGCCGAGTTGCATAGGATTCGGGGCCATCGAATATGGGGTCTGAGCCTGGTATTGATGTTGCGACATTGATATTTGTGGGGGTATTTGTGTGGCCGGAACTGCATAGGCTTTGTAGGCTTGGTAGAGCTTTGAGACGGCGTCTTTACTTCGCTTCGCTGCGATGCTGTAGTCGCGGATAGAATCGAAGAATTGTAGAGCCGTCTCGATGGAGGCTTGCCATTTGTGTACTTCTTCGGGCATGCTCGCGTCGCTGAACAAGGAGACGAGAGAGACCATGCACGCCTGGAAGCAGAACCAGACGGAATTCCAGCCAGATAGTAGGTCAGGCATACACTCCTGGCTCATATCTTCAATTGTCTTCATGGCGAGAACGCGACATTTTCCAATCGCCACCTTTTCCTCGGCGCTCATGTTGATCCATGCACATCCTCTTAAAGCGGCTGTGAGGAGATACGGTCGATGGAGGATAACACGGATGTTTTGAAAGCGCCATTTCATGATCAGTCTGAGACGGCGCAGGAAATCTGGACACGGCTCTTGTTTGACCAAAATAGATGGCAGTTCATCGTACCACTTGAGCAATTGGGCGTCGTACGTCGAAGTCTCGGTTGGCGATAGGAGGGGTTGCTCGACTAGGCGGTCTTGTATTCGGGTGGCGATCGAACAGAATACGGAGGAATGTATCAGCGGCAGCATTTTCAGCTGTTCCATATATTGAGGGCTGTTTGGAGATGGTACGGTCGAGACCTATGCGCGATCAGTAACCATTTCAAGTATATCATAATATCGACTAGACATACCGCATCAGCCGCAGTCCCTGGCTTCAAAACCGTGATAGAGGGCCCCATGCGACCCAAAGAGGGTCGCCCAGTCGTTGTTGATGCCCAGGCATCGAGGCAGAATATACTCCACCAGATCCGTCTCCGCATCTCGGGAGATAGTGATTCTTCGAACCCCGGTAGCATCATGTGGCTACCAGCTTCGCTCCGCTCCGAATACTCGCGATGCAGACCAAGCGTAGTTGCCATGCGCAGAGCGCCACCCATGAGCGAATGCGCCTCATTTGGTCGATTCAGATAATGCATGTAGAGCCCACTCATGATGACGAGTGCCTGTAGGACCTCCAAGTTTCCGCTGCCGAACGACTCCAAAGAAAGGTGTTGTCTGCATCGGTTGAAATACACATAGTGAGCTTCATTGTCTGTCGAAGAAGACACCAATGATCCAAGCGCAAAGACGATGTTCAATAAACACAGCCATTGGGAGTCTTTTCTGTTGCCATACAAATAGGTGGACCAAAATTTCCTCTCGTCGATCAGCGGCATCATGGGATGGACCTGGTCAAAATAGCTCTCGAGCAGTTCCTGGCCATGCGTGGATGATGGCAAAGCCAATGGACTGCTGTCAGTGAGTTCTGGAGGTGGTGATCCGGCTCGACTGGGCAGGGTAGTTTCATTGGTTTGTTGTGTGATGAGAGCACGTGCGTGTGGAGCGCATCTTACAATGACCTTCAGTGCTGCTGTGACGGACGAAATGCCAACATAAGAGGATAGTCTATCAACAGACATGGAAAGGCCGTTCACATCGTCTGAAATGCCTTGCACCCGCAATTGATGCTTGCGTGCTTCATCCCAGAAAGGGTCTTCAGGGGGGGCTTGCTCGAGCGCCTCGAGGCTATCAGCGCCATCTGATCCTGTATGGATCTCAGACGTGGCGCGACCTTCTAGACTATTTGGTGAAGTCACCTGCCCCGGTGTGGAAGATGACGAAAGCGCCATCTCCAATAGCTCTTCTCTTGGCAGGTTCGCCAGTGTTGCAAGGTCCTTGGATCCATAGAGCTTATTTAGTACCGCCTTGTACTGCTCGATATTGGTGGAAAGCTTGTCTACCAACCTGAGAAAGCGTCAGCCCACCTGCGTGCCTACTGTGATCGTTACGAACTCACTTTCTACTCGGCACTACTCTCTGGGCTGGCTTGGAGTAGCCGCACGCCTGCCCCGGAATCAGCTCCGTCCAACGGCCGTAAGAGATAGCTGAAAGCGGGAATACTTACCTCAGGATGCTGGTACCATTGGCACTGTCCACACGGTTGTGAGCCGTCGCAGCGAATCTTTCGTCTTCTGCACTCGACACAGGCGTTGCTCGTCGATATCCGCCGCGACCCCGCCGGCCGTGATGGTTTCCCCGAAACGTCCGTGTCGTCACCAGGCGACCGGAGCGCAGTAGAAGACTGGAAGGTATGGAACATGGTCGTATCGTCTCGTGTTGTTGACCTTGGTCTTCGGCTCTCTTCTGCAGTAGTAACTGTGGAGATGCGGCGATCGGAGCTTCTTCTACGAGCGTGTCAGGCCGGACATGTATGCAGCAGCGGGATCGAGATTGGGTTTCGGTCGGAGCACCAGGGGAGGAAGGAGCAAGCTTGCACCAGTGATTTTGCAGAGGAATGGTGCTCCCGATGTCCGAATATAAGAGGCTTGAGAGACACCAGAAGGGAATGCCAAAGCGCCAACTATGTAAGGCTGCGATAGTCCAGTGGCAATGCGCACATGCAGACGATCCAGCTGTCTGCCTCGTTAGTCTATCCCCTTCAAGCAGTTATTCAGGCTGCAGATTGGCGGTCGGGATGCGTATCCGCTCACTAGGGACCGCTATTCGGCCACGATGTGCACACGCACATGCCAGCGTTGTGACATTAGCGTCGATGGAGTGGCCGACAAAGTTCACGACGGGCCCATGAATTAGCCCCCGCATTATAGGGTCTCGATGCAGGACGGCAGGGATTGCTTGCGACCGTTGCAGGACGGGTGGACGGGAAGAAGACGAGGCGTGAAGCCAAGCGAGATTGAGGACTTGCGTGCTTTGCGGGATCAAACCACCTTCTCGAAGCTCTCCAGAAGACTCTGCCGTGGCAATCAAACGCTGGTCTAGGGCGGCACCCTACTGCACATCGTTTCAGCATGCAGCTCATCCCTCCCGCAAGAGCCGAGCCTGTTGCCATGCAATGGCAACAACGAGGAGCTGTTTCGTGGTACGAGTGTGTGGTAGCTGAGCAGGGCGGGTCGTTGGGAAGGCCACCTCGAAGCGACCTCGGGAGCAGGAGCAGTAAGGAACTCCGCAACGGGACCGACCGACCGCATCTTCACAGGGCGCGACAGGCCCATGGCACCCGCGGGTCGCCAGCGTCGCCAGCGTCGCCAGCGGTAGTGCACGTCTCGCTACCCCAACTTGTGCCGACATGTATGCGCTGAGCGCTCCAAGGCCCGGGTTCGCAGAGCATGTGGGCCGAAATGTTCAAGTGCCTGCTGCTGCGACATTCCATCAGGTTGCATTGGCTACACCCAACCGCGAAAATTGGAGACGTGTTAGCCAATGCCACCCGCACACCTAAATTAGCCTTGTCAGAGAGCATGCTCGATAGACGACTTTCATATGACATCCTTGGCTAGGTACATGGCAACGAGGCCTCATAACACTCCCCACATATAGCCGTCCGCCCGAGGTCCTGCTCAAGGCTGCTCGTGTAGCGCAAAACATTCAATTCATCCATTCCCTGCCCATAATTGCTCGTACTTTCAAGTTACGGGACCTCGATTCTGTTATTTGCTAGACATCGGACTTTTCGCATATACGTGGCTTCCTGCCATGCGTCGTCATCTTTACCATCTGTTCTGCTTACATGTCCCCAAACAGCAACTAGTTCGCAGGCGGCCATGCATGATCATACCACCCTTCACACAATTTTCGGTGTCCTGCTCCACTGTGATTTCCCGCATCCTGCGTGCAAGATGCATGGTTCAATCCTTCCCCAAAAATGTCCACCTTAGTGGCTTGTCTTGCTTGCTGAGGCCCCTCACCTTGATGACCTGTTCGTCGCCGGGAACGACGTCGATGGCGCTGTCATGCACCAGCACACCAGCCCTTTCTTCAAACACGAGCCCTTTCGTAGGCTTTCTTGCCCGGACAGTAATGGTCTCACCTTGCGGTATGACTTCCAGGCCGCGGTCTTCGAAGTCGAGGTACTTTAATGGTTGAGGCCAATCAACGTCTCTGGAAACGACTTCCCCGTCGATCCATATTCGAACAGCCAGGACATGCGGCTCCTCGTTCCGGTTGTCGATTGTTCCACAAAAAACGTCGGTCGTGCCATTTGCAACCAGATGAATATCCTTCTTCACAACCTTGTCTTTGATTTCCTTGCCGCTCTTGATGCTGATGAACCTGAGCTCAACAGTAGCTAGGACGCGTTCCTGTCTCTGGCTGGCAACCCAGACCTCGTAATCGCTGGTCTTGGGCACTCGCGCATGCACGACGCTCCAATCGAAGTGCGCCCGTTTGACTGCCACGGCAACGGGCGCGAGCACCCGGCGCATCGCATAGTATGCAGGCTTTTTCCGCAGGAAATAATCAACAATTGACCAGGACGTCACAGGCCAGCAATCGTTGAGCTGCCACACAAGGGCACCACCGCAATGACGATCCTGACCCCACTGTCGACGCCACCCTCGGTATCCGAACATCAGTGCTTCTGCTTGAGACAACTGCGTGAGGTGGATGAAGGCCTGCATTAGTTAGCACTAGCGCATGGCTTGTTGGTTTTCATGTATACGAGCATATCGCAGCAAGCATTGACAAGGTGCGTACCTCTAGATCGGTCTTGGTACGGAAGTTCTCCACTAAGTATGTCGCAATCCTTCGCTCGTGCCCGTCTGCCTTGTTGTGGAAGTCAAGCATATGACTCTGCGGGTATAGCTGCGTCGGATCTGTGCAGTAGTAGCGGACCGTGTCGATGTGCGGGAAGGCCTCCATGCCGAATTCGCTGTTGAAGCGACCACCTAGCGTATCGAAGATCTGGTATTTTTCCTGCGTGCCGTGCCATACTACATGACCGATCAGTCTCATTTACCATGCAATCTTGAATTGACCGCTTACCGTTCCACTGGTGCATATCACCCACAGTGGGGTCTGAAGTCCTGAGACCATCACCCCAGGGCGAGCCGGGGTGGTACGGCACGTGTGGGCTTTCGGCATCGACAACTTCGGGCAAAAGCTGTCCGAGCGTCCAGTCAGTCCAGCTCAACAAATCTTCTTTTCAACCTAACGGATACTCACCTTCTCGTAGATGTACCTAGCCGAGAAGTCCGTCTTCAGCCAGCTTTCCGGATCCTTGTCTTCATAGTCGTATGTCAATCCACACTGTTCTTGAACCTGGTAATCTTCGTTGTTGCCTGCATATATGACGACGGATGGATGATGTCTTAGGCGGCCGACATTGGCGACGCATTCTTCCTTGATCGACTGCAAAATGGACGGAAAGGTGGGATAGTTGCCGCAGCCAAACATGAAATCTTGCCAGACCAGAACGCCTAGCTCGTCGCAGATGTCGTAGAAGATGTCTTCTTCCCAAATACCGCCTCCCCATATCCTGTTCTGTGGTTAGCAGTAGTTCATCGCGCTTGCGTGGAAAGGAGACGTTGCGCCGCACCGGATCATGATTTGATATCCATCCACCATCATCTCGAGCCACTTCCTGTATTTTTCCTCGGTCACTCTGGGTGTGAAAGAGTCTGCAGGGATCCAATCTGAGCCTCCGCAGAAGACGTCAATACCGTTGACGCGGAAGTAGAAGCTCTTTCCAATGGCGTCTGGTTCTTGAATTAGTTCGCTCTTGCGAAAACCAGTGCGACGCGACACTTGATGCACCTCAATTTCCCCTATCGAAACCGATGCAGTGATCTTGTAGAGAGGCTGTTCGCCATAGCCATGCGGGTACCAGAGCTTGGGGCTGTTGACGTGGAACTCCACTTTGGCTATGCCATCGTTGATGTTTGCAGATTCCTTGAAAGTCATTCGATCTCCATCGTACACTGCGAACGTGACCTTCTGTGCAGCTGAGCCCTCAACGCGCGCCGATATGGTTCCTTGTACCGTCTTCAAGCTGTTGTCGAGCTTATAGTCTATCCGAAGGTCTTCGACTCGCGACTGATACGTCTCCAGCTTAACCTCACGCCACGGTCCACAGGTGTTCAAAATTGGACCCCAGTCCCAACCCCAGTGGTACTGCGCTTTACGCACAGCAAGTCTAGCCATATCGCCATTGAACCCCACCCATTTATGTTCAGGGTGCTGGTCCTTGATTTTGATGGCTTCCAGTCTCGCCGATGCAAAGTCGATCTCCAGGACATTGGTTGCGCCGACCTCCAACTTTTTTGTGATGTCGATTCGATGAGGAATAAACATGTTATCACTTTCGAGGATCATTTTGCCATTCAGTTTGACTTTGGCGAAGGTGTCCAGTCCATCGAATGCCAAAACATGGACCACACCATCTTTTGTTTCTTGGACTTTGGGGAGCTCGACTTTGTATGTCCATGATTCGTCTGCGACCCACTCAGCTTGAAGTTCATTAAAACCCAAGAATGGATCTGGTATTCTAAACATCAGTCAGCTGTGTTCAGCAGCAGTTGTCGAGTTCGTGCCCTTGGCTAGAACGTACTTTCCATGCTCAATGAGATCCAGATGAACATTCGTAGGGACTCTTTCAACAGTCATCCAAGCATCTTCGCCGGCATGATTTGTCTGCTTGAACTGCCATCCCTTCGTCAAAGTGACGCTCGAAAGCGACTGAGCATTCGTCATTCTGTTAACCTTCGCGCGTGTAAAGCTACTCAGGTCAGTATTGTTCGGGATTCGCAGCTTCCCCAACGAGCGAGCGGGGTAAGCAAGAATAACAAGTACCTGTACCTCATGTCACCGAAAGTTTAAACCCACATAAATTCTGACAGTGGGCTTGGGCCGGAGCGACTGCTGCCGTGTTCAGTATCGCTCGCGCTCGAGGTTTGTCCATGAAGTATGTCCCGAAAGGGTATGCGGGGTCCCGTCTCCGTGTTGAACGCGGCTAGCGTTAGGTTGTACTTCGGAGAAATGGTGTCAGACAGCGCAGTCGAACATGGCCTAAACTAGCCACACGGGATAAGCAGAGTCACAACGGAATCGGTGTCAAGGTCTCCGTGTTGAAAAAAGGTCGGTATCATTGGAAGTTGGCGTAGCGTGTGCTTTTCATGTCGCTGCGGAAAGTGGAGACACCATGCTTCCCCACGCAACGTGGGATGCGAACACTGCTGTGCAACGTCTGCTGCAACTCTCAATGGCTATTCTGCGAACCTTTCCCGCCCATAATTGCCAGTGGTACGATTGCGGAGTACTGCTCCGTACCCAATCGGTCTGCTATATTACCTGAACTACAATCTTCAGGACCAGGGCCATCATGTACAGCCATTAAATATGAACATGACTATCTTCAAAAAAGCAAAGGCAACATGTAATCATTGGAGAATGATGAATTGACTACAAATGGGTATAACGCTATGCAGGAGGAGCGTTGAGGAGCGATAGGAAGACATTCTGCTGTTTCGCTTCAGATCCGCCTAGCCATGTATGCCAGACGCTAGCGCTCAAAAAGGCCACCATGATGCGCTCTGGGCAGGTCTTTCAAACATCTTTTTCCGGCTTTCTATTGTGATGAATGCTTGCTTGTTGGCCATTCCCTTTTGAGACAGCGCCTGCATCTCTGCCAAACTTGTGTCTATGATGTTAGTTGAGCGAGCTCCAGGGCAGAACACTACTTCGAACCCAGCACCGGACGGGATGATGAAGGTTGATGTTTGATCGTCAAAAGCTAGAAGAGAAGATGAGGGAGGGTTTCTCGGGTGGTATGGACAACATACCGAAGCTATAGGCGTCTGGACACACGGCTTTGACGTTCTTCGAATACTCACTGACATGGCATTTGCTTGGAGAGTTGTACTCGCCTGTACAACACTCTTCTGGTTTGTTGTTCTTCGCGCAAGCCGAGAAGCACGGGTTGAACTGAGGCCGCTGGATGTTGTCATCAGGATATGGGTATACGCCATCTCCAGGCTTGTCCGGAGGAGTCTGTTGCAGATCCCAAGGACACCATTTGGAGATCTGGTTCTGATCTACTTTCTTGTCGAATGGCAGTGGATACGAAGTGTTTGTCCGGAGGAAATCGGGATACTCGGGGTACGGATTGTAGTCCTGGGCAGCCAACAAGCCGTCTGTACCTTGGCAGGATGGATTTGTGAGGTTGGGCGGGATGTCATCAAGAGTAATATTCTCCAGCGGCTGCAAAACTATTGCTATGGGAACATTGTAACCATCTACTAGCGAGATGTCGTAGTAAGTGTGTCCGTCTCCAGCATCGAGAGTAAATTCGGCCAGTGACACCGGCACGTCGCCCTGAGTAGATTAGCTGCCGTAACAGATGTCACGGTCAGAACAGAAGACTCACTCCGACTTGGCAGTTCAAGATGCCATTGCAGTCGCCAGAGTAACAGGCTTTCCCGCTACCAGACGCTGGGCCGGTACCGTCACTATTGAAAGTGCAGTTTGTTCTTCCCCACACTCGGCCCTGCCAATCTTCTGAAACAGTCTGATTCTTGGTTTCGCCTGGTTGGAGTTTGAAGCCATTCTCCTTGGGGCCCTTTCCAGACTGCGTTGAGATACCAGGCCATATGTCTCCGGGGCATCGATTGGTGACCAGCAAAGGTGTGATGTCTAATTTCCTGCGCAACTGCTTGCGTGGTGCTTTCACAGCCATGTGATGGAGTGCATCTGCGATAGGAAGGCCGGCAAGTAGGAACAGTGCTGTACACAGCTGTGCGATAGAGAAGTGCGAAATAGGGCCGCCGCCCACGCCTGGCCTGGAATGTGTTCGCATAGCGAGAGACTAACGAAACTGCGCGCAGACGACACGCAGTCTCAGGTAAGAAGATATGGTATCAAGTGATGGCGGCTAGGAATCAGGTGAGGTCTCCAGGTCGGGCAGCGCGGCGTGATATAACCTGGGAGCGTAGCGAAGATGGAGGACGCAGGAAGCGAGCACCCATCGCGAAATCAAGAAACATTGTGAGCCAAGGTCGATCATTCGCTTTGTGAGGAAGTTGCAAGCTGCGACCAGGTACAGTGTCGGTGACGTACCGCCCTGGAAGTCGTGGCTGCCACGCTGACAGGGATTCAAGCAAGGCGAAGCTTGTCACGACAACCAATGACTGGAGCTTCCACCAGGTGCTTTGAAACGTTGCAAAACGGCCGGCCGAAGTAGCGGAAGGGTGTAGGCGAACCGGCTAGACGTAGTAATGTGTGGCCGTACCTCGTGATGATTCTCTTCTACATTCTGCAAAAAGGCATGCAGAACCCCGAAGCAATTTTAGGCGGGCAGGAATCGAAACGTGACGAGCATAGCCCCGAAAGCCGTCCAATTGACAGACTGACATACAACATAGCTCACTTTCTCGCGCAGAGCCATGGAAGATGTGATAATTAGATCTTTGCGCGCATCGAAAATTCACGACCTCGGTCTTTTGCGCGATTGACCGCACGGCAGTCATGTCGTGTTGCAAACAAAAACATGCATGACGCGTGCTACGTGTGTCTGTTTGCGCTGCAATTTGCCATGGGCCGAGCAGAAAATGCACCGAAGTTGTCCGTCCTTGGGCTTTGGGTAATTTGAGGTTAGGCTCAGGGTCTCCGAGCACGGAAGAAGGCGATATGCAGCGGCCAGCCTGCAAAGTCTCGCCACCACGCGAGTGTCTGGTGCGAGATCTGCAGCTTCTTGGCATCTCCTGACAATTATCGACATTTGCATTACCCATCAAAGGGCGACTGCTTTCCCCTACAAGTCTCACGCACCTTTCTAACCCGGTACACTCTTTTCTACCTGCTGCGCATCTTTCTGCTGCCCTCACGCTCTCGCAGCCCCCCACACATTGCTGTTCCGAAGATTCGGCATTTCGCCGCAGCGGCCACCGCCCCCGTCTACCATCCTAGGCTCCGTCTTGTCGGTGAATGACCACATCGTATTCGTACCGACTGCACGCCGACATAATCTATCCGCCAGACTACATGTCCACAACCACCACTATGCCTGGCCGCACCCTGCCCACGATTCCGATCGCCGAAGTCCGATCACACAACAACGAGAAGTCCTGCTATGTCACTATCGGCACCAAAGTCTACGATGTCACCGACTTTCTCGACGGCCATCCAGGTGGTGGCGAACTTATCCTCGAGTATGCCGGCAAGGACGTGGAGGCTATCCTGAAAGACGAGCTGTCCCACACTCACTCCGACTCCGCCTACGAGATCTTGGACGAGAGCCTTGTTGGCTTCACGCCTAACGAGGCGCTCATCGACGGCGCAACAAAGAGCTCCCACCCATCCGAGATCGTCCCTCTGCTGCCTACAGAGGCAGGCAAAGCCGAGCTCAAGGGCATGACCCTGAACGGCAAGCCGCTCTATTCAGCAACGGGCATGTCCTCCGCCGAGGATCTGTCCAAGGAGACCGACCCAAACCAAGACTACAAGGAGCACAAATTTTTGGACCTCAGCAAGCCGCTACTGATGCAGGTGTGGAACGGTGGCTTTTCGAAGGACTTCTACCTAGAGCAAGTGCACCGTCCACGACACTACAAGGGAGGTGACTCGGCGCCGCTATTTGGCAACTTTCTTGAGCCGCTGAGCAAGACACCATGGTGGGTTGTACCTACTATATGGTGGCCCTGTGTTACTATTGGCACCAGCATAGCTATGCGCGGACTCAGTGGATCCGCCACTGCCGGCTACTGGGTGTTCGGCCTCGGGTTCTGGACAATTATCGAATACGTCCTACACCGCTGCCTATTTCATTTGGACGAGTATGTACATCTCTGTGATAGCGCTGATCATTGCTGACAAGTACAGGCACCTACCAGATAACCGCGTTGGCATTACCCTGCATTTCCTTCTTCACGGCATCCACCACTACCTTCCTATGGACAAATACAGACTTGTCATGCCACCAACACTTTTTGTCGCACTCGCAGCGCCATTCTGGAAGCTTGCCCATACTATCATCTTCTGGAACTGGTACGCCGCGACCGCTGCTTACTGCGGCGGCATATTTGGATACACTCTCTATGACATGACCCATTACTTTTTGCACCACCAGAAGTAAGTCCTTCAATACACGTTGATCAAAGTGCCTAGCTGACATTGGTAGACTGCCCGCGTACTACCAGGAACTCAAGAAGTACCACCTCAAGCACCACTTCGCTGACTACGAAAACGGCTTCGGGGTTACTAGCCGCTTCTGGGACCGGGTTTTTGGTACTGAGCTGGAGATGGGTCCATCCAAAGTCATCAAAAGCACGTAGTGAAGCAAGTTGTATCGTGCGGAGTGAGAGAGTTTAACGTGTACCCTTATTAGAGGATGTCTTCATAACGCACGGCGGCACGATATGGCGCACGGGAAGGACAATATTGTTTACGTTGTTACGATTTTATTCTCCATTAGACCTAATCTTAATATACACTTTCATGTCCGTATTTTTTTTGATCTGTGTACTACCTTTTCGCGCAGGAACGTACAACAGGTACAGGGGGTCTGTGCCAGCTTACGTGATCTACGCTTAGTCACACCACTAGCGCCTCCAGCTTTTGAATTGCGCCTAGATCAGCCTCGATCCGCACCAACCTCTCAACTCCACAACCGCAGCACACTGCGCGCAACAACTCAGCTTCGATCAAGCAGGTTCCAGTTGAGCGCGATACAGAGTTGGACAGTCAAGTCCGTACTACAGACAGTTGCCTGCGAGGGCATTCGCCAGTACAACAATTATATCCAGTCACAGAGCACCACAGCTCGCCGCATTCTATTCACACTCTACCGTGACCGCGCACACAATTCGAACGATACAACTTATCGCACCCTAGGATCAAACCGAAAATGGCTGTGTCTAACCCGCAAGACGTCGATGCCTTCCTCGAGGATGTTGCCCAGGATGTCCTGAAGACCAAAGAAAACGAGCGCCGCGCGAGCATTGACGAGCGAGAGAAGGAGGACCGCCTCCGCAGCAACCGCGACCGATACCCCGACCGCCGTGATAGGAGCAGGGAACGTAATCGTGAGTCCAATGGAAGGCGTCGAAGCCGCGAGACAGACCACCGTCGAAGAGATGGAAGCAGGCCCCGATCAAGCAAAGGTACTGACACAGATGAAGACCGTGATAGGACTCGTCGCAACGACTCGCGCGACCGTCACTTCCGTGGCGGACGTCGAGGAGGACGCGGAGATGGTGGAGGCGACTATTACAGCGGTGGTGGCCGTCAGCGTTCTCGCTCCCCGCGCCGTGACCGCGACCGCGACTCCAAGTACCGTGAGCGAAACAGGTCCCGAGACCGCCGCGGTGGTCGTGATGAGCGTAGCGCCCCACGTCATGGTAAGACCGTGTCGCCAGAGGTCACCGAGGACGATCGCGACAAGCGCACCATCTTTGTGCAGCAGATTTCGCAGCGTGCCCTCACCCACCACCTGCTGGCATTCTTTGAGACTGTCGGCCCTGTGATTGAGGCTCAGATTGTTAAGGATCGCGTTACTGGTCGCTCTAAAGGGTATGTGGTTTACTTCCCTCTGACAACAATTGTACTAACTTGGCCCCAGTGTCGGCTACGTTGAGTTCAAAGACGAAGAGTCTGTTGCCAAAGCTCTCGAACTGACTGGTCAGAAACTGAAGGGTGTCCCCATCATTGCGCAACTCACGGAGGCCGAGAAGAACCGCGCTGCTCGCCCATCTGAAGGTGGCGCTGCTCCTGGTGCCAATGGCGCGCCGTTCCACCGCCTCTACGTTGGCAACATTCACTTTAGTGTTACGGAGCAGGATCTACACACGATCTTTGCACCCTTTGGGGAGCTCGAGCAGGTCACCCTTCAGCGTGATGAGACAAATCCAGCTCGCTCCAAAGGTTATGGTTTTGTTCAGTAAGTCATGACGATCTGATGCTGGCAATACGCTGTCGCTGACTTCTCCACAGGTTCGTTGATCCAACTAAAGCTAAAGAGGCCCTCGCAGAGATGAACGGCTTCGAGCTCGCTGGTCGCCAGATCCGTGTTGGTCTTGGCAACGACAAGTTCACCCCTGAGTCCACCGCCAGCCTGCTTCGCACCTTCAACCAACAGGCCCAGTCCTACCAGGGCTCAGCCTTCAGCGGTGCAGGTGGCCGTGGTGCTTACGCTGGTGGTACTGGTGGCGTCTTCGACCGCACCCACAGCAAGGATGACCGTGGTGTCAGCGGTGCCTCTGCTTTGGACGACAGTGATGTTGCTGGGGTCAACTTCAAGACTTACGATCGCAGCAAGCTCATGAACGCGCTAGCCCGTCGCGATGGTCCTGAGGCTGCAGCCCAGATCGCCCGCCCAGTCGTCAGCAAGCCTCGTGACCCCATCGTCGACAAGCCCATGGCTTCCAAGTGCATCAAGATCGAGAATGCCTTCGATGCTGATCAGTGAGCTTTCCATTGCGTCTCTTGCGCAGCCCAATACTAACTGCATACAGGGAACTCCAGCAGTTTGGCCCCAGCTGGGTCAAGGACCTCGAAGGTGAAGTTAAGCTTGAGTGTGACAAGAAGTACGGCAAAGTTGTTCACATTGCTGTCGAACCCAACTCTGAGGGCGATGTCTACGTCAAGTTCGACTCGGTCACTGGTGGCGAGAAGGCTCTTCGTGGTCTCAACGGTCGCAACTTCAACCATCGCGTTATCCGCGCCTCCTACGTTGTGGATAAGATCTACAACTCTCTCTGGGGTGCTGCAGCAAGCAAGTTTTGAGGTCTCAAACCCAGCTCTTCAGAGGTACGTTAGAACTGTGAGAAACATGGTGGACATGAGAGCTCTAGTCAAGCTCTATCGGTGTCTGCCACCCTAAAACTTCTGCGCAGGGTTCTTTGACCTGGATCACTTTTCGGACTTTCGACAGCATTGAAGGCGCTATGAGGACTATGACAGGAGCTACAGCTCCACTCGACGGCATGTTATCATGCATGGTGTGGGAGGATATTGCATTGTTCAGCCTGGATCAGAAGAATCTTTTGCTTGGAAGCTGGATGTCAGAAATTGTTGGTATGCTCCTCGCCTGTTTTCGGCAGGCTCACATCTTACACTCGTTGCCTAGGTACATACCGAGTGGCCCCGACTAGTTGGCCCTGCGACACGGAGCAAGGACACGGAGGACAAGGGCTGCTAATTGTACATAGGACCAGCTCGTCTCTTCCGTTTCGCGGATTTCGCGTCTGCTCTAAATCATGTACAAAGCTTAACGGTCGCTAACTCTCTACGTGAGTGATGTTCTTGGATGTGCCGCTACTAGGTAATGCTTGAACAAATCCCATGCGTGGTGACATTCACACTGACCCTTGGGTTGTTTGCTCAACTCACCTGAAGCCGTCTGGAATTGTAAGCACGTGGTCGCGCATGTTGAGCCAAAATAGGAAGCGCTTCTAATCTTCTCCGACACCCACTCACACAACTGACCGAATCGGACACAAAATGGTCAACAGTATCTTTTGGCTGTACAGCCCCGTGATAGCACAGTGCTAACATGAAGACACGTCGAATGCAACTGTATGGATATATGCCGTTGCTTGTTTGCACTTGCCTCTCCGCTCTTACATAGCTTTACAATACAAACCATGGTGTCTTGGATTCTTTGAAAGCAGTTCGTCGGTAATGGTGATGCGCGGCTTTTGACCAATGAAGACAAGGTGATAGACATGGCGGAAGCCACGCATGCATCCCAGCTTGGCGCTGCAAACAGACGCCCATGGACGAGACTGTTCATCCCAGGTTCGGGAGACGGTGTGTCTGTGAAAGACCATGATGCGGGCGCTGAAACAGCAGACCCTTTGGTTCAGGGCGCAAGCTGTTGGCTCCAGCGCAGGGCTGCAGCGGGAGCGCAAGGGAGCGCAAGCTCAATCTGGGGTGAGGGAAGGCACGGTCCAAGCGAGCCAATGTGGTTGCCAGGCGGTTGTGCCTTCCCAAAGTCCGCGTCGACAGCCGACCTCCTGCCTAAGAAAAGTGGGAATCACCATAGGCACACACAAAAGACGGTCTCTCACCCGGCAAACTCGTTGTTTGCTGCTGCTTGCTAGCTGCGCAGAATAAACCCGGCCCCTTCTTTCAAGCACGGCGGCGTAGTGGGGCACGACCCGTCTGGAAAACAATAATTCACGTGTTGTTAGCCCTGTCTGTCTACGCTCGACCTGCTTCAAATTCCCTCCCTACACCGCGCCCACCGCAACTTCTTACTCTTTTCCTTCACTGCCGCCCACCCTCCAACCGCAACACACGCCACCGCGGCACCTTTACTTGTTCAGCCTCTAGATACCCCTCTCTGAACTCTCTGACTCCCGCACACTCCCTCCTGCAATCATGGATATCAACCAGGTGTTGGAGGGGACTTTCTCGCCTGGTACGCTACCCTCGCTGCCTCACGTGTGCCGCGGCAGCATTCACTGACAGCTCCCAGATGCGAACATCCGTAACAGCGCCGAGCAGCAGCTCCAGCAGGCCGCCGACTCCAACTTTGTAAGTCCCCCCCCCCGCAACGAGCAGGCTGCAGGTGCGCATCGCAGAACACGTCCACTAACAGCCCCGTCTCCTCTAGCCACAATACCTCTCCATCCTCAGCGGCGAACTCGCAAACGAGCAGGCGACGCCGGCCATTCGACAAGGTGCCGCACTCGCCCTGAAGAACGCCTTCACCGCACGCGAGTATGCCCGGTTACGTCAGGTCCAAGACCGCTGGATCAACCTCGATGCCGAGATCAAGCAGACGGTCAAGCAGGTTGCTCTGCAAACTCTGGCTACACCCTCAAAACAAGTCGGCTCAGCTGCTGCCCAGTTCATCGCCTCAGTGGCCGCCATCGAAATACCCCGCAACCAATGGCCGGAGCTCATGCCCGCCCTGGTCGAGAGTGTAGGACAGGGCACAGATAGCCAGAAGCAGGCGTCGCTGACTACCATCGGCTTCATCTGCGACACGGACGACATGGAGCTGAGGGAGGCGCTGGGCCACCACTCCAACGCCATTCTGACTGCCGTCGTTCAGGGTGCTAGGAAGGAGGAGACCAACAACGATGTCCGTGTCGCCGCCATCAACGCGCTCAGCGACTCGATCGAGTTTGTGCGCTCCAACTTTGACAACGAGGGCGAGCGCAACTACATCATGCAGGTCATCTGCGAAGCTACACAAGCCGACGACGACCGCATCCAGCAAGGCTCGTATGGATGTCTGAACCGCATCATGGGTCTGTACTACGACAAGATGCGCTTCTATATGGAGAAGGCTCTTTTCGGCCTTACCATCCAAGGCATGAAGAGCGACGAGCCAGATGTTGCCAAGCTCGCAGTAGAGTTCTGGTGCACGGTCTGCGAAGAAGAGATCGCAATCGAGGACGACAACACACAGGTATGATGGTCTTGCCTTTCACAGCCTGAAGATACTGACTCTGCAATAGGCACAGGCTGAGGGCTCCACTGAACTCCGCGAGTACTTCAACTTCGCCCGCGTTGCGACACAAGAGGTCGTCCCGGTGCTGTTGGAGCTCCTCGCCAAGCAGGACGAGGACGCCGACGACAATGAGTACAACACATCCCGCGCTGCCTACCAGTGTCTGCAGCTTTGGGCACAGTGCGTCGGTAGTGGTGTCATGCCGCCAGTTCTTGCCTTTATCGAGAAATACATCCGCTCCGAAGACTGGCGCTACCGTGACGCTGCCGTCTCTGCTTTCGGCGCCATCATGGAGGGCCCCGAAGAGTCTGTTCTCGACCCCATTGTAAAGCAAGCTCTGCCCACTCTGATTGGCATGATGGACGATCCGAACATACATGTCAAGGACTCGGCAGCGTATGCCTTGGGCCGTATCTGTGAAGCTGTGCCCAGCGCGCTTGACGCACAGCAACACTTGCCGACGTTGATTGGAGCACTGTTCGGCGGGTTGTCAAGCAACCCGAAGATGGCAGCGTCGTGCTGTTGGTCTCTGATGAACTTGGCCGACAGATTTGCTGGCGAGCCAGGCTGCCAGTCTAACCCGCTCTCTGCCCACTTTGCACAGAGCGTGCAACACCTCTTGACAGTCACCGAGCGCGCCGATGCGGACAACCAGTTGCGTACCGCAGCCTACGAGGTGCTCAACTCTTTTGTCAACAACGCTGCAGGTGACAGTGTACCTCTTGTGAACGAGCTGTCTAACGTCATCCTTGAGCGCCTCGAGAAGTCAATGGCGCTACAGGGACAAGTTGTCAGCGTTGAGGACAAGCTCACTCTTGAGGAGATGCAGACCAGCTTGGCCAGCGTCGTCATGTCCATTGTTCAGAGACTTGAGGCAGATATCAGGCCCCAGGCAGACCGCATCATGCAAATCCTACTCAGCCTTCTGTCTTCGCTGCCCCCGAAGTCAAGTGTTCCGGACACAGTCTTTGCAGCCATTGGATCGATCGCTACTGCTCTGGATGAAGAGTTCGCAAAGTACATGGAGGCATTCTCGCCCTTCTTGTACAACGCTCTCAACAACCAGGACGAGCCTGCTCTCTGCTCCATGGCCATTGGATTGGTTTCTGACATTACTCGTTCCCTTGGCGAGGCTGTTCAGCCATACTGCGATGCTTTCATGAACTCTCTGCTCAACAACCTACGAAGCCCTGCCCTGGGTAACCAGCTCAAGCCAGCCATCCTGCAATGTTTTGGCGACATTGCGCACGCGATTCACGGTGCGTTCGAGCCTTACCTTCCAGTCGTTGCCCAGGTGCTTCAGCAGGCTGGCCAGGTTAATCTCACCACTGAGGGCAACTTCGAGATGATTGACTACGTTACCTCGCTACGCGAGGGCATCATGGACGCATGGGATGGCTGCATCGTTGCGATGAAGATCAGCAACAAGACTAACCTCGTCGTCCCTTACATGGACTCGATCTTTGATCTGCTCCGCAACATTCAGCAGGACACCAACCGCACCGAAGGTCTTCTTCGGTCGTCTTGTGGTGTGATTGGTGACATCGCTGAAGCGTTCCCTAACGGCGAGTTCAGGGAATTCTTCCGCCACGATTTCCTGACTGCTATGGCAAGGGAGGCCCGCTCCAACCAAGACTTCAGTGGCCGAACACGCGATACTGCGCGGTGGGCCCGTGAACAGATCAAGCGCCAAATTGGTACGTCGGCCCACCAACTCAACAACCCTTTTCTTCGTCCCCCACGAGCCCACTAAATCGTTGCCCCTGTCCCTATATGCTTGTCCCTCTATATACATTATATCCGGCTGACCCCGTCCCCCAGGCGGCAACTCAAGCGTCATGGCTTGATAGATTTGCTTATACCCACCCCCTGCCCCCTGCCTCGTCGATCCGAGCAGAGTTTGGTCACTTGCCTCAGAGACTTCTTCCCTCTTGGAAGTAGTATCTGGCCTTTGACTGAGTTCGCGCGATCTAGATGCTTTCCTCTTTTCGGACGAAGCTGTTCATGCCACGGCGTCGAGAATATGGACACGCCGGGGCGCGATCTCGCCCTTGTAAACCGGTAGCTAGTCGGAACAGCTGGGAGTGGTGGATCTGGGCTATTCACGTTTCGAAATGGCTAGTCCAGTCCCCCGACGGCACCCGAATGCTGCATCGACGGCTATGATGGCCCAAGCCCCGAGCAACAAAAGCATAACCTACAGCACCCAAAGCCCAGGATCCGTTGTCTTCAACAGAACGAACTTCCAGCGATCCACACCTCACACCCCGCATCCTCCCACGAACCGCATAGCACCTCTCCACCACAATGTAGCACCACCTTTTGTAGGCAAAGCCAAGCGCTTCTGCCAGGAGAACGTTTAGATAACCGTCATTCTGTCATTTGCAGGACGTCTATACCACTTCTTTTCTGCCATGGATACAGCTGGTTTGTAGTTGTAATTCAAGTGAAATAAAGCACACATGCATCATTTGGCCTTGTGCGTTCATTAAAGTGACTGATATTATGGCTGCTTGGAATGATATCAAATGACTTGTATGAGAAGTATCGAGGCTCCGTCATGGACGCTCAGCTAGTGAAGAAAGTGCAAGGTAGACTGCGTGTGATTGGAAGTTTGCATGGGCGGCTGCGGGCAGATCCCGAGCGCATGGTTTGTGGTGGGATGACGCTACGGAGGACATCAACTACGCGAGATGCCCTCAACAGCTGCTGCGCTCACCACTCGTACTCGCAAACACATCGCTTCAAGGTCGCATCTGTGCGTCGGTTAGGAGACGTGTCAAGTTAAGAACCGCCACCAGGTGGCCTCTTCCTCGCACACTCATCGCACCTGGCTTGCTTGTGTGACGCGCTGCATCGCGACACGACAGTTATCGTCCCAAGCTGCATAAGATGGCCTCTCATGCCTCAACACCACGGTCGCAATCGCGCTCTTCGACCGGTAGTAGCGGCACATCAGATACCACCATGCTTGACGCACCGCCACAGACTCCCAGTCGCCCAGTTCGCCCTCGCCATGCCTCAGCCAGCAACCCGTCGCCCGCGTCGCAAGCAGTCTCGTTTGACGCCTCCTTCTCCCTGCTCCTGTCTCTGCCCAGAGAACTTCGCGAACGCATATATGTCTTCGCGCTCACGTCTTCGCACCCGTTCCCGTGTCCGCGCCCACTTCAGCCTCCGCCTGAGAAGTTCAAGCATCATGTCAGCGTCAGCCTCATCCGCGCCAATAAACAAGTCTACGAAGAAAGCGTGTCGATGCTGTATAGCAGGAATACATTCCTCTTCGTCCATCCGTCCGATTGCAACATCTTCCGCATCATTGCCGCCCCAGCGTCACACAATATAACCAGCGTTTTCTTCCGCATTCGCGAGAAGGACTTGCGCTTGTGGACGAGTTATCTCGGGAGCAAGACTACAGAGCGCAGCTTGCGGTTCGACCTGCCAAAACTGAAGAATCTCTCCATCTCCATGCTCTACCGGAACCTCACCATGCACACCGCTCTCCTAGCCCACAGTCTGCAAAACAATGCCCTCGCCGGTCTACCCCCCGCCATCGTGGTGCAAGTCCAAGCCGTGCAAAATGCGCTAGGCCAGCAAATCGCCGCGCTGAATCAACAGGGCAGGAATGCCGAAGGGGGCGATGATGTATCGCAAACTCCCCCGCCAGCAATCCCCTTCTCCCAATTCCAAGCTGGCGCGTTGTTCCCGCAACCGCCGCCACCACCTCCTGCTCCCGTCCATCACAATCCTCCACATCACCACCAGGCCATCCCAATCGTATACGGCACGCCCAGTCCCGGTCCCAATCCGCCCACGCACTTCCTCCGCTTCGAGCGCGAAATGGGCATCGAGGCGCTGTGTCTGGCACTTTCGGAGACGCGCAGGAAAGACACGGACGTCAAGATTGTATGTACGATGCGCATCCCCAAACGCGAGGTTGAGCGGCTGGTGCGTATGTGGCCGGAGGAGATGGAGAGGTGTGAGGTGTGGAATGCCCGGACGAGGTTTAGGAAGGTTGGGGGCGTGGAGGTGAGTTTGGAGGTCTGCGGGTATGAGATTCTGGGGATTGGTGGTGCGTGAGGGGTGCAGTGAAGCAGGGAGTGAACTCGTTTTCCTTGCATTTTTCTTGAGAAGAGCACTGCTCTTGAGTACGGTGTGTTCGATGGGTTGCGTGGTGCTATCACACACCGCATTTACTGTAAGAAAGTGCCTGATGTTTGCTTCGCTGCGAAGCAAATATCGTTCAGTCTTACAAAACTTAAAAAGGCGCAGATACTTGATCTGCATATCATGGGCTGTTGCACAGATTCAACATACCGAGGTGGACGGTTGCACATCAACGATTGGACTCTCCCAATATGGCTTCTGGTTGGAGTCTTAAGATTTGACGGCGGGGGATGCGGCTTTCAACAGCGTATACTTAACAGCATATGACTTAGATGTCATGGCTACTTCTCTGCGTGCAGAGCTTATCAAAGTTCGACGACAGCCTAGTTGCTACGCACGGCAAAGAGCTAGGGATTCATACACTGTGGGGGTATACTACTTTGATCAGAGAAATATTGCGCTGTTCCGCAAAAAAGGAACTGTTAAGAAATGATTGTCCATATACTCACAAGTCTCTCAATCTAGGTACGTGCACTGAGAACGAGCTCGTGTTTTACCATATATTTTCAGGCACTTCATCGAACGCTAGTAAGGGACGGGTCAGATCAGATAAGACCGATAACACACTTCAATCTTGACTGGCTCAAAGTCGTCGCGTGCGCAGCTAAGCTTGGTGAAGGTGAATTACGGTTTAGTGATTGAACTATGGCGTGATTCTCGTTTTGCTAGCGTTTGATGAAGTACCCCACGATTGTGTTGTTCACACCGCCTTGAAAACGTACACGAATGGCCTGCCACTCTACAGGTACCCTTGAGTATTTCAAGTCTACGGTTGTTTTCTATGTTCTGCTAAAAGCCTACTCTGGCGTTAATGTTGTAACACCAGCATGCGCGCCATGGACGCAGCCAGCGATCAATGAAACGAGCACGCTCACATCGAGGCAACATGCAATCTCCCATCTCATGCGCCGCAGCCGACGTAGAACATCCCGCACCCCAGAAAAACGGCGCAGAGAGCCGCACCAACGAGGCCTTTGCGGCCATCTTGTCCGCACTCAGGGTGCCTGATTGGCGTCACGCATGGCATTCACACTAGAATCCGATCGGTTGGATCCTGTGACGGCGACGTTTTCGCCTAACGTTTACGCTAGCAACGATGCTAATGACACTATGCCTACATTCATCGACATGATTGGAAATCTCCCGGCCAAGCGTATACGACTTCAACGACTCTTCCCTATCCTGCTAGTCGCCATTGCGGCTCGACGGCTTGATGCATATGATCGAGATCCAGCAGGGAACGTCACCCAATAAAGCCGACCAGCAAAGGCCCTTTTGTCAAAGCGATGCCCATGGTTTTCAAATATGTTTTCTGGCTGAATCGAGCTTTTCTTCTTCTCAAGGTCTCTAATGGAACCTTCATCGTCGGCGTCCAAAGTGGCTATACCCAGGCTTCCAGGACGCGAATACTACATTCCGGCCAAATCTGCCTCGAGACCTCGCGCACCCAAGTCTTGCTCCGTCGCGTGCAGGCAGTGTCGCAAGCGCAAGATTCGGTGCACGGGTGAGACGCCGAAATGCAGGAATTGTCTGGTGGGCCACGTCCGGTGTGTGTATTCGCTGTCGAGAGGGAATCGGTTGAAAGAGTATGTTGGATAAACCTTATTTGGATAAATAATGTGTTTGGAGAGTGAAAATCTTGTATCATGTCTTTACGTTTCGAAACACCTGCAGTGTGTTCCCAAACACAAGTTTTGCGGTCGGGATCGTCATCGGCTCTCTCATATGCATGTGTGTGGGGAAGGGCTTTGAACTGAAGAAATCTAGAGCAAATGAACGCAATGAGAGTTTGGTTGGGTTTCTCAAACACTTGGGTACAAGCTATGGTGGACAGGTGCAGCTTGAGATTGACGAGTTTCTTGGGGGGCTCGAGGTTTGTCATTTGCACATGTAATGCTTCACACATTCTCGACTTGACTCACGCGGTATAGAGTGACTCTGATGGCGACACGACATCCCCACAAACGATGCCTGAGCAAGTCGGCAGCAGAGAACGATCTGGCACGAACGAAACAGTAGAAAGTGGTTCGGGGTATGTTGTTCACCAACTTTCTATCACAGCTAGACTGATGATGTTTTAGGAACTCGTCTGTCCCCATATCGCTGCCCCCAATTTCAACAATGATGTCCACACCGTTGCCGGATCCATCGGTCACAAAAGGCATATCGGATAGCATACTAAGCGAGACCTCAAGGTACATTGATGTCCAGCGCCGATAATTATCTCGCGGCTAAACTGTGTCGCAGTGACATACTCGGCAATACCGATCCAACAGCAACAGCGAGTCTTCGCCAACCCTCCGAAGATGGCAAAAGCGAAAGGATATGACAGCAGACTCACTTGTAATACCGTGTTGAAGCGATGCAATACCAAAGCCTACTATCCTCTCCCCATCCCCGTATCAACCTCCACAGCCCCACAATGTTTCAAAACCCGCCCCCAAACAGCCTTCCCCTCAATCTCACCAACGGTCAGCGGCCACAATACCCTCCCCGCACCATCCTCCCACCCAATCGGTCTCACACCACCAAAAGCATCTTCATACTCCGGCGCCGCACTCATATTCCCCGAATCCACCGTCGTCATCGCAACGCGCCGTGAGTGCCACGCCGTCGCCGCCTCGGTTTCGGTAATCATGTTCAGCGCAGCTTTGGACATGTTGGTGTGTACATGTTTGCCTGCTTTCGCTGCAGAATCTGTGTGGTCCTTGAAAATGCCTTCGCGCGAGGAGACTTGATGATGTAGCCTTGCGGTTTGGTGGGCGTTGAGGACGATGGGGATTTGGCGCAGCCCATTAGTGAGAATAATTCGCGGATAAGGATGAGCGGGCAGAAGCTGTTTACGCTGTGGGCGCATATGATGTCCTCGTAGGGAATTTTGGAGAGGGATTGGACCCAAGAGGATTTTGTGTAGGGTTCGAGGTCACTTGGTGGGGTAGAATTACTCACACAGGCTGTTGATTCGGGGTTTGGCGTGTCGATTCCGGCTTGTACATCATGAGATGCTATCATAACGACATCCACGTACCCTAATACCAAGGGCAAAGCTCCTCTTCTGATTCTTGCTGTGTATGCGCCTTCAACAAGTAGTCCAGTACTACTCGTATCATGGCTCAGCTTCTCTTCTTGACGTACTGCGCGTGCTTCCTTCTTCACACTATCTGTCAAAGTCTGCGCTACGTTATTGATGAGCGCATCCAACTTCGCTTCTCTCCCATCTACCTATGCTGCCAAACACTTCTTCGTCTCATGAACCAAAGCGAAAACATCATCAGCTGACCTGAAGTCCGCCCCAACAACCTCCAGCCTCTCTTTCCAGATACCAGAGTCCTCGTTCAAATACCGAGCGACAGCATCTCTTGGATACCGCGTGGTTGCAATGACGCGCGCGCCACAGCGTAACAATCTCAGAGCGGTAGGATACCCCAGGTTGAGTCGCGCACCCGTGACCAGGGTGGTAAAATCCGCCGGCAGGGTTAAGTTTCGGTGGCATAGAAAGCGAGGAAGAGGCATAATTGAACGTACCACACGGTACACATAGAGACGGATGTGACAGGTAGTGGTTTGCAATGGTAAATCGACAGATGTAACAAAGACGCTTTTGGGGTACTGGCGGTGGTTTGGGAATATCCGAGCTTGTTTGATCGTCTGGAAGTTCATTTAAGTCTACACCGAGCTGTTGCTTAATTAACGCGAAAATGGTCGAGGCTGTTGTTTCTGCCGTTATAACAGCAGTGTCGTGAAAATGCTCAATGACTTTTAAAGCTGTAGCAAGCTCTGATGATGGTAAGAGTCGTTGATCTTGCTCCACTTCTCGCATAGTGCCAGAAGGTACTAATTTGATCCCGGGATTCAAGTTTCTCATGATCTTGTTCAAGAGATTCTCGTAAATGGTACGTTTGATGTCGTGGCTCAACCCTGGGAAAGGCGCAAGATGACAAGCAATGGCTTTTCCCTTATCCTCATCGTACTTGGGGAGATGCCATGCAGTCCAGCTACAGGCTTTGCTGGCATCTATGAGAGATTCGTCATCGCGGAGTCGTTTTGCAATATCTTCCTCAGACTTGGTAGCCACGAATTGTGGTGCGAAAAGCGGAGAGGTTCGCTATGAAGTGATGTGAATGGCTGTGTTTAGATTTTTGCTTTCTCTTGAGAGAGTGAGATCATGTGGAAAATATGAATGTTGATCAATTTATGCGCCGCGGTGGTTACCTTGGCCTACTGTTTTGTCAGCATCAGGTTTCAAGCCACCGAAATCGAGAGAATCAGCATCGTCATGCCTCCATGTTTGGCCATCTAGACAGTTACGCTTCCTACTCTATCGCGGCTCAGACTGGTCGTTACATGAAGACGAAAATCGTTTCACGATGCAATACCAAGTCAGGACAAAGGCATTGGCAGCAGAACTACACCACCTGAAAGACATTTACGAAACACACCCGGGTTTTCTAAAGCAGCAACTCGCTCCGCAGACTCGACGTCTGAACAAAAAACACATACCGACAGTAATGCGAAATGAAGCTCGTAAAATGACAAAGAGAATGTTCCACACTTGGTGGAAAGATGGGGAGAGATACAAGTACCATTTCGCTTTCCCGTTCCCAGGTCTTGTTCCATATGACTGGATGCTGTAATTCTTCAATGAAGTATGCAGAAACACGCCATCCCGGATTTACCTCATCAAAAAAGCATCTCGGCGAATGCCAAAGTTATTCTTGATGGTTTGTCCACATGGGCTTGTGGTGCGCGTAGCCCCAAGGCTTAAAATGAGCAGATCAATCGCTGTGCGCCGAAGAACAAGAAGTATATGCAACCCTTCTTCACATCGATGATATGGGAGAACGCATATAAAAAAAACATCCTAAAAGAGCCATAGTCTGGCTGCAAAGGTTCTGTGAAGTCGTTGCACAGATGGAGAAGGTGTTTCCAGAGGTACTAGAGGAGATTAAGGATCCTGGCTGGGTTATCGGCGCGCCGCAATGATGGAAGCTGATGTCGACAAAGGCTTGGAAGAACTTTTGTTTCCAATAAGCGAGGCATTATATATTTTGCTCAGGAACGGTCTGATTGCCGTTTTGGCTAGCTCGTGGCTACAAGGTATGACGTCTCGGTAACTTAGAGCTTTACCCCGCAAGCTAATCTATTATCTACACCAACCACTCGCTTCAACTGGTGACGTGACATCGTGCATCAGCACTCGTTCTTACGAATACAGCGACCCAATCCGCCCATCTGTCAAACGGTGTTCATGCCGCGGACCGAGATGCCGGGGCACAAATGGCGAAAACCCAGGAATCTCGACAGGCCACGGACCCGCTCGGGAAGCTGTTCACCACTCACCATTCACCTCTTGCCTCGATATAGTAACGGGATACATGGCGCGCTATATTCCTGCATTAGCTTCGCGTACAGCATGTAAGCTTCGGATACATGAAAGCTTCTGTGCTCTTGATATTCTTGGTCCCTCTTGTCTGCTCTAAAACTTTCACTTACACGCCCACGCAATGGCTACCAGATCCAGCCTGGACGGCAAAGTACGAACGGAACGCATGTCGGATGATATAGCTCAGCATGAAGTCGACACAACCAATGGATCTTCAAGTGGCAAGCTCGTACCGCCTCCGCTCGTCGCTGCCATGTCGCAAGAGCAGCGCCTACATGCAGAAGCGCGAATGAGGAGAAAGATCGATACCCGATTGCTCCCTATGATAATTCTTATGTACATCATGAATTATCTCGACAGGAACAACATCGCAGCAGTCCGGTTGGCAGGACTGCAAGACGATCTGGAGTTGACGAGTGTCCAATACCAGGTAGGCTGCAGACGCTGCACACACGGCCGCCGCATAGACGCTGACCTATGCCCAGACTACCGTCTCAATCCTCTTCGTTGGATATATATTGATGCAAATTCCGTCTAATCTGTTCCTCAACAAGACGGGAAAACCTGCGATCTATCTCCCATGCTGTATGATTGTCTGGGGAATCATCTCAGGTGCGACCGGAGCGTGCCAAAACTTTGGAGGACTTGTAGCCTGCCGATTCTTCCTAGGTTTTGTCGAAGCAGCCTGTACGTAAATCATATGCACAAACTACATGGGAGACATACACTAACTTCATATACTGACATCTAGTCTTCCCCGGCTGTCTGTTCTATCTTTCGGCATGGTATACCAGAAAGGAGTTGGGTCTTCGAACCGCTGTCCTCTACTCTGGAAGTCTTATCTCGGGAGCCTTTGGAGGTCTAGTAACCGCTGGAATTACTAGCAATATGGACGGGACGCATGGGCTACGTGCGTGGCGTTGGGTATTCATCATCGAGGGAGCCATTACGGTCGTCATCGCATTCTCTGCCTTGTTCATCTTACCCAACTTCCCAAGAACCACGTCCTGGCTTACCGAGGAGGAAAGCCAACTCGCTGTATATCGCCTGCAAGAGGACATCGGAGAAGACGACTGGAAAGATGCACAATCGCAGACATTCTTCCATGGCTTGAAGCTCGCTTTGATGGACATCAAAACCTGGGTACTGACAATTCTTCTCCTAGCCATCGTTTCATCGGCATCTGTAACGAACTTCTTCCCGACCGTAAGTATATACCATGGGCAGCTTTACTTGGAACTGTGCTGACATTCGTACAGGTTGTCAAAACTCTAGGCTACGACAACATCCACACTCTTCTGCTTACCGCACCTCCATACGTGCTCGCAGTCATCACGACCTATCTAAATGCTTGGCACGCTGATCGAACCGGCGAGCGATTTCTGCATATCGTCCTGCCCCTATGCGTCGGCGTCTTCGCTTTCATTCTCGCTGCAGCTACCCACTCGACCGCACCCCGATATGTCGCCATGATGCTTATGGTTCCCGGAGTCTATACAGGCTATGTTGTATGCTTAGCTTGGTAACTATTATTGATACACTGTGTTTTTGAAGAGAGCTGATATGAGATTCTAGGATTTCCAACTCGCTGCCGAGACCGCCTGCAAAGCGTGCCGCAGCACTTGCTTTCATCAACGCAATTTCGAACACGAGCAGTATCTATGCGAGCTACATGTATCCACAGCCCAAAGGAGGTGCACAGCCCGACTTGACAATTCCACTCAGCGTGGATTGTGCGACAGCGGCACTAGCAATCATCATGACAGTAATCATGCGGATCATACTCGGTAGATTGAACAGGAAGCTTGATCGAGGAGAACACGTGGAAGGTGCCATAAATGCGGTTCCGGGCGAGGCATCAGAGCATGGTTTCAGATTCCTGGTGTAAGGGTGCTTGGTTACAAAGAGTCTCTCTTGCAAGATAAGCTGGATACAGGTAACGCAGCATCACCGCAGCAACAGTCCAGAAGATAATGAAGGAAAGCGAAGTATGGCAGCCAATACCACTAAGCGTATCCATCCATCTTACTGAAACACGTGCAGTAGGATGATGTAGCCGACTTTGCGTGGACCGCGAGAGCGAGTCTAGAGCTGTTATAAGGTCTACATTATTTCATGAATGACAAACTTAAAAGATTGAGCCTACGAAAGTAGCAATGCGAGTCTTTTAGTTCCGAGTATAACCGATGCTTTCAATATTCTTCGTTCCGCCCTATGCTTGCTCGTACAAGAGCGTGATTTGCTGAGGTTGGCACGTTATTCTTCCACTGTAACCGGACAGGTTTCAAGGGCGTTGGGAATCTGCAGAGACCCTTAGATTGCTGCGGGGATGTTATCGCCAAATGAGGCGGTCGGGTGCAGACTGGGGTTGCTCGAACCTTCGATGACGTGCTATCGCCGTATTTAGCCTAGCCTGTCACGCCCCGTCGCGCCTTCTGATCGCCATCACCGCCAAGCCTTCAACATTCGCATTCCATTCACACCTCAGCACTTTGCAACTCACGAGCCTCTGCCCTTATCATTATTGACTCGAGATATTCATCACTGTCGCTCCACCTGGAAATGCCCATGCTAGTTGTCACGGATTGCAAGAAGAGCGCACGCGAATTGCGATAGCTAGCGTTACACGACAGGCACTCACCCAAGCGCTTGTACACGCACAATGCTCGATGCCGAATCACGCTTACAGAATCATACAACGCATATAGCCTCCTACTCTTTCTCGTGCGCAACACCTATCGCTACCCTCTAACTATTGCCCAACACATTGCAACCTTCTCTCTGCAACCGGGCAAACCCGCGCAACCTTCAAGGCACCAGAACGCGTCGTCAGCTGACGCCACTCAACCTACCAACATCACATTCAACAACGAAACAACGAAAATGGACTTCTCAAACAACGTTTTCAGTGCGCCCGCCTCTACACCCAAAGTCTCTGATGACACGATGTCTCATGCAAATTTAGTCATGGCTTGCAGATGGGGCTGGACTAGCTCCTCCAGATTCAAATGGTGCAAGTTCGCAAACGCAGGTGGCTTCTTCCACACCCCAGTCCGCTCCATCTCCCTTCAACAACGTGCGCTCAAAACGCTTCGCGCCATGCCAAGGAAGATTGTACCATCAGCTTTTGTGTTCGCATCGCATTCGCACCGATCTAGTGGAAGATTGCGGTGCGAACTGCATAGAACCTTTCGGAAACGTCTCGGGTCCAGCATTTATATGCAACGAATGTATGGATGCCGAGGCGGCAAAGATCTGGGAAGAGCGTAAAGCACAGCATCTTGCCTCTTACCCACCCACAGCGCAAATGACTAAGGAACAGTATGATCGGTATTATCTGGAGCATCGACAACTTGAAGCCGACTATGCGCGCGATCGGAGGGCTTATGAGATGGATCTTAAAGCGAAGATGCGACCGAGCAATATCTGCTCTGCCATCGAAGTGAGCAAGGAAGAGGCGGAATTCGCCACTGAGCTTGATTCTTTGTCCCTGTCACTCATGGCATCGAATGACGGTACCACGAACCATGCCCAATTTCAGCAACACGCTCGTCCCAGGGTCAGCTTGCCCACCGATGCATCCGAACAGCTTCATTGGGATCTCAATACTCTCGCGCTGGAACGCGGCTCCTGTGGCGTTGAGTACACAGCTCAAGGGCCCAACAGCGCGTCTACTTCACAAGGCCTGCCTCAAGAAGAGCTCTGGGGCAAGCCTCGAGGGTGATTGGCGGGATAGACTAGTACACAAATATGCAGTACCAACAAGTCACAAACGATTGTGCACGACAGGAGTCCATCCGTTAGCAATGCGGTCTCTGGAGTTTAGCGGCATTTCAGGTGTTTAGGATACCCAAGGAGCAGGTTGAGCCACTTGGTACTAGGATGCTCCAGATTCACGGTGTGTAGATGTATCAATGACATATGAACAATGACACAACTAGCTCTTTTTTCCTTGCCAGGTTCTGCACAAGTTCTCCCTTGCTCTCTGTAGGCTAAAGGCTCAGTCTGCTCCAACGGAACGCGATAAATTAGGTGTTTGACCTTGCAGACAGGAACAGCTGATGTTTGTAGTAGTGATTTTATACATATACACATATTCCGTGCTCTCACGCAGACTTTTCAACTTACAAAACAAAACGTCTTTTCCATCACGTCCGGCTAACGACAATGTCAAATGGCGGGTATCTCAACTCGACCTTTCCATCCTTCTCAATCATCACAACCTTACTCAACGGCCACCCTTTGCTATCTTTGTACCCATCATAATCAAACCAATCACACGTCTTCAATCCCGGGAATATCAACCGCCACACTTGCGCTCCCTCGCCAAACTCCGCGTTCTCAGCCGCACCCTCAGCGGGCTCCAACATGGCGCCTTGTGGGGTCGAAAGAAGTCTTAGACCTGTATCGCCATTCCAACCCAGACGGTCGATGGATTCCAATGCACTAGTGCCGTTCACGACGAGCGAGCGCAGATAAAGGATTTGATCTTCAACTTCGAGCGTCGCATAGGTGATAGTGTTCACAGCAGTGGTATCCACGACATCAGTGAGAAGTCCTGTATCCTGACCCATCGTATACATCCCAGCAAAGCGCTCGGCCGAGCGCGCAGCTAGTGCTTCAGCGAAAGCCGGCGCGAGGATCTCATGCACAATGTCGCGAATCGCTGTTGGTGAAAGACCTGTGTATCCTTCGATGGTAGCTTCCTGCGTAAGGACAACGATGCCATAGCCCAGGTTTGGGAGTACGTCGATCCAGGAATGCCACCCGCCTCCGTCGCCGGACTTACCGAAGATGCTGTATGTTTTCGCGGAGTCGAGGGAGGCGTTGGTACTGGTTTGCAGGGTGATGAGGTTAATTTCCCAACCTGGTCCGGTTTGTTGTCGGCCGTCTGGTAGACCGGCTACGGGCTTCAACGAGCGCCGGCGCTGGTACTTCGTTATAAGCTCGGGAGATGGAGAGAGCCAGAGGCCGTAGAGGTAGTTTGCTAGGTCGTTTGCTGAACTCCACATGCCGGCGGCAGGGTTATAGCCCTCGCCGATGAGGAGGTTAGCCCAGTTCTCGCCGCCAGGTATGCCAATGAAAGATTGCAGGGTTTGCGGAACGGGGCCAAAGAAAGTGTGTGTCATGTTGAGTGGTTGCAGGACCTGTTCTGTTGTGATTTGGCTCCAGGATAGATCGGTATTGCTGACGTTGTTAAAGTAAGCCGTAACTGAAGATGCAAGCAGCGAGATGCCAACGTTCGAATATGCAGCTCGCTGTCCCGGTGCGAACATCAGATTTGTCGTTGCCATTCCATCAATCACGTCCTGCGGAGTTGCGCTACCCCATGCGGCACCAATAGTTGGCAAGTCTGCTTTCCCGCTGCTGAGAATCATGTTGAAGCCAGTACTGTAGCTTTCTCTTGGGGTGCCGGATGTGTGGCTTGCGAGCATGCCGAGGGTGATTTCGCTGCCACCATCGTTCCAGTCTCTCTCTGGCAATGTGAAATCTGGAAGTACCAAGCGTAGAGGCGTGTCCAAACTCAGCCTCAGGTATTGAGGCTGCTTGGGAATATTCGATACCACCAAAGCGGAGCTCATGGCGATATTCTTGGAAACTGACATGACGCGAAAAATTGAGTCGCTTGTAACGACGTTTTCCGCATATCCATCCACATCCGTCTCATTCATCTTGAGTGTGCCATTATTGAACGTATACACCGTGCCAGGCGTAGAGGCATGCACCTATGTCGAGCGTGAGCGCCATTCCTGAGGTGAGCATCGCGCACGTACGATTGCAAAACTGAGCCCATCTCTTGTAGTGTTGATGTATAGACTGGAGAGGTTCCGCCCAACTTCCTCAAAAGCTGCAACAACAGCAGGGTGCTTGAGTATCAAGGGATCCGTAAGACTTCGCTCTGGGTAATCTGCGACACATGCGCACGTGACAAGTGTCGTAAAGCAGCTTGCAACGAACAGCAAGCTGTTCGTAACGAGGCCGGTCATTAGGGATGCGAGCCAGAGAGTACTGAAGCCCTCAAGCCAAGAGCAAGATTGGTATAGTGGTCTACATATGTTTGGTACTGTAGGAACTGAGCAAGGGGCCACCGAGTCACAGCGTGCAGATACCACCCTTGAGAGCCACGTAGACAGCCAGTAATCTCACCCTGTGTCTTGGGACATGGATACACCTGCCTCTCCGAGGTCATGCCGTGTCCGCCGGGTCTGCATGGCGGTGCAGATGGTGCATAAGCTCGAAGATAACAAAAACACCGCGAATCTTTAGGGGATGCCCAATGCCTGCCTATCTCAGAAAACATGCTATGACAAATGTAGAAATTTCCTTTTGTTACAAGCAGAGGCGTATTCCAAAGCTTCTAGAAAAAAACGACAGGTCAAGATGAGGTTTGTGCGTGAGCTGGACATGGGAGAAGCATGCAGATCAGGTATGGGGTACCCCACTTCTGCCGTGGGGCGGTTGCGCCCCACACAAGCCAGAGCATCTCGGTCGCTTGTCCGAGCCGGCCAAACATTATTTTGACACACGACATGGAAAGTTTTCTATGAGACAGCTGGCTGTGTTTTTGAACTTTGATTTTGCTGAGTTAAGGTTTTTGGGGGAAATGACGTCCCAAACCTTATGTACTAGATAGGCCCGAATCGGAAAGTGGCTTCCATTACGATCGTCCTGGTTTCAGCGGAGTGTGTGCTCTCCTGTCATCCATACCAACTCAGCTCTGACGAAACTGCCATGATCAATCCCTTGGTCCCGCTCTCATGATGGGCTTCTTCTGAAACATAACCACGTCCTCCTGATCTCAGAAAGCCAGCGCGCTCCTCGAACTTCGGTTGGATGGGCTCGAGTGAAGGTGAAGGTTATTTGCTGACCAATCAACGCACATCCTAGCCGTCTCAACTCTTCCTTCATCATACCCTCCAATTGGCCAAGCTTTTTCTTATCCCATTCCGTGCAAGCAACGTCGACAACGAGCTTGTCGATGCTGAATCCAATAGCCTCCAAGCCTGAGAGATCGATCGCGACAACATTCTTCGTGCGGTCGAGGCTGACGGCGAGGTCCATATACAGAGTCTTCAGACCGTCCGGGCCACGAAGGCCTTGCTCGAGCTTCTTCAGACGGATCCATTGGCCACGCATTGTAGACCTCGATGACATCGCGCGAGTAGTCAGAGTTGGGAATCCATCCCACAATCCTGCGTTTGCAAGTGAGCACAGATGTCTCGAGCATTATCTGGAATTTGCTTGGATTGGAAAACTTCGCACTGTTCAAGTAGATTCTGGTGGTAAAGATGCTGCCAGGAATTCTTGCGACCCATCCAACGTTGCGGAAGTACTGTTCCATGGCTTCTGATAGGAATGCATGGCTGACCCGAACACAGAGCGGATAGTGTCTGTCGGGCATCCATCCATCAGCTTCTTGTTGATAGTGCGTAGTGGTGTCGATCAACGGCGAAGGCCTCTCATTGAGCGTGGCGCGGTAGAGATCAGGCGTGGCGGTCCTTGCTAAATAGCAGATCATGTGCCGCAGCTCGCGCGGAAGGTCGAAGAAGCAGAAAGGTCCTGTGAAGCGCGCAGTCGGACCCCGGGGGGTGACGTTGGCGCACCATCGCCGCATCGTTTCGAATTACCGAAGTTATGTGCGTACGTATATCGTGTTCTCGGCACGTCAAGCGGTGCAGACGTAACTATAAAGACGAAGTCAGTGGCGTTCTCTGTAGAATCAAAGACGGTGCCCCAGCGTTGTAAAAGTGAGGGCAACAAACCATGATAGACAACCAAAATTCGAGGATTAGGTAAGCGCAAACTGGTACCAAAAACATCGTATGGCTACGCAGAGTAAGTGCATTGCTCTATACGTCCCGCCAGGTGGGCTGATCAAGTACAATAGGTTCAGGCTCGGAACGGTCAATAATGTGCTTTTCCACCATCCACGTAAAACGCCCGCTCCCGACCAGTCTTCCCGATATCTGCGGCATGTTATGTATGCCAATGCTTCTCTCTTCATCGCACAGTGTATCGGCTATTGCACACATGGCCTTGTCCTTTAAGCAGGCACCCCATGCTAAGCTCTTGTCTTCGTACACCCCGATCCATGATGCTGCAGTAGGCCCCTTACGAGCCGCGAGATATACGACTTCGTGCATAGCTGGTACCTCTTTCGACTCATCTACCTGGAATTTGGGATGCGGTATGTCAAGTCTGATGGGTTCGCCATCCAAACTGCGGCTTCTCGGTGGCAGCATTGCCTTCATTCCGCTACGCTGTACCGTTGTCTGCACCAACTTGATGCGACCCGTTGAGCTCAGATACTCACTACCATCGAGCAAGCCTTCTCGGGAGAATGTGTAAGCGCCATGCTTCAATGCTCCGAGAGTGACAGCGTCGAAAGTCGAGTAAATGCCCAGAACTTTGCCAGGACGAACGAGGTGCGGATACGGCTCATATTCCAGTACAAACAGATCAGGTGCAGGCTGCAGGATTGTCGTCAAAGATATGAAGCTCTTCCGCAGGCGGTTACGAGGCCTTTCTAGACGCAATCGTTCCGGCTCGGTACCTGTGAGTGGTGGTTTGATTCCTGCCTGTGGTGGCTTGTGTAGCTTGCCTTGCCTGCGACGACGTTCTGTGTCAGCTGGCGGTTCACTGTGCGAACGCCTCGGTTTCTTCTCTTCCACTTTTGCTTCATGCTTCCGCTTGGCGAAACCCCAAAGCCCACCCAGGTACCCATTGTCTCTTCCGCCCATTTATAGTTCCGATGCGTCCGCCTCCCCTGACTGAGCGTGTAGAAAGCACAGAGTGCCGAAGAGATGAAGACGAGATGCTCAAAGGGTGAGGTGAGCTATTAAGACAGAGTGCTATTTTCGGACACTGATTGAAGGCCTTGCATTCGCAAGTTTCATGTTACGAAACTTGTCGGGTTGTAGGAATCCTTCGCTGTTGTTGATGTTGTTATTGGCAGGTTTCAAAGCAGTGCGTCATTCAAAGAGGCTCCGCCACAGCCCGCTAAACTATGCGAAGACAAATTAACGTGCCAGCGATGACAGGAACACATTGAAAACATGCAAGATACCACCAGCAAGTCTACCTCAATAACCTTAGGGGGACATTGACTCAGAAATCAGATGTATTCGCGTCGAAGTCAACCTGAATGACGATCGAGGCCTCCCATTGGTGACGAGGCTTCGGCTGTAACGGCAATGGACGCTGTGGAAGCGAAAAGTCTCCGCGCGGCAGTGCAGCCAGCTACTTCCTTCGCAAACATGAAGTGGGTATGTTGCTAGAGGAACACCGACGGTTGCGACTTCTTGATATCGATGAATATGTGACTGTTCTTTCAAAGTCTAACCTTTCCGGGGGGCCGTTGTAGTCCATGAAGCAACGACTGACGATAGGCAGATGTAAGTACCCATAGGGCTACACTAGAGAATGAAAAAAAGACAAGCGCATATTCGTAGAACCGCTTGGGATAGATTTCCTTTGAAAATGGAGTCGAATTTGCTTGGGATGAGGAAATCACATGAACGTGTTTCGAAGCGGTAAGGCGTGCGGCCGGACTTGCAAAAGCAAGCTAGGACAAAGTCAAGTCCGGAAGCGCACGAACATAGGACCGCCCACGCCGTCCTGCTCGAACAGTGCCGATGCCATGGTAAGTGCTCTAGCTACCCCAGATCATCATTCTTGGCGCATACTGAAACGATTAGGAAGGCGCAAGCACAGTGTATCCAATATCGTGCGAACACTGTCGCACGAAGAAGTCAAGAGTAGGAGCCAGTGCTATTATTTCAAAATCTTTTATTGACATGTACAGTGTGATCGAGAGCTGCCTACCTGTACTCAATGTGCTTCTTCAGGTATAGATTGTCGGTACCCTCCAGTCAACAAGCGGCAAGTATTGTGCATCCTGCTTCTATGATCCCTAACTAACAGTGTAATCAGGGGCATCCCATCAGGTTACTTATCTTATATTGAACAACGACTCCTGGATACAGAAGTGGTAGTCTTTGAACTACTATCTGCAGTCTACAAGTCACACGTTCCGATACAACCGCAACGACTGTCTGAGGCAGAGCGTCAGGCTCTAGCAGATCTCAGCCAAAAACAGGCCAAGTCCGCGAAGATTGAGGAGTGGAAACGGTTGCCTCTTGATACAGACAAACATAGGCACGAGTGGTGGTCGAGAAGATGCCAATCTATGTTTTCATCAACTCAAGCTGGGTCCACTCGCTCTTTACAGGATGCCATGAGTCCGCAGGACACCTGGGTGGATGCGTCGCCATTGTCGGTGCAATTCGAAGATACTCAGACGTGTACAGCCACAAGGCCGTCATTCTCAGACTTGTCGCAAACAGCAGACCCAGCTGTATCGTGGCAGCAGTCTCTGAATGTGGATCTGTCTGGGACGGGAGTGAACTTTGATGATAGTGTTCCCTCCAAGTTCACATCGTCTTCGACGAGCAATCTGGGTCAAGACGCGTCTGATATTGCAAAAGCAAGTGCTCAATTATCTGTAGCTGATAACAGCCAAGTATTGAACGCAGAGCGATGGCGTAAATATTTTTAGCTCACACGATCCTCGCACATTTCTAGGTAGACATGCAATGGGCTGGGACAATTCGCCATTGAACTTCCCTGCCCCCAATAAGCGAGCCACTAGGCTACCTAGCGCGTCTTCATTCTCTCTTTCTCCCGAACGTGCCATCATCAACCAGACATCATTCGTATCACGATCATCGATCTCATCTTGGATCGCAACTCTATACCTACATTCTATCTCATGACGTACTCGAAACAGTATCGACGGCCTAGACAGGCCAGCACAATGCGTCATGTCTGAGACAAATGGAACGCCTAACCGACGTCGAGCCCGAGACGAGGACAACAACAACAACAACAATGTCGAAGATAGTGAAGGAAGAACTAGGAAACGAAGGGCCTTTCTCCAGACTATGGGCCAACAGCTCCGTGAGTTTGGTGTAGAAGGGACAAGCCCACAGGATCTCAACCGCAATACGTTCGGCGCAAGTCCCGGAACTCGTGCCCAACCCGGATTTCGTTCAACAAACACAGCAGCTAACCAGACCATGGTTGGGAATGTACAGACTCCCGAAAGCGATGCAGCACCTGGAGAGGATGATCAACTTCCGGCCGGTGCTGCCAAAAGTGCATCAAAATGGCTCTGGACCATTAACGAGGTGCTTCCACCGTCTGTGGCAGGGAATGCATCGTCATTAAGCTTCGAGGACCTCCTTGATATGAGTCAAAGCTATTTCGATCTTTGGCATCCGGCGTTCCCATTCATAAATGCACCTTCTCTCATTGATTACATACGTCGCATTACCCAAACAGGCCTACAGTTACCCTCATCATCGCCATCAGACAGCTTTTACAACATCATCCTACGATCAGTTATGTCTATTTCTGTCGCCGATCGGAGACAGATGCAAGCTTCGCGCAAGGTTCTGCCCTCTGCCCTCATCTTTCATTCCTTCAACGATGCTATCACCAGTATTCAGCTGGTGCTAACCGAGGAGAGTTCAATACTATCGCTCCAAGCCCTCGTTAGTGTTCAACTTTTCTTAATCACCATGCACAGATATAATGCAGCCTCGCGCTTAGAAGGATTAGCTGTCCGATTAGCTTTTCAGCTCGGCCTGCACAGATGTCCACATCGAACAACTTCAGTAGTGGACAAAGAGAGCGCATTACGTAAGCGCCTGTTATGGTCAATCTACTGCATTGATAGATACATATGCATCCGCCTAGGGACACCTCTTGGCATACGGTCCGACGAAATGGATGTATGCTTCCCGCATGACGAACGCCACAACGCTCGTGAAGATCAAGGTATGTCTTACTTTTGGAAGGAGTTCAGGAGGCACACCCTAATGGTTTGGTTCCAGAGCGTGATGACCGCCTCAATCTACTGGAGTTCCTAGCGCGACACGCAAGCATACGGGGTGCCATAATGGAAAATCGGAACAAATCGGCTCTCAAAGATGATTACAATGAAGCCGATAAAACTCTGGAGGTTGAAGCGGAGCACAACAGGTGGTGGAACACAGTGGATGAGTATCTCTCCGATGATGAAGGAGCACAAAGCATTACCAAAGCACATCAAGTCACATTGATTGTGCTACGCTTCGAATCCGTACTTGCACTTCATCGCTCTGTACTCGCCACATCAAAGAAGAACTCCGCGTACAATGCTGCACTCCAAAGATGCATTTCGGCCTCGAGGTCCATCATCAACACGTTACACAAAGCACTCAGAGGGTTCGGCGCTTTTGACGGCTCACCGGGCCAGAATGGATACGAAAGCACACCACTTGTATGGCCTTCTTTCACCTGGGCTGTGTGGATGAGTGTGTTCATCGTCGTATTCGCTGCTTCTGAAGGACAGTTTGCGCGTGATACAGCGCTGCGCCTTGCGGATCGAAGTGTGCAAATACTCCAGCATCTTGCATTGAGAGGGACAAGTTGGCCCGAAGCTTGTATCACTGCCGTACAAAATCTCACAGCACGGCTACGTGAAGGATCCACATGGAGCTCTACAGTTGCGCCAGCGCCTGCACCAGAGCGAAGGGACACCACAAGCACATCGTCGGTCCATATGCAGAATAGGAGTGCAAGCCGTAGTCGAGGTAACTTTCCAGGCTTATCAGGACACATCACACCCCGAAATACCATGATGCCACCAGGGCCACCTCAAATTTCCCCAAGTGTTCCAGCACCTACGTCTCAGGATATGACCAATAGCGACGCATACAGCCTCCTCAATCCCTTTGCACCTTTGCAAGCTCCAGGTATGGGAAACGCGGCGAGTGCATATCTGAGCGGTGCAGGCACGTTTCTTGGAATTGCACAGCAGTCATCCGATAATCCCATGCCGAATGATGATATTGTGCATCTATTCAATGGCGAAGACATGGGGTTCTGGTCTGGCGGAAATCTTGGCTATGGTGGAAACTTCGCTTTTCAAGATTAAGGCTGACATTGATTCAAGCTCTATAATAACACTTCAAGAAGACAAGACACCAAGCGACACTCAACCTGACTTGGGTGCAACGACTTTTCCTAATGACGCAGACTTAAAGGCGGCGTGAATTTCTTGCTCAGCACCATCTTGCAACGGCAATAATCCACTTCTTACGGTGGCATGCTCCAGGATGCCACGAGCGACCAGACCGTGCTTGAGCGCAACGGTACCCTCCATGTGTGATCCGCGGTGGTAAACGTTCCTCGTTACTGGTAGAAGTCTGTCGTGGACTGCTCGTGCGCGTGGGTAGTCGCGCGCCTTGCCGGCCTCGATCATCTCAAGGAGCGGCTCAGGTGCAATGCTGCCATACCCGACAAGCATACCGTCGACATCGAAGCAAGTGTGGAGAAGATACTCGTCGTGGCAAGTCAAGATAGTGAGATCTGGGTTCTGTCGCTTTATGATCGGGATCTCGACGTCCCATCGGCGCATGTTGCGTACACCATTCTTCATAGCGATGACACCTGGCTGCGCCGCAATCTCTAGAAGCGTTTCAAGGTTGTAGGTCGCCTTGGTGTTGTCGGGATATTGAAAGAGGATAAGAGGAAGACCCGACTTCTCGTACACTGTCTTGTACCTGTCCTGGGGCGCTACGGTAGTTGTTAGCACAATTGTACAGCATTCCGAAGACGTGGTAAATATACCTCCAGGTTGGTATCCGAACCGTAACCAACCATGGGATGGGTACAGAAGTCCTGCCTGCGCACCAGCGGCCTTGGCACGCTGGGCTTCCAACGCAGCAACTTCGGTACCTTCTGTGGTGATACCAGCGATAATGGGAATCTTATTGTCAACGGACTTGACGAAGGCCTTGATAACATCGACTTGCTCCTCTTGGGTAAGGAAAGTACCCTCGCCAGCATGGCCAAGGACTACTAGCCCCTTAACACCAGGAATGCTGCCGAGCCATGAACCAAGACGTTGGATTGCAGCATAATCAACCGACCCATCGCGGTTGAATGGAGTAACTGGTGCAGGGACAAGACCGGCAAGGTCGATCTTGGGAGCGGGCTGGACTTCAGGCATAGAACCCATGATGTTGATTTTATTTCGAGTGAGGGAAAGTTAGTGATGGATGGGAGAAAATGTGATAATGTATTCGAGTTGATGACAATTTTTCTAAACTGTGAGGGCCCTCGCAATATATGCTGTGTCGCAGTCGCATCATTCCTATGTTAGCTGCACCGATTCGCTACTATCATTGCCGTCTCCATGTGCTTGCGACTCACCCCGACTTCACCCAACATGCGGGGGAGCGCTACACGGACTTTCTCAAGCCCGCCCTCAAACCGTCCACTCATCTTCTCCGCACTTCCAAATGAGGGATGGAGGAGGTATTTTCCGACTATCTAGCAACGCTATGGGCCCGGTGTTGACATTGTCCGACTAGTGCAGCCACGTGAGGGGTGATCTCCGCATCCCTGGAACGGCAGACAGCCGACGGGCTTCCCAGTAGAATGGCATTACCACCCGCCGTGCTAGTCGTCCTAAAAGCTCGGGCCAAAAGCCTTCTCCCGCCGCCTGTCGTTCATGGCCTTCGCAACGAGCCCTCTGGGGTGTGGGGTAAAAGTCCGGGGACGTAATATCTGGGGAACGTTCCTCCAGCTTCAATATATGAGGAAGAACGATCCCCTGCACTAGCAATGAACGCTCTCGAAAAAGACTGAGGTAGTTAACATCAGTCTCAAATATGGCTGCTACCGACGTTCACAACACCGACCCTGAGAAGAACTCGACTCTTCATGTAGACGACATTGCGTCTGAAAAGGACCTGAAAGCCGACAGGCCTGTAGACGGAGCAGATTATTCTGGTGCTGTTGCGAAGACAGACCCAGCTGAGATCGCGCTTGTGCGCAAGCTCGATTTCCGGATTATGCCAGCTCTGTTCTGTATGTACTTTCTGTAAGTGGATAACATTACCACCAAAATTATCCAGCAACCCTAACACCATCTAGGAACAAGCTCGACCAGAATGCCATCGCCAATGCGCGCCTCAATGACTTGGAGAAGGACCTGGGCTTGGTCGGTTCGCAGTACAACACCTGCATCTCCATCCTCTACGTCGGCTATTTGTTCGCACAAATCCCCTCCAACATGATCATGTCCTCCAAGAAAGTCAGGCCCTCACTCTACATGGCTAGTTGTATGATCGTCTGGGGAATTGTTGCCACTCTCACTGCGCTTGTTAAAAACTACACTGGTCTTGTCCTCGTCCGATTCTTCCTCGGTTTCGTCGAAGCACCATTCTATCCTGGCGCCCTTTACATCTTGTCTCTCTTCTACACTCGTAAGGAGATCGCCACAAGAGTCTCCATCCTATACGCGGGCAACATTTTCGCCGTCGCCTTTGCAGGCTTGATTGCAGCAGCAACCTTTGCCACGCTTGATGACAAGCATGGCATGCGTGGATGGCAGTGGCTCTTCATAATTGAGGGTAAGAAGCAACATAAGCGAGTTGGCTTGAGCTGTGCTAAATTTTGTACAAGGTATTGTCACTATCGGTATCGCCGTAATCTGCATCTTCATCCTTCCCGACACTCCTCTCACCACAAGATGGTTAACGCCTGAACAACGCCAACTTGCACATGACCGTATCGAAAGAGACACCGTTGGCTTGAAAGAGAGCAAGGGAGCACGAGCCGGCTTTATGCAGGCTCTTAGAGATCCAAGGCTTTATCTGTTGGTCTTCATGCAGAACATGCATTTGAGCGCCACATCCTTCAACCAGGTTTGTGCGCTAGAAAATCATCACCCGGTCTTTGCTAACGACTATCCCTAGTTTTTCCCGACTGTTGTGAAGTCACTTGGCTTCAACACCACCATCACTCTCGTGCTCACAGCACCGCCTACGCTCGTCGCCGGTGCCGTTGGTATCCTAATTGGTATCTCTTCCGGCAAGTTCAACGACCGGACATGGCATATTACCGTCATGATGGGAATCGCCGTCGTCGGTTTCCTCATCAGCGCAACAACACTCAACATCGCTGCACGCTATGTCTCATGCTTCCTCTTTGCTTCCGGTGTATATTCAGTTAACTCCGTTATCTTAGGGTGGGTATCTGGTACGCTCGGTCAAACACCAGAGAAGAAGGCTGTGTCATTGTCTATTGTCAATGTGGTGTCGATGGCTAGTTTCATCTACACTCCATACTTGTACCCGAAGAGTGATGGCCCGAAGTATGTTATTGCGATGAGTAGTAACGCTTCTTTTGCGGCGGCGAGTATTGCAGCTGCTTGGGCGCTCAGGATCTGGCTGCAGGTACAGAACCGCAAGTTGAGCAGGGAAGGTGGTAATGTGTTCTATGCCTACTAAGAAGGCAGTTCTGGGAAAGCAAGGATAAGATTTGATGACATTAATGCCATAGGTCAGGCAAGAGTTGCCCATAATGTAGCATAGTAATCCACGTCAAAGTGTGCACTATTCGCTGCAATATTTCAACAAACACCACATAAACAGAATTGTACCAATTCAAGTGGCCGATGATGCTCATTGAATGCCACTCTCGAGACTTTTTGACGCCCATATCAATGCATCTGAGATTTTGGATGCAAAATACATCCTCTTCTCAAAGCTCTGTTTCGAAATGACCATTGCACCGCGACCACCATAGAGTTATATGGCCCATGTTTGCGTACAGTGGCAGAGCCAGACATATGACTGGAGCCCTTATTATTTCGAGAAGACGGGAAATCATACATCGTGAATACACCATGTGGTTTTGGTTGGAGTGGCAGAAAGGACATGTCCCGTCCGCATATTGATTTTTGAGTGTTTTGAAGAGAAAATTAGAGAGACCCAAATGGCGAATTTATACTCGATCGCTCTCTGCAGGTAAAATAGCAAATAGACACCTTGACCAACTCCAAAGCATTCGATTTCGGCCATGGTTTTTGTTATGCAGCTCAAGCGCACATGTAACGCATGAACATTATTGTTTTGGTAGATGCATACATCCAGAACAGTAGTGATTCCTCATAGATACAGCATCTCAAATTTTTGACCCGTTCAGCTCAACTGACACATCGAGATTCGATATGGGTTTTTGGGTATGTTGAGAGCAAAGGTCAGCCGCGAGAACATGCGTAAAGATCTTCGCCTTTTCGACGGCGGAAGAAGACGACAACATACTCAACCAAGTTGAGCATTTTTTGAGATAACTGGAAAAGTTTGGTTTTGGGAGACAGAAGGACAGAAGCCAGACTTTTAAGGACTTTATACGTCGCCAATCATCACACGTCTCCTCCTCAACGCTTTTGGAAACCCAGCGTCATCATCCAAGTCGAGAAGTAGTCTGACACACATATTTGAGAAGTGGCACATGGTCGCTTGCTACGATACTTATGAGCTTTGGCCTAGGGGGAAAAAATACATTGGATGGTTGTATTCTTTTAGTGGAATGAGGGCAGAGAAGAAAGAAATGCGAATATTCGTTTCGAGTTTTCATGATGGCCACAAAAAGCTGGCCAGTCTTCATGAGTTGTCGTCGAATGGTTTTTAGAGAAAGAGACAATGCGCATGGTGATAAAGATTGACACTGGAAGGTAGGACGGGGAGGTTTAAATAGACGCCTGAGCGCGTTAGCGGAGAGATTCGAGAATCAAAAGTCGCGTCAGAGGAGCGTATGTAAAACCAAAGAGAAGTCTAAGAATTCATAATGTTACAAAACGTATGCAAACGAAAAAGGCCGTTTGCACAACGCACACATCCACATCGCATAGCCCCAAAAGTTCCAATCAAACCCAGCGCTTCCAGAATAATCAGGCCGAAGCCAGTATGTCCCCAAAACAACTCAATCAAACGAGGCCGAAGCAACCACATACCCAAAGCACCCAACCCCTCAAACTCCGATCCCCAGCTCCTTCCTCTTGATCCGAGCAATCTAAAACCAATAACTCTCCCCACTCCTACTAATCTCAAAAGCACACCCCAGCCCTTTACCCGCCTCCTGCATCTCCCTCTCCCCTTCCTGCAACTCCTTCAGAATCTGATCGCCCACAAGCGGGCCATCGCAAAACGTGTCTTTGACGTGTATAATCACGACCTTGACGCCTTTGAGCGGCGCCTCCAAGGCCGCGGCAAGAAGCGCGTGGTTGTGATCTGCCGAGACGTTTGACAAGTTCAAATCCGCGGGCGCAGAAGTTTGTGAATGCAAATGAGGAATATGGGGATTCGGCGTGTTTGTACCCGTGACATCGCGGGAGTAATCCGTCATCCCGTCGTCGTCTGTATATGGCGCTGTAGTCTGGAAGGGGGTATCGATGCCCTTGGCCATATGGATAGTTTTTGCCTTGCGCTCGTTCAGCGGGCTGTCGAGATGCAAAGCGTCGGTTTTGATCGCGCGTTTGCGTTTGCGGGTCTGTCTTGCTTCTTCTTTTTCGCGCTCGTATTCTTTTCTGCTTTCCTTGACTTTGCTGGCGAGTGATTGGAGCTCGGCGAGGAGGTGGCGTGGGGAGAGGTGCCCGAAGAGATCGGCGTCTTCGCGGGAGTTGGTGTAGCTGACTTCGATGAAGATGCCGGTTAGGATGCCGGCGGCTATTTTAGGCGCGGCTTCGGTCCAGATGAGGGCGTTGCGGGGGGAGCGGGATATCGAGTCTGGCTCGACGTCGCCGAAGATGAGAATTTCGCGCTTCGGAGTCGTGAGTGTCGATTCGGTGCGGATGAAGAATGCTGTAGAGTCAACGACACAGCGAACCGAATGAGCGGACGAGCCGCCGCCACTTGCTCTTCGTCCTGGGTCAGGGAGACCACTGAAACCTGGAGTTCCTGGAGCGCTTTGCGTTGGTAGAGAGAAGCTCAATGATCGTCCTTCAAGACCGTCTCCATTCGAGCCTTGGTGGTGCGCTGCCACTAGATGCTGGAACCCCGGTGTTTCTGGCAAGTTGACGGTTGATGCGCGATGTAGAGCTGGAGACATCATACAGGTTCCGTGGCTGACTTTAAAAGCCTTGGCACTTAGTCCATCGCATACCTCGATGAAGCCTCTCCCGCTGCCTTCGCCCAAAGCACTATTACCGCCTTCTGCTAGTCGCTGAAACGTGACTAGGCCAACGCCACCCTCTTCGTCTGTCAAGTTTGGCCACGTGACATTGTTGAAGTAATGCGCTTTTAGGGCATCGACAACAAATTGTAGGGCCGCTATCCGCTTCGGTCGCTGGAAAGCCGCCGTGTTCTGGACCAGACCCGAGACATGATCGAGATGTGGATGTGTGATGAGATATGCAGAGACATGTTCCCGTACAACATGCATCGCATTGGCTCTTGCACTTGCATGTGGAAAAGGCAAACCGGCAAATGCACCCTCCTTCAGCGTCGTAATCGTGGCGGGTACCTCCTGCTCAGAAAACGGCGTACCGACCTCGGACTCGTCGTCCGTTAGCTGTATGTTTGCTGTCGCCGGCGACGATGAGTCTAAAATTCTTCCAACCCCATTTGGTGCAGGCCGGGGGCAATCTCGATGCTGAATCAGAGTCGGCTACGAGCGGGAAATCGCGTTTGAGAATGCGGATAATTGCTCCAAGATGGGTACCTGCATCAACGGCTATAACCGAGTTCTTCGACCAGTTCGTGGCCGTGGATCGAACCAGAAACCCCGTGACGTTGTCTTCGCTGGGTCCACCTCCAGATCCCTGTATATGTGAGCATGACACCTCTGGTAGCAACCTGAATCTTCCATCTCGAGGATAGATGATTATCCAGACAGTTTTTTTCCGGTTCAACTTACCAAACATATCACCTGAATAGCAGGCTCATTTGAGTTTCCAGAGCTTCTCCGGACTTCTCTCCCATCATCCCTCATGCCCGCAACCTCTCACTCCTTCTCTTCTTTCAGGACGGAACACAGATCTCCCCGCGTTATGTCTCAGCCTCTCTTACAGATCTGTCGCAGGGAAACGACGTGACTCCGATTCTTTGGGACTCAGAAAACCAAAATTCCGCGCTGCTGTCTTTTCTTGTCACCGGACAAACGACCAGACAACCACCTCTTCTTAACCCGCGCAAACGTCCGCGCAATCACGCCTCGATCGCACAAGCCAGATCACCTTTGCGCAACCCCGATCCGCAACGCAACGCAACGCCCCAAGTCTGAGTCCTTCGACCCCGTTCTGGTTCTGTTACACCGCGTGAACCGCCCACTTTGCCTGCGCGTACCCGGTCGACGTAACCGCTGTTTTCTTAGCCCCCGAATAAAGCCAAGTAGTCCCCAAGCACAAGCTCTTTCTATCCAGTGTGACCCAAGCGCGAAGATGAAGCTTTTCCGTAAAGTTATGTGTTTTGCGCCAGGGTGCACGCGACACAAGTGACGGGATCCAAGCAACCTGCGCGCGTGTGCGTCGTAGGATTCGGCCCTTGCGTTGCTTGCTTGCCTTGTCCTTGTTTGTGCCGTGCGCGTTTGGTCCAATGACTAAAGCTCCGAGAGACTCGCCGCCACGAACCGTTTGTTCGTTGTGGAAAACTCGGTAGACTCTCAACGACGAAAAGAAAAAGATTTGAACAAAGATGAAAGCGGATAAGGCCCTCGTTTTCCAAATTCAGAGGCCGCCGAGGTGGTGCCTTTTCTCTAAGCTTGTCGGCGCGAGCAATGGGGACAGGGCCTTGGTGCAGCCAATGGGGTGTGGGAAGCGACCAATCAACGGGGACGCCACCACAGTGCTCCGCGGATTCGAGAACGGTCGAGGGACAATTCTGCGAGGACTCGACGGCGGCTGAGCCGAGACCTGAGGCCTGAGACTACACGTGATGCGCGATGTGTTGGACAATTCACACTTACCGCTTTCCACGCGTAGAGTGTGGAGCATGCATACGCACATACCACATGTCATGCACGTCAGACAACTATGTGGGGTCATAACGTACAACTCTGCGTCATATCATGGAGGGGTGTTTGGTTGAGCATCGTGGATATCTCTTTAGCATTTTCAAGCCTCTATATCCGGGTCGTCACTGAGATCACTGATCTACAAAGGTGACCCAATTCTGTTCGTGAACACTTCCATCCGTACCCATGCCCATTCCAGATCATAAATCATCCGCTTCGTAAATGAACTAATCAACCCCGTTTTGAAGAAAAAGCGTCTACTTGAAGACCTTGCCGTCAGCCCAGGGGTACTCCTTGCCGTCGACGACGATGGGCTTGTCCCACGACCACTGGTCGTTGACGAACTCCTTGTCCTCGGCCTTGGTGGGGTCGAGCTTGGTGAACTCGTAGCTCTCGTAGTCGGGAGCGACGTCGAAAGCGGGGAGAGCCTCCTGACCGCGGACAAGGAAGGCACCCTTGATGACGGAGTTGTTGGACTCGCCGTACACTGAAGTGCAACCGAAGAGGTACTTGCGGCTGCCCTCGAGACGGGCGAAGAAACCACCTGAGCTGGTTAGCTATGTGCTTGTGAGAATAGTAGATGTTCGATACATACCAATCAAGTTGGAGGTCATGAATGTGAGGGTCAACTCGTCGTTGTACTTGTAGTCGACCTTGTAGAGAGAGTACTCCTCGAAGTTGACGTTCTCCCAGAACCATGGAAGGGCAACCTCGCGGGTCTCCTCGTTGGAGTACTTGCGCTTCCAGTCGTCAAGGACGAATGTGGCACGGGGCAGAGCCTCGAGAGGGTGCTTGGGCTTGGGAGCAGCAGGGGCCTCCTCCTCTTCCTCCTCGGGCTCCTCCTTCTTGGGCTTAGCAGCCTTGGGGGCGTCCTTCTTCTTCTCACCACCCTCCTTCTTGGGTGCAACGTTCTTCAACGCCTCGGTGATGAACTCAAGCTTACCGGCAACAGCGCTGTAGCTGGCCTGGTTGCAAACAGTCTCGTACCATCGAGTGACGTTGGGGTTCGAGTCGCGCCACTGCTTGTCGAAGAAGTACTGGAAACCGCGAGCGATGATACTAGCGGAGAACAGATCGGCAAGAGTCAGGCGCTCGTTGACGAGGTATGTGTGGGTGAGCAGGTGCTCCTCAAGAACGTGAACGGCCTTGAGAGCGGCCTTCTGTGAGTCCTCGACGTTCTTCTTGTTGTAGGGGTCACGACCGAGGATGGGACGGAACCAGCCACCGAGGGGGGTGAGGATCTCAGTGTTGGCAAAGGACATCCATCGCAGGATGGTGGCGTAGTCCTGCTTGGTCTTTCCAAGGAGGCTGGTCTTCTCGTTCTGCGAGGCCACTGTGGTGCGTCAGTGTGAGTCACCGCCTAACTTCAAGACAACAGCAGAGATGCCACAATAAATATAAATCAGAGTACAAATTTTCAACAATAGTTTTCAGACAGGGATAACTGTATGATATATCTCATCCCTTTACGCGGAGGAAATGGGGAGTGCGGGGCACTTACGATAGACAGCGATGGCAATGCACTCGGAGAGAACGAAGCCGTCAGCGCCCTCGAAGGTGGGGACCTTGCCGAGCTTGTTGAGCTTCAGGTACTCTGTTGAGACACCCTTCGCAGGCTCAGTGTCGACAAACTCGATGTCGAGCCCGTTCTCCTTTGCGACCGCGAGGAGCGATGTGGTGCGCGGGTTACCCTGTTGGCAGCTGTTAGGCGGGGTTCTTTCGAATGTACACATGTCGCGGGCCTATGGATGACGTACCGAGTAGCTGTACAGCTTTCCGAAAGACATGATTGCGTTCTTAACCGTGGTTGAGAGATACAATCAAAGTGTTTGCGGGTTTGGGTGAGAGAAAAAGGTTGTTTGGGTCGAAGTGGGGGATGAGGCACCGCCCAATGAAGGTTTTTGTTCTGCGCAAATTAGTTTCGCCGGCTTGGCACGTGCACCGGCGCCTGTAGCAAGCCCATCACCGACTGCGTTCAGGGCGCCAATTGTACGTTTCGATCACTACCGGAGGCGACATGGCGAGCAGAGAGCTGTCAAGGAGTTTGTGGAGGGCCGTTGAGTGCCTGGGAACCCGATCACGACCGCAATGCGAACGGACGATTCGGCGAGCTCAGAAGAGCGTCCAGCCCAGGATTTCGCGATGCATCTCGACAACGGCTTCCCGAGCCGCTGAGGTCACAGAGGAAAGACAGGACCCGTTCTCAGCCGCACCGCCAATCGATTTCGACAATGCGGATGGAGCATCAGGGGGCAAGAGCAGCAAGAACATACTGCGGACACTGCGCGTCGTGCCAGCATCGCCATCCTACTTCAGCGCAAAGCCTACCTTCACAGACGATTTCCTCTCCCTCTCGGCGCTGCTCCGAAAGGTTGCGACTCTCCCCACGATATCGCCCGCCGAAGCGCCCAAAGTCGCGTGGAAGACGATTGACCAATACCGCATCATGACCAACGAGCCCGTCAAGACACAGCGCTATCACAAGATGCTACACATATTACGGAGGCTGAACTGCATCCATCCGAAGTTGATGCCCAAAGAGGTTTCGCAGGCGATGCTGCGGTACAAGAAACCCAACCAACCTGGTGACATAAAACCAAAGCCTGGGGTTATAGACGAGCTCGGCCGGGCCAAGGGTGTTGGGCGGAGAAAGACCTCATCAGCCGTTGCCTGGCTCGTGGAGGGCGAGGGTGAAGCCTTGATCAATGGCAAATCCTTGTCGCAATTCTTCGGACGGTTGCACCACCGCGAGAGCGCTGTGTGGGCATTGAAGGCCACCAATCGGCTAGACAAGTACAATCTCTTTGGACTGTCCCAAGGCGGCGGCTTGACAGGTCAGGCAGAGGCCATGACACTGGCTGTAGCAAAGGCATTGCTGATTCACGAACCGGCGTTGAAACCCGCCCTGCGACGAGGTAAGTTGACGGTATTTTCTTCTTCTCGCGCTCTTCCCGCAGATGTTATTCTTGGTGTTCTTATTGCTTTTCGGCCTTGGTTCCACAACCTGGTCACCCCACGTGAGCGCTTCACACATGTTTGAAAGCGTTCCCCAGAGACAAAGCAACCCTGCTTTTGAGACAGTCGGAAACTAACTGATCGGCAGCCGGTTGCGTGACTCGCGACCCGAGGAAGGTGGAAAGGAAGAAACCAGGCCATGTCAAGGCCCGCAAGATGCCTACCTGGGTCAAACGTTGAGGATCGCTATACATGTACATCATCTTCTGTCATCCTCTATCGCGCCGATTGGCGTTTCCTGAATGTAAATCGAGTTTGCATATTGAGAAACATGGTACGATTTGACTAGCGCATATGCATTTCGTGAATGTATACCCACCTGCTATTACGACCACTGTAAGCGTGGCTGGTAATGCACATTCTACATTGAGACATGTTTGGCTTTTGTATGGTATGCCTACCTCGTCTGGGTTATTTTGAGGCGCTGTCGATCATGACAGATCATTGTTCGAACGTGTCTAATCTTCGGTTTCGAGAAGAATGTCCAATTTTCAGGGCGACGAATGAGACTTGCCGTGAACCCCAAGCGAACCAGTTGGGGGTCTATCTGCAATGCCTCGGGGGCTAGTTGTATCATGTCAGACAGGGCTGTTAACACGATCCTGCACGTCGACAATCTGTCACAATGCATGCTGTCGCACTCGAAGCTTGGCAGCTCGCTTCCGCTTGTGTCTCGCCGAGGCGAACTGAAGGTTTGGAAATTGTTCCGATGGAGCAATAAAACAGAGACAGCGGAGCCTTATGCCGTGACATTGCATATCAAACACCTGGCCCGCAGCTGAGGTTGGATTTGAGTGTTGATCAGGTTCTCGCTAAGTTCCGGTCTCGCTTTGATCCTTGCGTCGATGTCAAGCTTCGCGCTCGCTGCTCGCGATCTGGTCTGGAGATGAGATCCCGGAGCGAGTGTACGTGGTGGTCATCTTCCGGTGGGTCAATCACGAGGATAATGTCGTGGAGCACCACTGCCAGATATTGTAAGACGTCGGAAAAAAAACCTGGGATCTGTCCCGCGGCGTGAACACGACCGCAAGGCGGAAGGCGGACCAACCAGGTAATCTGTCATGCCACAGTCGCATACGGTGCTACTCAACGTCTCGTAGTGGCAGTAGGGGTCATTACCTGGTGACCGCAGCCCTACCGGCTAAAGCATTGCATGCAGGGGACACAAACTGAAAGTTTATTCCTCTGCTCGAAATAGGTATCGGAGGACCAGGGCAGTTCGAGCATCGTAACAAGGCCGATACGGATACGCGCTATTGCAACAATATAGCATTTCGCATGTCAGCACGAAAACGTTTGCGAGTCGTAATGCGGCCGAGCGGTAGTGGCTGCTGACGGTGGATTGGCCATCCTTCTAGAAGCAGAGGGTTGTTCGCCGTGGGCCTTCTTCATCTTACGTCGACCGTGGTGTGGGGCACGGGCCACCGGGTGGTCGATGGTTTGGTCGATGAAACAGAATTGCTCAGAGCAGCCCACGTTAGGGCGGACACACAGACGAGATGCGTCATTCGAGCGCCGCGTTCGAGAAGGTTGCAATTTGCAAACGCCCCTGGCGGGGCCACGTGAGGGACAATTCATCGCGTAGCCAGGTATCATGGCAAGAAGAATGGTGGCGCACAGTAGGGCCGCAACTTTGTCAGTCCGTCCAATGGAGACAACAAACGTCACGAGGGTGAGGATAAGGGTGAGATGGCGGTGCACAGACGCAGGAGTCGCAGCGCTGGGAGCAGGACGAGAGGAGAGGTCAGCGGGCGGAGCCAATGGACAGAGACGGCAGCAGAGGCCGACACGCTGCCGCTAGCACGCAAATCCTGCTAGGCTGGAGACGTCTGCTGGAGGAGCTTGCCGAGGTCGCGCGATGTGGCAGAGAACTACTCCATGACGAGGCAAGTCTTAGGTAGTCTTGGGCAGATCGACAGTGAGGCTGTGGGTGGAGCGATCGTCCTTGCGCCATGCACCCCTGCCAGTTGCGGGATCTCGCATCCTGAGATGAGAGTCCTGACCAAAGCTGTCCATGCTGTACCGAGATTGCCCCTGACGCCCTTCACCAAGACCACCGACAGCACCGGACACCACCAGCCGCCGCTGCAGCGTCCACCGACGACAACGCATGAAGCCCTCAAAGTTCGATAGTGGTTTGATGATTTGGTAGGTAGCAAACGAAGAGCCCCGGCCGCGAGCCGAACAACGTGCTGCATGAAACATGTTCGCGACGAGCCAGGAATCCGCTGGTTATGCTGCTGACGCATCTGGTAAACACTGCGGTGGCAGCAGGGGAGCCCAACAGCGCATGTGCGAAGAAAACAGTAATGGTTGGTATCTGACAGTTACGTGCGGACGCCGTCTTTGTCTACAGCGCGACCTGGACGGGATAGTCCCAGAAACAGCGGCTGGGCGACATTTCGCCGCCATAAAGCCGTGCGGGGGGCGGAACTCGCCATCTCAGGTTGCGTGTCGAGGAGAAGGATGCCTGAGAGAGGGCGTCATGTGGGCGTGGATGCGCTGCTGCCCGCCAGCGCTCGCAGACAGTCCCATCAGTCAACCACAGGCAGCCAGACGCGACAGGCCCTGCAGGAATGGTTGCCCAGCCTGCAGATCCACAAGGCCGATCTTCTAACCATGGCGTCCAGGGTATTCCTAGCCCCGCCGTCTCTTCGGAAATCGGAAACCTCGCAGGGACGCTGTCATCCGAATCCCACTGAGACGCTCTCACTCGCCAGCTGCCAGCCCGCCCGGCGTGCAGCCACACCCACTCTTCAGGTACCTAGCTAGTCCGGCCTCACCACCCCTGGTTCAGGTATTTACAGACAGACTGTTCGCCGGCGTGGCGCTTTGGCGTCTTCTTTTTTGCTTTCCACGCACTGCCTAATGCTCTCCCAATGTGGCACTTCTGCGCCCTCACTGCAGCCCGTTTCCCATCCTTACTGCTACCCCAGTCTACTTGCACATCCCCCACCACTATCCCCTCGCCCAGAGCTGTTCCGGACGTCTGCCCTGGACTGCCGCAGCTCCACGTCCACCACCCCCTCCGCTTGTTTTGGTGACGCTCTCTGCACGGGCTCGTTCCCTTGGGTATTGCCTTAAAGGTCGTCTGTCCTCCCTCGTGTGGGCCCCTGTGTAGGCTTGCCAATTTGCTCACACTTGCTCGTCCGTCGCACTTGTCTCCGGACCGAACGCTTCGCCTTCACTCTGCATCATCATTGCTCCCACTGCCAGTGTGCGCACCTGACAGGAACTCGTGAGCAGCGCCAGTGTACGTTGGGGCCGTTAAGCTACCGGAACGCAGACGTTGAGCTGTTTGAGACGATCTTTTAGTTTGGTAGCTTACTCGTCCGACTCGTGGCAGTGGTGAGGATTTGCAAGGTTCATCCTTCAAACATCTCACACACAAGTCTCGCCTCACATCCGACGCCCATTGGAGGCCCGTCTCTGCGCGCTTGTTGCTGCCGGACCATCTCCTGTCATTTCGTGGCTGCGCTTCTAGCACGCACGCTTCTTCGAGAGCACTTCCAAATCGGGACGGCGCATTCCGGTTTCTTTGCTCCAGTGCCAGACATCCTCGTCGCGACGAAACGAGGGTCCCCTGGGAGAGCCACACGCGTCAGCGACCGTTTGCGCCAGCTAACTATCGAGGCATTGGGCTCCATTGGTGCTGCGGTAGGCTGCTGGGGTTGTGTTTATATCCATCTTGCGACGCATCGAGCATCGAACATCCTCGCACCACCTCCCAATTCGGACGACACTCACTCACCACCAGCACCTCGAACCACTCGGCTCCCTTCAGTCTCTTTCTCTTGTACCTTCACTCCAACACTCCACAAGTTTCTCAATCAGCATCGCGACCCACTTCACCCCACCATCGTCACCTCTCCGACTCTTGCGCCGCCCCTCCATTGCTGTCTCCGCCATACAAAGTGGCTTCCTACACGACGCCGCCAGAATCGCCCTTGGGGTCCCGGGCTCTCGAACCGCCGTTTAGTCTGCAGCTCAAGAGCCGACTGGGTGGGATGGAAAATGGACGTTACGCAAGCCAGCAAGGCACGCGCCTGCCGTCCCAGGCGTCATATCCCGTGGTAAGCGCACCCGATCGCTACAGGCACGCGCCCTTGACTCCATCTGCCCCGCCTGTGTCTGCCAGCTCAGCAGGCAGTCGCGCCAGCCCTTCAGCTTACGGTTATGCTTACGCCCACGGTTCACAGTACGGATCGTCGATCCAGCCCTCGCCCGTTCAATACGGCTCCCAAGACTACGGCACTGGACAGCAGCAGTCGCCGCAACGCGCACCGCAGCAGTACTCGCCCTATGGGCAGAGTGTCATGTACGGTGTGAGTGGTGCGCAAGGCTCAGCAACGGGGTCGTCGCAATATGAGCCTGTGGAACAGTACCAGCAAAACAGGGATTCGGCTATACAAGTCCTGAGCACCGGCTTTGGCGTCGCACAGGCGCCATTCTATGAGAGCGGTCCTACGAGTGCGCCTGCCTCTGCTCTTGCGTCCCAGAACGTTCCTTCACAGTACCCCTCTCTGGGATATACAGCATCGCAGGCTTCGGTCGGCCGAGAATCGCTTGCGCCCGCATTCACCACCGCAGGCATGACAGATCCCAGCCAGGCGACTGCTCACCCGGGTTATGCCCAAGCCAGTTACGGCGAGCAGCCGGCCGCCGGCAACGAGTTCGATGTCTTCTACAACCGTTACCAAACAGAGCTCAAGCGAACCTTTGAGCAGGTCCGGGACGGCCGCCTCAACGAAGCCGCGCAGCAGCTGTACATGCTCTCCGACTGGGTGCTGCACTATGCAGAGACACTGGGTGAGTTTCCTCTAACAGTACCATGTGGAACGAGCAGCTGAATTGACCACAGGCCTAGTTCGCGACGACGAGAACCACTACTCGCAGCGCCTCGTTCTATGGGAAGAGTTCAACACCTGTTGGCTCGCGACCCTGCAGAAACAAAAGGCATTCACCCAAGACATGATCAGCACTGGCCAGCGACCGCAGCCTCCAGTGACTTTGATAGACTATGACTTCCTCGAGAAAATGGGCACGCAGCTCGTGAAGCACTGCGACAACATGGAGAAGCACGGTCTAGTCGACTACCAAATGGGCGTTTGGGAAGAAGAAATTGTAGCCAGTACGTGCTCTCTCAAGATTTATCCTTCGACAAATTGCTAACTGCTTGGTAGTGTTGACCTCTTGCCTCGACCTGCTCGAGGAAGTTGGCGCCGGCTCCTCAGCACAGCGACCCACCTCGACATCACGGAGACGATGAGCAACTCATACACCCGCATAGCTGGATGGCTGACCTAGCCACGAGAAATCAGCTGTGCGATGCACTCGCGCCCGCTTACGACGCGATCCAACGCCCTTTTCGCAAACAATTCACTTCGTTGTGTACATTTATTCCATGCGTAGCCTTTTTGTGCATTGTTTCCTATTATACTACTACTATAGACGGCATTGGGCGCCAACACCTTCTGGACGATTTTCAGCATTACATTTCCTCTGTCATCTACCGAGCATGCCGCTCTTCTACGAACGAATCCGATTTGCATTGTAACGCCGCAGCATTCTTGCCGCCGCTATCGGTGCTTGCTCCATATCGGGCCACTATTACGCGATACAAGAGGAGGAGGCACAAAATCCTGCCGCTCCTCTTCGGTGGACACGGCTTGATGTGGAGTATTGTGCAGGGGTATGGGAGAGGAGTAGGAACGGTTGCAGCATTTCTGGGAAGAGGTATCATGGTTTCTTTTTCGGTCAAAACGAGTAATGCTGGGTTGGACAGGCCGATGCAGGCGTTGGTCATTAACCGGACGGGATTACGATAATGAATGGAGGAATGAGCTGGACGAACGGCATGTTGGACCCGAAACCGAGGCATGGAACCTAGCGGAACATCACCGGAAACACCCTTGCTCACGGCGAGCATCATCCATTGATGGCAGATGACAACACATCAAAAGACATGATCTAGGTCTGTCGATCATACCGCCTCACCATTGGGCGCTGCTCGTCTTCCGACCGAGCCTGATTAACTTGCCGCTGTCTATACAACGGTTGGGATCTCGGGCAATGGTCGAGGCAAGGAGGATGACTACCACCTGATTGGGCTGACAGGTCGGGCAGCACTGTAGCATTAGAATTGACTTAGTACCATAGACAAACTTTTTTACCATGTTAATGTGTTTCTCCATGGCAGATGGTTTTGCGTGGCAACTGTAAAGCTCGTATTCGGTCAAGGTACATTGTTGTTGTGCGACCCTGTTGTTGCTCCAGCTCGCCTGAGCTCGCTTTGGTGCTCTTACATGGGCCCTGGTCGCAGCGATCATCTCTTCGCCTCACAATACCAAACCAATTCAGCCCACCTCCGCCACCGCAGCCTCACATCTTTCGACAGCGCCCGCATGAGAGCGCACACGATCGGTTCCTTCTCGTCGGTCGCAATCGCAGGGCGTCGATTCAGCCGTGCAGGCAGCCGTATTGTTTCGGCATCTACATGGTTCACGAGTCAGAAGCAAGCAGTAGCGTGCGGCGTCTCTTCTGTCCAGAAAAGCAACCGCAAGCCACAACCGCGGAGCTTTTAGAACCGGATCGCCTGAGGTGGACCTGTTTCATCGGCCCCAATGGACGCCCTCCTGTTCATCACATCTCGTCACCGTGCATGGCTTGATCACTACCGCATGTGGACGGCGATCATATAGATCTTGTTATAGTTGCAGCATCTACAATATTGTGGGGTTACGCCTAGAGACGCACGACCTAGTGCGCATTGTCTCATATTGATCTTTGATGCAAGCGCATGTTGGTGTCGCAGGCCAAGATGCTTTTCGAGAGCTACGCACCGCATTGCTTCTGTCGCTCGCAGCTTTGCGGCCCCATCTTGAGGCAGACCAACACCACCACAGACGCTCCATGCCCCACTCGGCATGTCAATTGCTATATACAGCAGCAAATCTCTTACCGCGACAAGCCGTGGTCAATCACATTCCACTGACTGGCAGCCACAGCTGGACCTGACGCAGCCATCAACGCCGCCACCAATCAGCGCAGATCCTGCCCAAGGGAGACGAATCAAGATCTGCGTCGTCTCCAGAGCATCGGGAGCCTGCGGGACCGCGCTTGCTTGACCGCGGCACTCTTGCGATCGGCAGCATGCGCACACTGACACATGCGACACCACCAGCCATCTCGGCTTGTGATCACGAGGCGTCCGGCAGGCACAACATGGCTCCAGTCTTGGACAAACATCATGCGGTCGCGTTCGCTTTTCGCGCCTCTTGGCATTCTCCGCGGTGCAATCCTTTGATAGTGGACACATTACACCATGCATGCAAGGACGCGACGCTCGCGAGGACGTGCCCGCACACGCCCACCACCATCACGACCCGCAGTCAATCCTGAAACACCATGCCTGCGACGAAACAACCCCCAACCGTCGAAGCTTCTCAAACACCTTCTCGAAGGTGCGGGCGCGGATCTCGGCTCAGAACGAGATTTTAGATCCGGTCTCCACCAACCTTGCACGCCCTTTTTCCTAATGCGCCTGTCACTGCAATTACCCATTCCTGCGCGTGCGCGCTGTGTCTCGCGGTGCCGGGCTGTTGGGTTCTCGTTACTGGCTTTGCATGCAGCGCGCGAAGAAACGCCGGTTGCTTCAATGGATGTGCCCACCTGATCAGCTTTGGTCGAACAGACACGACAGCGCGCTCGGGGTGCGGAGAAGTCATGTCGTCCCGTTTTATTTCGTCGCACGCGGCAGATGGACATGGAGATGGACGATGCCGTGGTTTGACGTGCGGATGCAGTGTGTTGCGTGGCAGCCACACACCGGGCATAGCCGTGTCGTACTCGCGGTGCCTGCCCAGGTGGGACAGGTGCTTTTTGAAGTCTTGGGAGAGCATGCGGAATCTGCCTTGGTCTGACTTCGCTGTTAGACACTAACATGATGATGTTCCCGGAAGACACAAGTGCAGTGTATTGATCGGTCTTTCGGTGTCTGCCAGCGCCTGGACTTGTACTGAGTGTGCTCAAGAACATGTCGATCATTTTCCGATCGACGAACGTGATCGGCACAAGGAGCGCCATGCACTCATCAGTTGCAAGCACATGCAACCCCAGCAGACTCCTCACATGGACAAGCTTGCTGCGAGTATGTATAAGGGTCAAGGTAAGTATGGGATTGCAACGGCTTTTGTCCAAGCGACATTGTTGTTAGGGAAGGGCTGATTAAGTTGCGCTGATCTCCCGCTCGAACATGTATGGAGCACGCAAGCACCCAAACACATGTCTAGGAATATGACAGTAAACGCTCCTGACGTAGCACTCCTGCACATTTTCAATTCAAAGACCAGACAATGACGTTTAATTTATGAGCAATACCATGCCCTTTCTTTCATCTTAGTTCCTCATTGACCGTTACTTGTTACATTACCCATACACCCACCCCGTCTATCCGCACTACACTCCCATCTAAAATCACTCCTCATACCTCATCTACCTTCACTCTATCCGCCCTCCTGACGCACCCGCTAAACCTACCCGTCCCACCTCTCGCACATCCATCAAATTCCACAGCCTCAGCCTCTTCATCTTCCCAACCCGCTCCTTCCCTCAAATCCCACGCCGCTTCCAACACCACGAACTCGCTCGCCTCATTGTCCTGCACAATCTCGCCTAGATGTGCCCACTTAGCTGCCATCATGGCAGGGCAGAGTGCATTGTGACGCCGCATGAGGAGCGGGTTCATCGTCGACGCGGCGAACCTGTTGCCGTGATCAATGGCCGCTTGGTCAAAGTTGGCGTGTGGGAGCTTGGCGTAGCCGCAAGACGTGAACTGGATGGTTTGGAGCGAGGAAGTGCGCGCGGGGTCGGCGAGGGAGTGTGTCGAGTTGAAGTCGGTGAGGTTTGTGCCGGGCGAGATTTGGTCGATGAGCCAAGTCCATGATCCTTCGCGCGGCTCGGCTTGCAGTAAAGACTGAGGGTTGGCAGGCGGCTGGTAGGGTTGTAGAGGAGGTGGTGGTACAGGGGCAAGAAGATGCTGCTGCAATACTTGCAGTTGGGCGCCTATACCGGCTACACTGATTTGGGTTTGGCTGAGAGCCTGGTTCTGCTGTGAGAGTACTTGTTGATATGAAGAAGTCAAGTTTTGACCTTGTTGCTGTCCCTGTGCCGGGCCTGCAACTTGGTGCTGATTAAAAGCCTGCTGTTGATTTTGTGCTAGATTCAACAGTTGCTGGTGATGTTGGAGCTGGTTTACGCGCTGCAAGTGTGCTTGCACTTGAGCCGACAGGGTTGCGAAAGCAGCGATTTGCTGACCATTGCCCTGTGCTTGTTGCAAGTTCTGTATGATCTGCGTTTGTGCCGTGAGTGACTGAACAAGCCAATTTAGGACTTGGGCATTTGTCGGCTGAGGGTGTTGAGGCTGTGCTTGATTTGCGGCACCTTGTAGACCAGTGTTGTTATTCCAGGCATTGGCAGCACCACCTATGCCTGGGAGAGGCGCCGGAAGCGCCTGCATGAGAAGCGCAGCTAGGGGCTGAGCAGCTTGATTGGCGTTGCCATTACCCTGAGGCCTCAAGACTGCGGTCGCTGATACAGAGTCTAAAACCAGATGCTTCAGGTTCATGGCATCATGGATTTTGACGAACTGTAGCAACGTAGCAGGCGTAATCCAGCAATTTTCCAGAACCAGTCGTTCAACGTGGGGAAATCGAAGCAGAGCAGCTCGTAAATGATCCGCATCCGTTTCTGCAATCATCTCGTATAACGTGAAAGAACTGTTGGCAAAAGCCATTGGCATGAGTGGAGCAGGCATAAGAAGCTTGTTGCGCGCATGTAACCCCTCCGCGCGCTCTCCACCACCCACCCAACCAATTTTCAGGTCCTTGATATTTGGTCTAGTAGCGACGTGGTTGCTCATTAAATCGAGAAAAGTATCAAGACCGTTCACAGGGTTGATTCTCGGAGCATCCACAAATCCAGCTTCATCTTTGTAAACATTCCGCCAACCGGGTATCACCATGAGTGTCAGACTCTTCAGATTCGGCAAAGCGCTCCAAAAGTCCGGGCGGTTGAGCATCACAAGGTAGCGGTCAGAGAGCCTGGAGATATTCAGAGTATGGACAGGCGTGAATGTTGTGGGGTTATCGATAATGGAGAGCATGTACGAAGACATGAAGGCACGCTGAGCCCACTCAGTCTCAAGCAGCCATTCTTTCTGGGCTTTTGTGAGACAAGCGGGTATGACTGGACTCATGACTTGCGCGGCATCTGTTGGCGGCGACGTGGATGAGAACAAAACCCCGGTTCGAAATGCAGAGGGTTCCAAGACGAATCGGTCAAGCATCTCTGGCTCATCAAATGACGCTGGCAGTGACACATCTGCAGCATCATGAGGAATGGCTTCATGGATTAGTTGCGCATCAAGATATGGCATGGCTGGTTGTTCCTCTGCAAGCATACGAGCTTCGTCAACCTCGGCCAATGGTCGCGCTCCATCCAGTCGATACAGCGTCGCCAACTTTATGTCATCACCAGCAAGTTGGTGGCGTGCTTGGATGTACCGCCAAAGTTCCTGCTGTGCTTGTGCACGGCGATCGGGGACATCTTTCGACGTGCCAAAGACTGATGGCGATCTCCGCAATATACGCGCACGGATGGATCGGTCAGGGCCGTTGAGCCACCCAAGACCACTGTCGACGGACAATGCTAGCTCCTTGACCCTAGTAAGCTCGGAAAATGCCAACGTCATTCGTGGCGTCTCGTCTGCAGCCGTCTCAAGTCCGGCGACGGCATCGAAGCGACGGTACTCCTCGTAGGGCCAATCATAGTTCCCCCAAAAGCTTGTCTTACTCTCAGTCAGCGACTTGATGGGCGGTTGCGAAAGTGATTCTTCGTTGACTTCGAAGCTCATTCCGTATTGGAGGATATGCTGGCCGAATCCCTTAAAAACGTCCAGTCCATGACCATTGTATACTTCGTCACCATTAGCATTCCTCCACGAGTATCCTGGCTTCTCTCGTCTTGCCCGTTTCTTCCCTTTGAGATCCGGCTTCTGGCCCTGGGCCAGCATGCCATATATTTCAGTGTTGAACGGCACTACAACCGTCTGGAAAATAACTTGCGAGACAAAGTAGTTGAGCTCGCGGCTCACCATGCGAAGGGATTTGATGTCGTCACGGTCTAGATAGCTGGCGATAATCTCTACGAGCTCGACAGGTAGATCCCATTTCGGACGACCGAGAATATCTGGCTGCTTGTCTTTGCTCACTCTCTTCTTGCCAATGTTAGGGGATCTTCGCTTTGTCCGAGAGGCTTCAGGCAGGGATTTATCTTTATCGAGTAGGCTATATTGAGCGGGCAACTTAGCAGCACTGCGGAACTCGGGCCAAATATCGTTGGCATCTGGATCAGGCTTTGCATTACGATACTGCATGATGGCAACGGCACCTCGGTCGGTCAAGGTGCGAGGAGCCATATTCCCGTCGGTGCCCTCAAACCTGTCCCGCGATCGTTTTGAGGATCCGCTGCTCACGGCTCGGTTGAGCACACTGCGTACAGTGTCCAACTCTCGAATGCTATAACTACGTCGTGTAGATGCAGATGGTGAACTTGAGTTTTCGGCATGCATAGACCGCCAGGGATCGAGCAGTGTGTTGGCTGCGATGGCGTCTTCCGCACGTGCTTGAGCAACCAGTTCGTCTAGCGTATCGTGATCTAATGCAACGCCGAGATTGTCTTGGTATATGTACCGATCAGATGTGCCTGTATCTGCTGGTAGGCTTAGGTGAGACACGAAGTCGGCTGGTGAGGGCGAGCCTGTAGCCGAGTCTCTGCCTCCGCGATGGTTCGTCCGCATGAAGCGTGTTCGCCGAGTTCCCCCTAACGGTGTGAAGGATGCTGCAGCAGGATTCAGCGTCGTCGTAGTGGGAGCTGGGCCGGCGGCTGGAGAAGCGACACTTGATTGCGAGAGTTGCTGGCTGTTGCCTGCTCCGGGAAGTGAGTGTAGAGTAACATTTGAATTAATGTCGTCTCTAGATTCGAGAGGCGATGGCTGTAGCAAGTAAGTGCATGCTCGAAATAATCATGTGGAGTGTTTATGCTGCTTCGACGTACTGACACTGGCGTATTTGCTGCAGGCTCGCTGTCACTCAAGTCACTTTCAGGTGCGCATTCGCGGTAGGAGCGCAGCGTCCGGCGTCTTGTAGCCGAAGGGCCGCCTGTGACGCGGTACGGCGCTCTGCCATTGTCGCTCATGGTCGTGGTTGCTGCCGTCGCATTGACTTTAGAGGCGCGTCAGGAAGGAAAGCCTCGTCAATTTACGTGCCTGTATCAGCGTTTCTCGAGAGCAAATGGGTGTATGTCAACATTGCTCACGACCCACCATGATCAGAGGTGAGGGCGAGTGAGGTTTGTCGCGGAGGTACAGGTGAAGCTCGAACTGGCGTGCTGGACTTCTTTGAAGCTCGGGGCCCCGCCTGCAGCCGCTATGTCATCCGACCGCAGACCCACCACCAAACCAAACGCCCCAGACCCCCTGATCCACTTCCCGTAGCCTTGCAGCTGTGCCCTGCCGTTGCCACGACGCACCGCCACTCGAAACGGAACTTGGCAGCTACACCCATCTGGTCGCTTGTAGTGTGCTGTACTTCGTAGTTAGGCGTTCTGTGCCCCACTTGGTTTGTCCGGATCTGCAGCATCGACAAACATCAACTTCTTACTCCCCGTGCCTGCCAAGCCAGAACACATCACCATTTCGCGTCAAAATTTGTCCTCTTCAAACATCCCACAGCTTGTTCTACAGCTTCTCTTAACATGTCTCTGCTCGCACTGCCCCGTGAGCTGCGCGACGAAATCATCTCCTATCTCTGCCTCCCCTCCTTCGTTTACACCTCCAGCTCCAAGCCCAATACCGAGAATCTGCATCGTTCAAAAGTCCCAGCAAGCACATTTGTCGACACCAGAATCTACCTCCCCTGTCGCATCTCTCCAAACGTTCTAGGGGTCTGTCGTCAACTCCGCGAAGAATGTCTGCAGTACCACCGCAGTGCCATGAACGCTCAAACCGACACATCAAAAGATGACGGAGGTCCAACGACTAGTAATGTCCTAGCTGAACGGCTCGGTCAAGAAGTCGACGAATGTGCTGAACGGATTGGTGACCAGGGTTTGCGAATCACCATTGAAGTGCAGAGAGCCCAGCGGGGACCGTTCGGCTATGCCATTCCTGTGCGGGAGGAGTTGTCGCCTCGCATTCTCTCCCTCTTACCATTGATTGAAAGAGCACGGAAGCTCCGTATCGTGGTGTGGGCTGGATATGACTGGTGGAACGGCTCTCGCCCACGCGCCATGACCAGGATCAACGGACGCATGCGCATCGACGAGAACGCACCAGCCAAACCCGACGCCGTGTCTTTCGCGATTGGAAAATTATTGGAGCGATTGCCCGCGGTAGAAGAGCTGGAGGTCATTGTCTTGGCACGCGTAGGTGACTTTTCCAAATGGGACTTGCCCGATCCTGCATGGACGAACATCCAATACTGGCTCGATGGACCGATCTTGCCTGAGAAACGTGAGACACTGCGGGTTGTGAAGAGGCAGTTGGCTGCTGTCTGGGGTTTCGATGAGCTTGAGGCGATTTACGAGCAGCAAGAGACGAGAGTTGGAGAGAGTGGGACGTGGCATGTGAAGAGGCATGGAGACGTAAAAACGGTAAGCTTGAATCGTTCTGTACTTGAGCTTGTGAGAATATCGGCTAACCGTAGTATAAAGCCGAAAATGATTGAAATGGCTGATGAAGGAGAACTTGATGGTTTGAGCGAGCCCGTGAACGAGGAATTCGATAGGACAGATTAGTGCGGAGATGAATCGCTAGTATACTCTTCGTATTTCCAATTGAAACAAGAGTCAAATGTACAATCCATTCCACATGTCTCCGTAGACACGCTGGTCACCATCGGTCTCTTTTCCGCCAGTGTGTACGTGCAGTTCATCGTTCACCCTCTGCCCAGTCCTGGTCCCACTCTGCTTCCTCAATCGGCGCGCCTTCGCTGAGAAGCGGAGAAGTGATGCCACCGTATCGGTTCACTAGAACCGGATCCGCACGAGATACATCAATCTTCGCTTGTTCCTCCTTCGCCTCTGATGTGATTAAGACCCGTCGGACCTTCACAGACAGGTCCCTTGCGGGCTTCGAATCGCATATGCCACCCACCATGGACTGTATCCTGTCCAATTTCGAAGCAATTTGGTCCCCCAGGGGTGTTCCCACGGGTATAATGACAATATGTCCTTTGTCGGGTCCACTGCAAATGCACCACCTGCTGAGATTGGGCATTGCGGGATATTCGTGTTGACTGGGATAGCCCAGGAAGCTCTCCCGCCGTTGAAATTGTAATTCGGGACTTCCCATGAGCTTGCGCAAGTCCTTACTCAGTGGGCAGTTGACCTCCGAGGCTGCCAAGCATCTGAGAAGGGTTTCTATATCATCATCCAGCGGCCAAGGTGATATAATCAACTGGACGGGCTTGCTCTTGATGGCGGTGAGTCTGGGCATGAGAATGGCACTAGCTTCGTCCTTGACGAAAGAGCACGTAGCTAGAATGTTGATGCCAGCGATTGTACGATAGACGAGTGTGAATCTGTCGTTCTTGTAGTGCGTAAGCTTTGTGGGCAAGTTCTCGTAAACCATAAGTCGTACGTCCTTCGGAAGGTCGAGAAACGGGAACGGCTCGTCGCTCTGAATGCCACGAGCTGAGCCAGCGACACCGTCGGGACGCTTATCGGGCGGCATCTTATCGGGAGGAATGGCTGGTGGGAGTTGGTCGTTGTTGGTGTTGGAGTAGCGGACTCGAAGCTCGAGTAGATATGGAGGGCGCTGCGGCTTCATGTACCCCCACCAGATGAGAAGTGAGGTGTGAACATGAGAGTGAGGGTGAGCATGATCATGCATGTGCTGATGAATTTAGGAAGTACAGCAGGAGCACGGAGCAAAGTTTATTGCTACCTTGTGATGACGGTATATGTGATTTCCACGACTGGAAAGCAGCTCAACATCGTTGGATTGGTTCTGATTGTATAGTCCGATATGCGGTCATCTACTATGTGACTTCTTTCCTGCCCACGTTTATGGCCAAATATGCTCTCCCTCTGCCCAGTTCGCATCCCACTCTACCTGCTCAATCCCTGCACCCTTCCTGATAATTGGCGAAAACACGTGACTGGGATCGAAGTATTCCCGGGCGAGCGAGTTGTTGTTAGGGCTTTCTACTTCTGCATATAGCGCCTTGTCATCTGGCGAAAGTAGCACTAGTCGATACTCTATTTCTAAGTACCTGCACGACGTGAACTTGCATGTATCGGTTACGTCCGAGTATGTGTCGTAGAACTTATGCAAAACATCTCTCGCACGGTCTTGCAGGGTTTTTCCTAGTGAAGAGGTTGTGCGTACGGCGAGGCACACCTGCTGCGCGGGTGTGTTGACTGGCAGGTCCAGGTTGTCATGCTCGGTATAGTGATCGTGACAATCATCGCAGTAGGTCCATGCAATCAGTTCCCGTATTGCTTTCAAGCTGATGCAATTTACTTCCGATGCTGCCAGGCATTCGAGGAAGCTGTCGAGACGACGGTGGTCATGGGGTGAGGCAACAAGCTGGAGAGGTTGGTTCCTGATCGTAGCAAGACGAGGGCTGAGAATAGCTTTTGCTTCATCGTAGATCTCGTGACATGTAGTGAAGATGGAAATGCCCGGGAGTGTACGATACACGAGCGTCAACTCTTCGTCGCCGTGATGTGTGGTCTTGATGGGAAGGCGCTCGTACACCATTAACCTGATCTCCTTCGGCAGATCAAGGAAACGAAATGCACCTAAAGTATTTGCGTCAGTGATTAGTCCACTGCCACACGAACGCGCTGACTTACCAGCCATATTCGGGCTTCTTGTGCAGTGTCCTCGGCTTGTAGCTTCAATTTGGCGCGCCTCAGATGCGCGAAGGTTGAGATGTTGAGAATTATACGCGAGATTTCCCGCTGCTTCTAGACATAAGTATAAAGAGCATGTAGGAAAACTGTGCCAAGACTAAATTCAATCCAGCAAGCTCACGTGAGCACAGACGTGCACAGGTGAAGGAGACTAGTTTCTGTTTGGGTTAGTTTCTTTCACCCTCTCATATTTATGCGCGCGCCCTCGCTTAGTTTGGACTACGTACTCCCACTCTCCTACTCATTATCCGCGCGCACTTTCTTGACATGTCTCTACCGTAAATACCATAACACACGGCTGTAGATCAACACTTCCAGCATTCCAACACCTCCAACATGGCTGCTTCACGCCCACTTAGCCTCCTCGACCTTCCGGCGGAGATCCGCGTTATGATATACGAGAACTTGCCCACGAGGACGACGCACCGCTACCAGGCCTGATCATCCATCACAAGCAGCAGGAATTGGCGACGTGTTTGTGGTATGGAGATCATTTCCTGGTGTCACAATTCTTGCGACATGCCGCCTCGTTGAGCGTGAGGCAAGGCCTATCATCGAGGCTCGCTTGAGAGCTATTAGGAACGAACCCTGCCGGGTCATTGTTACCCCGGGAAGGACTCGCGTCCACTCGCCTGTCCTCTATCCTCAAGTCCCTCCTACGCTCGAACGTGGACAACACCAAGCCTGTAGATCCCCGAGACATCATCAACGTCGCACTCTACCAGCCTATGACACACCACACTGCAAGAGTAAGGGTAGACAAATCACAAGGATCATATCATCTGTTTTGGTTCGAGTCAAGAGACGAGGCCCCAGACGGATACCAAGAAGGTTTACATGTTCACGTTCGGCCAGCATTACTGACGGATGAGGAAGAATGGTTGTTCGATGCGGAGCGTCCACTGACTCAAGTCATGCCAATCGGACTTGCGACACCGGCAAAGACTGTGACGGATGGCACGACAATCGAGGACGAAGAGTGGGATGAAGACTGGGCTGGGGGCTTGCGATACTTCTAACGAAGACTGCTAAGATAACTGAGAGTAGCCAGGAGCATGTGATAGCTCGGCTTGATGCAATATATACTTGTCTCTTTACATTCACTTGTCTTGCTAGCTCATTAGGCTGGCGCTGAACGTTTACGCACTCCGCATCGTTCATTACATAGGCAGATAGCGGTCACGGGAACTCTTCAAAATACCACTCTATAATCAGGCCTGATCTAACTCAACCACTCCCTTGTAAAATGGTGAACACATAATCATTCAATGTCAACATCCACACTATCTCTGCTATGACCATTACGCATCCATTCAGACTCCTGGACCTACCAAAGAGCTCCGGCTGATGATCTACGAGCAGCTTCCGACCAAGGTAACTCACCGCCATATCCCCAATCAGGCGCCTATAGTCGTCCACATCACGTTGCCGGGCGTCAAACTTCTCGCAACATACCGTCAAATCAGGTCCGAAGCCACCGCAATCCTTTCCAAAAAGCTCACCGCCATCGCATCCCAGCCTGTCCGCATCATCGCACCCAACCTACACGACAATAACCTCCGCGCGCTATTCTTGGTTGTAGCCAACAAGAAGTCCACTCACGAAAGCCCCTCGCCCCTTCAGCTAGACTTCTCCAACGGAAAAACCCAGCATATCTGCATCGCCATGTTAGACAACACGCCTCGCACTGTTTACCAAGAGGCCCGGAACACGCTCTCAAAATTTGCTGGGTTCTGGATGATTTCCGGACAAGTGTATTCTCGAATTCTTGGGGATTTGGACGTACAAGTGCGGCCGACGCTGATGTCTGAAGATAAGGAACGGGCATACTATGGCCTTCCTCCTGGCGCTATTGAGAGTGTGACGTGGCAGTAGTTGCCGAGATCTCTACCGCAACTGTCACTGCGGTTCGGGGAGGGTATTGAGGAGGAGGAGGAGTGGGAGAAAGATTGGATGGAGGGCGAGAAATTGGACTTGTGAATGGGGTAGACATGATATAACGAGCACAAAGCACCACAGATTACAGATCTTGCAATCATTTCCCTCGTTTTCGAACGAGGCGCTAGATATCCAACAAGTTGTGTGCCAGAAGCAAATGAGAAGCCTCGTGGAATCTTAATTTTGGTTCAATAATCAAGACAGGGCGCAACGGTTTGAATGGTCTTTGTGAAGCTATCGTAAGAATCTTCATGTCACCACTTTACCAACCCACTAGTAATCTGGCCACGAGTACATTCATCCTTGAGCCCACGAATCTTTCCATGCCTCCTCGTCAATCGCATGACCCAATCGTACTTTAGTCGCGCAGTTCAACACCCATTCGTAAAATCCCGCTTCCGCCATCTGGTATGCATAAAGGAGGTTGTGCATACCCTTGTCCTCGGGGGGTATCAAAGCTAGCTGGATCAGAATACGTGTAGGTCTTTGGGGTGTATGATCTAGGTCGCTGTGCATGTAATGGTGAAGATAAAATAGTGCCACGATGTCTTTGATGTGGGAAAGTCGCTCTGTGGTCGTCATAGCCAATTCTTGCGCATTCCATGAAATGGCGATATGAAAGTGACACTCGGATTCATTCATCGCAGCCAGTCCCATCTGCTCGGAATCGATCCTGCTCCATTTCATAACTCGAAGAAGTTTCCTTAGGTCTCGGTCGGTACTATAGGGAATTGTGTGAGAGATGTGTGGGATAATTTCGCGGGCTAGTAGATGAGATTGGAGCGCACTGGGCGTCACGATGATGCGGATGGGCTCCGACTTGATCTCGTTCAACTTCTGCTGAATGATGGCACTAGCCTCTTTGTTGATTTGGCGACATGTGGCAAGCAGGCTGGCGCCCTCCAGTGTCTTCCAAACGAGCAGGCAAGAGCTATATTGTGTCGTGTCGATCATGTGGTAAACTGGTTTGTTGGGGGTGGAAGCCTCTTGCTCGAATCTATGATGCGTGACATGTACCGAAAGACTCTCGTAGACCATGAGCCTCAATTCCACTGGGAGGTGCATAAATCGAAAACAGGGAGTTTTGTATGTCATGCTACAAGTCGAGTCGAGTCAGCTGCCGAGTATGTTCACTGCAGTTGATTTTGCTTACCCTGTAATCATTGCTGGTTGAGCGATAAAAAATTCGAATGCTGTCTATAGAGTAGTTGACGAAGCTTTATGCCCAGAAGAACTGGCGACCTAAAAACGAATGCTCTTACGTCATAGTGTAGTGAAAAAAGAGTTCTCTGGCTTCCCGCATTCCCATTGAAAACTGATCTACGCCGCGCAGTCTCTCTGGCCCGAGTTGTATATTTTCCCCATGGACCAACTGAAGCCAACGCACAAGGGCACAGAAGTGCAATTAGTAGTCGAAAGATTAAAAACGCAGCAATTGCACACTTTTTGCCTAAGTGCACAACACCTCGGAGTCAATTACACCACAGGACCACACACCTGGCTCGTCAACTTCATAATCCCATCAAGCTGCTCCACCGGGGTCCTCCCCCACCCACACTCAGTCGCAACCCCAAACTCCGGCACAACCCTGCTCGCAGCTTCAATGCGCTTTTTCGTGCCTTCCAGATCGTCATACTGCACGACTCCGAGATACAATTCTGTCGCATGTTCTTTCAAATTCGGCAGGATCTGTTTCAGAGGTGCGAAATACTCGTCCAGAAAGCCCATGGCACTGACCGGCACCGGCGCGTGGAAGAAATTGATTGGGTGTGACGAGCGTTCAAAAAGCACCAGACCACGATCAACGACGGCTTGTAAAGACTTGGGCTCGAAGAAGTGCTTGTGCTCAATGTCGCCGTAGCAGTTGTGGATGCCTAGCTCAACGTCTTGGTCGATTTGCTCGATCATGCGAAGGATGTAATCGGACACAAAGTCCTTGACATTATGCGTGTCAGCGAACGCTGGCCTAAGGAATTGGCCTTCCCAGAACGCCGATTCGAGTGCGAGGTCGAGCTGGATTGCCAAGTCGTGGTGTGGAATCTTGTCTTGAATGTTACGCATGGCGCGGAAAAGAGCTTGCTCGTAGAGCGGCCAGACCTTGGCCTGGAAGGCTTTCTCGATAAACACCGGTACGACGTTCCCGGCAGTAGGAAGACCGACTTGAAACCTCACGCCCCATGGTATCACACCCTCATTCCGCAGTTTCTTGAAGACAGCATAACTCTCGATGGCGGCGGTGTCATACTCTGTCTCGATCCCGGCCTTTTCCAGCTTTGCAACGATTTTGTCGACCTCCTCTTCCGTAATCATCCTTGATCTAGCCTCAGAATCCAATGCATAGTTTAACAGCATCTCAGGAGCGGCTTGAAATACAGCAGATTGCCACAGGGTGAACATGAACCGTTTACCTGTCTCGCCATCAGGAAGCCGTTTCACACGCGATGGCATACTAGCGAGGCATTTTCGGAACACCCCCTCGTTGTTCGCTAGCGGTACGCTGCCGACCAGAAGGCAGCCTATGATGTTCGCGGACATTACGGAGCAAAGTATTAGTCGATCGGACGGCTTTGTCTACACGAGGCTTGAAATCTGGTTGTACAGTTGAAGGAGGAGGATTTGGAATTACAGCTTGTTGTGTCGGTCTGTAGGAGATAGGCTCTGATTGAATGATGGAAAGGGACGGGACTTTGTCTCAAATATGAATCCAGCAAGTTGATCGTGTGGTATTCAGGCACTCCACGCCATGCGCGGGGTTTGTGAGACGAGGCCATCGGTGCCCACTTAGTGCAGCGATCCAGCTCCAGCTGAAGCTGTCCCTTGAATTGCATGTACTGAAGTGGGGAAACAAGTATCCGGTTGGACATTCGTGTCTGATTGACGTGCGGTGCTCTTATTAAGCAGCATGTATTGTTAGCACTAAGGTACCACAAAATAGGGACGAATGAGAGGCCTTTTGCCTCTAGTAGCGTGCCTTCTAAATGTTAGTATGTTGATCACAGGCTAGAATAACTTAGATCGTCGTCAGCGAAATCCTTTGGAAAGGACCCAAATTATGGAGCTCAGTATTTTTAGCGATCTGCGAGGTCAGCAAAAAGGGCACGTAGAAAGAACCCGTGCAGCAAGCTGACTGAGCAATGAGACGGTTCCTCGCTCCCAGGCCAGAAGTAGCATCCTGTGGATGAGAAGGTATTGTCCTTCGACCAGCTAACAGCTCAATGGTCACATAGATCTGCTAACACTTTTTCGGAATTGCGGTGGATGGCGTTCCAAGGCTGCGAGGAATACCACGACGACCAAATGATTTCTTTGCGGCGTGCCATGCTTCATGCGATCGTGCTTACTGGTTGGCTTCCAAATTTACGAGACTGTGAGAGTAGGTACCCGAGCCATCATTCGGCGGAAGTTGTTCGAGGCCATTGTATCGCAGGCTTTGGAGTGTTCTGATGAAGTATGCCGAGCGATGCGCGCGATCAGAAAAGTAGATTCTTTTTCGGATTGTTTATCCAACCCCAGATAAGCAGTAATAGTACTGTTCAAATTTCGTGACAGGACTGTGAGCGTGCTGAGGAGAAATGTGCGAACGCAAAAGGAGATCACGCCGAAGTACTCGCCGAGCCCGCCATCCATACCTACCTGAAGAGAACACAACAACCACGACTTCCAAAACCATTTCAGGTCACTCAGATAGAATCAATGTCATCAGCTCCAATTTCACCGATAAAAGCGAGCAAGCCGACATGTAAGCCGACATCCTTCCCGCCATTTTGCGGTAGTCACCGTACCATCGTACGACTCTCCTCGCGTGTCACCCCACACGCATCCTGCGCCGCAAAATGTCTCGCCACCAACCACAACTTCTTGACAACGTATCAGACGACCGGACTATTCTTTGGTATCTCGCCAACCAATTGCAATCCAATGTTTCAGCGTCTCACACGATGCCCGCCAACCCGGTTGCTGTTCGTGCTGATCCCAACTGCTGGATCACGCAACACCGGAATAGTGGTGAGGAGTGTCGTCGGCGGGCACCGTGGGATGGGTTTGTATATATGTAGAAAGGTATAGGACACTAGAAGTATCATCATCACGCATTCCATCTTACAAACCTACAAATCATCTCAACATCTGACGGGGGCTCGAGAATAGTACGTATCGGTTCCCTGCGGCGCGGTGCGCTAGAGAGAGAAACCAAACTTCAACCTCGCAACCATCCGAGCAGAAAAAAAAAATAACACAGTCGACCCTTTTCACCCTTACCCAAAACAACAAACCCTCATCAACCAAAATCTCAAAACACATCCCCATTTACACAATGGCAGCGACACCCAAAATCCTAACTTCCCCGCCTTCGCCGCCTTCATGGCCATCGGCGTCACATACACAACCTACGTGGCCAGCAAAGAAGGCGCAACCATTGACGGCGCACGCACGCGCTGGCAAGGGCAACACGCGAGTGCACGACGAGTACTTAGCGGGGGCATGAGCATGGAGGAGTTTGCGAAGATGCAGATTTCGTGAGAAGGCGGGGGGAGAGACAGTCAGTAGTAGAAAGCATGGAAATGAAGTTTCACGGAGTTTTTGGGCGGGCATTTGCTGCGATGTTTTGGCGATTTGTAAATACCTTTTTAAAACTTTTCTTGAGAGAGAGAGAGACTCTTTTACTGAATTGGATGGAATATTATTCATATATTCAGAAATCGTCATCAGGGCATCATTTCGTAACGTATACACATGTATTATCCATGGCGTCGTGTAGAGTCTCTCTCTCTCTCTCTCTCTCTCTCTCTGTGTGTGTGTGTTACTAAAGTACCAGACACACCTCCCGGACTTTGCACGACTCTTGCATGAAACAGCCTCGTATACGTCCACACACTACATCTTCAAGTACATTCCCCTTCCCTTCCCCCCATCTCCCATAAATCCCCTCCTATACCCCCAGGATGTGTCCCTATATTCATCTACCACCTATACACCCGGCTCCTATCAACAGCTCCCGGTGCATCATCAGACCGCAGCCACGTTGTGGCAATAATGCTGCAGCAAAGAGCGTTCGCAATATGGAAGGAGAAGGTTGATGTGTAGTGTAGGTTTCGGCTGGTTAAAAAGGTGAGATGTGGGTAAATGCGAATGGGACGGGGGGTGGGGGTGCATTGCGGGGTGCATTGGTGGCGAGAGATGGCGATCGGGCGAGGGCGATGGAAGCTGTGATGCTATGTGATGCAAGGAGAAGAGCGTGAATCCAAGTCACAGCAGCAAAAAACACAATATCGTATCCTTTACGAATAAAATTCCTAATCCTCTAGATACACACCACCGCCTAGATGTGATGCTATATACACGGAAAACCCTCCAGAACACCAATCCGGCCCCGATCCTCGGGGAGTCCCCCAAATGAAACAAGTTGAGAAACAGACGCTGTACTAAAATGGATGCTCCAAACCAAACCAAACCCGGCTTGTTTAGCCCTAGGTGTTACTGCTGTGTGACAAAGGAAATCATTTCAATCATGTTGCTCGACCGATCTAAGAATTGTGCCCGCTTGCTTTTGCGCGGAGAAGAGGAGAAGAGGAGAAGAAAAAGGTGAGGAGTTGCGATTATGAGTCGAGCATTGAGGTGATGAGAGCAAGTCTTTGCAGGACAGGCTCAGCGGCAGCGATCCTCCTAGCGAGACGGTCGGCGAGACGTGCCTCTTCTGCCTCATCGGAGATGACGAGGCTGAAGTGTGCAAGAGCCTTCTCTGGGTTGGTGAAGAGGGGCTCGAAGTTCTCAATAGGTGCAGCGGGGGTGGAGGTGGTGGATGGGACAGGCGAAGCGGCGTAGAGGTCATCCTCGTCATCGTCCTCGACGACGGCAAAAGTGGGCTGCTCAGTCTGGGCGGGGCGCTCGATGACGGGGAAGTCAGGCTTGACCTCATCGACAGTTGTCTCATCCTCAGCGTTGAAGATGGCACTGTAGCCCTTGCCGGACATAGCCTCGGTGTCGAGGGGGTTCACGGGGCCCTCGGGGAGCTCGTGAACAGCAAAGACGCGGGGCTGCTGGAAGCCGAACCCGTTGCTGGCACCCCAGTTGGCGTTGGCGTTGTTGATGTTGAGGGAAGAGAAGTCGAACTGGGTCTCGGGGACGAGAGTCATACCGACGTGGGTATTCTCAGGCTGAGACATGCCACCAAACTGCTGCTGGTTCTGGAATTGAGCAGGTGCGGGAGCGGCGACGGCAGGGGTCGAGGTGGAAGGCATCGAGGCCATTGGGGTCTTGGGCTGGAGGCTCTCCTCGCGGGAGAGCTCCTCGAGGAAGGGAGTGAAGGCCTGGTGGCGGAGCAGGCGCTCAATGAAGGCACGGGACCGGGCATTCTCCTCACGGAGAAGACGGTTCTCGGTGCGGAGGTCGTTTGCCTCCTGGACCTTGACGGCAACCTCGCCTTCAAGCTGGCCAATGTACTCTGGTGGTTGTTAGTCATGATCAAACAGAGCGTAGGGAGTAAGCTTACCCTTTCGACGGGAGCGGAAGGCGCGAGCAGAGACCTTGTTGCGGAGCTGGCGGCGTTCTTTTGAGCTCAGCTTCTTGCCCTCCTCTGATGCGAGCAGCCTCTCGTCCTCGTCCATGTCCTCCTCGTCCTTCTTCGCACGGATGATGTGGGGAAGGAGGTCCTGGCGGTCGCCGCCCATTGAGGAAGCGGCGCTCTGGCTGTTGGCCCGGATCTGTGCAACGACGCGGGCAATGGTCTCCTCGGCGCGGGCGTCGCTGAGGGGGCTGGATGTCCTGCGGCCGGCTTGAGACGGTTGCGTGCTGGATTGCTGTTGTTGCGAAGCCTGTGCTTGTTGT